GCTGTTAGATGCCAATGTATGACCTGAAAATGAGGTATGCGTACCTGTCATACATTGTCCCTGAAGCCCTGTTTTTTAACTCAGTTACACAAAGAGGTCCTTCTGCATCTTTGGCTCTCCAGGGTCTAGCTAATTCACAATGAACAAAGGCTACCTCTCATATAGGATCACGCTTACAAACATAAAGGTGCCTGTATCTCCAAACTTTACTATCAAACGTGGGCTCTTTAATAGATCAACGTGCTTGTCGGGGTCAAAGGAATCTTGTGTCAAAGTATGAAGTTCATCGTGGGCAATCCCAGATTTCGCAATGTCGCCACCAGCCAAACTGGATCTGGGGGTCGACCTCTTCGACGACGACGACCAAAAAAATATTTTTTGGGCTAGTTGCGACATTGAACGTGAAACTTTCACACCAGGTGCTGTTGGCCAAGCTGAGCCCATTGCTGTAATAAAAACCCCACGTTTCATTGTAAAGTTTGGAGGTACAGGCACCTTTATGTTTGTAAGTGTGATGCTATAAGAAGAGTGGTCTTTGTTCATTGTCAAGTAGGTGGACTCTGGCAGAGCAAAAGATGCAGAGGGTCGTGTTGTGTAACACAGCTATGTTTGCATGATTGGAAGCGCCGACGCATGATACCTCCAAACCATTCAGCACCCAGCTCATCATTGGCAGCTAATAGCCTCTTCCTCCCATTCGCCTTTGTTGCCCAAACCAATGCATGTGAACGGTTGTCCTGCTTCAACCCATCATGTCCATCCTCCAACTTCCTTGATCCGAGCTGATTTGACTGAACAATACTCAAACAAAGGAACATCATCCAACTTCAAAAAGAATCAGTTGATTAGTTATTCGTAAACTGTCACTTGATATTCCATTCCTCCCAATCACCCTTTTTACCCAATCCAATGCATGTGAATGGTTGTCCTGCTCGAGTCCAACATTCCCATCATTCAACTTTCTTGATTCCAGAGGAGTTGACTGTGCAACGCTTTAACAAAGAAATGTCACTCAAGCATCAGAAAAATCTATTTAATTTCAAGGTCTTCCACTCCCTGTTTCTTGCCTCTTTCTCCCATTCTCACTGTTGGTGCATTCAAGCACAACTACCACCTGCGAACGATTGTCCTGCTTCAACCCATCACGTCCATCCTACGAACGTCTTTATCCGATTGTCTTGGACCGAGAGGCAAGTTGATGGCGTGTACACATCGACACCACACACACTCTTGCGCGCTTCACTGGCTCAATCCAATGTAACAGTATTCAATGCAGCAGTTGCTATCAGCAAGCTCTTTACCCCATCGTACCCAACAGCGTTCTTTACTTGCAAGCGTATCTTACAGCTTTTTTACGTGAACAGCAGATAGCCATCATAGAGGAGCAGCTTTATTGACGTGTAGCAACTTGCTTCAATACATATGACTTCTTATGGATATGGATATGGATCTGAATACTGTATTACTTTGGTACATGAGATGGAAGGAATGGATCTATTGACTAGTTTGGTTCCCTTGTTGGCCCATTTTAAACGTGATGTCTAGTTTGGATGACATGCCATCAGCCATCAACGACGCCGTAGTGCAAGCAGTCTTCAACTGATTGAGCTGCGATGGAAAGTGAACCACGAAGAGAGTGACCAAGGGTCGATGGGAAAGGGAACGTATCAGCAGCGACCTCTGGGGCTTCTTTCTACCAACATTGGATTTGTAGCGGTTATGGCGGATGGGTTCAATCAAGGCAAGGATTATTTGTCCCGTTGTCAGAAGGATGAATCATACCATATGCATACGGCTTAGGATGATGATGGATTGGAGGAAGTGGCAAAAGGGCTTTATACCTTTGACAAAGGAAGGTGTTTCACAGTTTCACAGCTACAGATGATATTGGAATACTCGAGCCAAAGTATACAGCATCTATTTTGCAATCATGGATGAAGAATGATCATGGCGGCAGCAATCAAGAATAGAATGGCACAATTATCCCTGTTCCCTCTATGTAATCCACCCGCTTCTTATTCAATGCTGTTCTTTTATTATCATATTTGCTCGATAAACATCCACAGTACCGTGTGCTGGTACGTGCTCTTCGACTTTCTATTGAGTGAAAATTGGATTCAACATGATACTTTGGGGATCGTACCATCAGCTCAGATGTGCAAGGGTGGATCACTTGGTTATTTCTGCATTGAAGGGAATGGACATCATATATTTGGTAGGAGGTTACACAGTAGGTTACAGAGTAGGTTACACAAGTTGGTTCAGGGGTGAAGTTGCATAAGTGATCGATCGATGAAATGCGCACAGACCTGATAGCTTAACTACGAGGGCTGTTCTCAATTGAAGTCTTGAAGAGTGATCATTATTATGGGGCTAAGAGCATAGGATATTGTTGAGGGTACGTATAAACAGTAATAGCTGTAGCAAGCGGGGTGGCATGGAGTGCGAACACGAGGAACAAAGAGGCCACTCTTCTTCACTTCCACTTCATAAAAAGGTAAGCTTGTCTCCATTTACAAACTACAACGCGTTAATTGCTGGCATTCCTTACAATGTGCAGCGTTCATTGGGGTGAACATGTGGTCAATGGCGACACTTTCCAGCTGCAAACATTCAACAACAAGCACGCGCGCGATCTGCCCATGACTCATGCTTCCATTGCAATACAACATGTACGTTCCATCGCTGCATTCCTTTATCATTCAAGTTGGACATTGAGATACTAAAGTTCACGTGTAGTTTGCTGTTCTCTCGTTTATACAAGATCCAAAGGGGGCACCGTGTGTCGTGTGTATGCTTTCCATGGTTGTCATCAAGGAGGGTCGCAACCTATTGTTACTATGGGTATGTCGACATGAAAAGCGAATGTTATTGTTACCTTACACTTCATTTACTGTAGCTTGGACACGTTGGTTTATGGTACCTGTGGCAGCAACAAGTTACGGACCTCAAAGCAAGAACGCTGTACGTTGGCTCAATGGTATGAGTCGTATTGGACCTACAAAGCGAAACCTGTTAATTCACGAGACTTACAGTGAAACAGCAGCAAGACATACTGGATGACATGAAGATACGGTTTTATTTGAGGCAAATGATGCCATTGAGAAATACCACAAGGTAAGAGTGTTCATTGTGGGATTGGTGTGATTCAAGTGAACTTACCAAACGCCTTACAGTGGCAGAGCCTCTTTCGGCGATACTATTATTATCAAGGCTGCACGTCAAGGATGTCATTGTATAGTACTATGCTCTCCTGGGGAATTTTGGCCCGGAAACAGTGTGACTCAAGATGCGATGGCAAGGCCAATTTCAAAAGGCATCCGCTGTGCGCACGGCCTCCATCCAAGTACGGCTATTGATTTCCTTGCCTACAGAGAGAAGGTGGATATCTCTTATGATGCCAATTTCAGGATCCAATGAGAGTATAGTACATATGGTGGCATACCTTGGCGCTGCAGGTTGATTATTGTATTGCCTTCGGATGGTGTATTTGGTTGCAATTCCTTGTGATCACCATGGTTCAGGGCGTCGTGTGCCTTCCTTACCGAGTTGTCCACAATGAGAGTTCTCAAGACGTCTGTACATTGCCTCTTTTGGGTATGCTGACAACAAAAGCGTGTGGGTTGGTTTTACTTGTTATCTCACATTGCGTTTATGGTAGGTTGAACATGTTGGATGATGGTACATGTGGGCAGCAACAAGATACGGATTTCAAAGCAAGAATGCTGTATGGTTGGCTCAATGGTATGCATGGTATTGGATCTACAAAGCAAAACCTGTTAATTAACGAGACTTACAGTGAAACAGCAGCAAGGCATACTGGATGACATGAAGATACGGTTTTATTTGAGGCAAATGATGCTATTGAGGAATACCACAAGGTAAAGTGTCCATTATGGAATTTGTCCCTTCAAGTGTGCTTACGAAAGAAATATTAGGTCAGGCTCTGGTTAGGCGATTATTTTGATCAATCAGCACGTCGAGGATGTCATTGTATAGTACTGTGCTCTCCTGGGGAATTTTGGCCCGGAAACAGTGTGACTCAAGATGCGATGGCAAGGCCAATTTGAAAAGGCATCCGCTGTGCGCACGGCCTCCATCCAAGTACGGCCATTGATTTCCTTGCCTACAGAGAGAAGGTGGATATCTCTTATGATGCCAATTTCAGGATCCAATGAGAGTATGGTACATATGGTGGCATACCTTGGCGCTGCAGGTTGATTATTGTATTGCCTTCGGATGGTGTATTTGGTTGCAATTCCTTGTGATCACCATGGTTCAGGGCGTCGTGTGTCTTCCTTACCGAGTTGTCCACAATGAGAGTTCTCAAGACGTCTGTACATTGCCTCTTTTGGGTATGCTGACAACAAAAGCGTGTGGGTTGGTTTTACTTGTTATCTCACATTGCATTTATGGTAGGTTGAACATGTTGGATGATGGTACCTCTGGCAGCAACAGGATACGGATCTCAAAGCAAGAATGCTGTATGGTTGGCTCAATGGTATGCATGGTGTTGGATCTACAAAGCGAAACCTGTTAATTAACGAACTTACAGTGAAACAGCAACAAGACATACTGGATGACATGGAGATACGGTTTTATTTGAGGCATTGATGCTATTGAGAAATACCAAAAGGTAAGAGGTTCATTGTGGGATTGGTTGGATTCAAGTGAACTTACCAAACACCATACAGTGGCAGAGCTTCTTTCGGCGATACTATTATTATCAAGGCTGCACGTCAAGGACGTCATTGTACTACACTTTCCTGTGGAGCTCTACATGTTGTGCCCGGGGACAGTGCGACTCAAGTTGCGGCCTCAGGGATTTAAAGATGCATCCTCTGTTCGCACGGCTCCATCGTTTTACGGCTATTGATCTCCTTGCCTTTAGAGAGAAGATGGTATCTCTATTGATGCACTTCATCGCGTCGATCCACAGGAGAGTGCCGGTACAATGATGTTCCTTTGGCTGTGCGCTTTTATTATTACTTTACATCCTGATGGCCTATTTGGTTCCGAAGTCTGCGGGTTATGATTGCGTGATTCAGGTATGTATGACTCTCATGCTTTTTGGAGACCTTTGCTGAAACGCCTACCATTATTATTTAGAGGGACCATTGCAGAGAGCTACTTGTCTTTTGGTGCTTTGGAGTTTACAAGATCATAGCTATGATTGCTAAGTATTGTTGGATGAGTTTGGACAATTGTTTATGGTGCATCTTTTATAGGTGAATCATGTCAGCCATGGGGAAGTGTGTATGTCTTTGGTGGTGTCAACCTTTATTGCGTCTCGGGTGGTTGGTTACCAAGCAACAGGCGATTTCTCTGGAGAATGTCCGCCAATGCAAGTCTCTTGTGAGTGGATTGTATCAGCAACAAACAACAGCATCCATATCGTTAGTTCCATATCAAGCTTTATCCCATCATCTGGTTTTCTCGTTATCGGCAATTCGGTGGGCATCCTGAAATGAAGGTCTCTTATCGATTGATCACATCAGCAACAAGAACAACTTGTATATCTTTGGTATCAGCAAGCTTTCTATCTCTTGGTGGCACTGGTTATCGGCAATTCCTTTGATGGATCTCTACAACTATACGCGTCTTATGGATGGATCATGTCATCAACAAGCGATGAGAGTCCGCGTTGACATCTTTGGTGTTACCAAGGTCATTTATGCATCTCCTCAAGGCATTCATCGTCAAGCTGCATTCGATTTCCAATGAAAAACGATTGCCATTCACATCGCTCTTTAGCCATATGTACGTCACTCCGCAGCTAGGATCTGGTTTGGGCTTTTCGATGCACAATGCTTTCTCGATTTGCATGTGGTCTTGGGCAGCAAGGATTGTCTCGTTGTCTCTCTTTGTAAGGGCTCTTCGGCATCATGTAAGTATGCTATCTTTGGTGGTATAAGTATTACTCAACCTTCTCACTGCATATGCCCATAAAGTATCGTTCCATGGCTTTCAAGCCGAGTACCACCGTAGCGGGCCTTATCAACAAGCGGACGATTGCAAAGAACCGGCTGGATTTGGATATCATCAGGATTGCGTGCATATGACTATCATTGGTAAATGATGATCCGTTCTTTTCCTACAATGCCTACCAACATCCTCTTTTATTATAGTGTGCGAACTATTCAGCAAGCTACTTGTCTCGTGGTCATTTGGGGTTTTCATGGATGCAGCTGTCATTGAATGTCGTCATGTTTTCGTGCGTATGGCTATCATTGGTAAATAGTGGATGATCCATGTTTTGGCTCCAATCCTAATCAACCTCGTCTTTTATTACAGTATGTGGGATATTCAGCAAGCTGCATGTCTTCTGGTGCATTGGGATTGCTATGGATGCAGCTGTCATTGGATGTCGTCATGTTTTCGTGCGTATGGCTATCGTTGGTAAATAGTGATCCTTTCTCTTCTTCAACGCCTGCTAATCTCCTCTTTTATTATAGTATGTGGGCTATTCAGCAAGTTACTTGTCTTCTGGTCCTTTGGAATTTTCATGCATGAAGCTGTCATTGGTAAATAATGATCCATTCTTTCTTTCAATGCCTACTAACACCCTCTTTCATGTGGGTTATTCAGCGAGCTACTTGTCTTGTTCCCTTTGGATTCTTGGTGGATGTAGCTATCATTGGATGTCTACAGGATTTTATTCATATGGCTTTCATTGGTAAATAGTGGATGATCCGTTTTTTGGCTCCAATCTCAACCAACATCCTTTTTTATTATAGTGTGCGGGCTATTCAACAAGATACTTGTCTCCTGGTTCTTTGGGATTTTCATGGATGCAGCTATCATCGATAAGTATCGTTCTATGGGTTCGGGAAACTGTTTACCGTGCATCTTTTATAGGTGAATCATGTCAGGGTCAAAGAGCAACGTCTACAGCATCCTTCAGTGTCAGCTTGCCTTATTACATCGTTCGATGGTTTTCATTACCGTACCACTCAGTGGACGCTTCCTTTTATTGGCATTTGCAACAACAAGCAACACCTTCTATATCTTTTGATGTCGCCAAGTTTATCTTGTCTTATTGTGGTCCAAGTTGTTGACAATCCTTTCAATGGATATCCTGCTACGCATGCCTGTTATTGGTGGATCATATCAGCTACAAAGAAGGAGCGGCAATGAACAACAGAGCCCACATCTTTAGTGTCAACAACATTTATTTGATCCTCTGGTGTTCTCGTTATTGGCCAATTGATTTCAAGAGCCCTCTTCACCGCACGTATCTTATGGATGTATCACATCAGCAACACACAACAATGTTACGTGTCCTTTTGGTGCTGTCAAGGTGTATCCATCTCTCATGGCATTCATCATCAAGTATCGCTTGGAGAAACGGCTATCAGAATTGGTCACTGTGTCGACATCCCTACAGCAAGGAAATGTGTTCTGATTACTGGGTGGCATCAAATATCGTGGATTCTCATATGACACTGGCTAAGTATTGTTACCATTACCTCAAAGATAAATTAGTGATATGCAGTTTTATAGGCCCATCATTCCATCAAGCTATAATTTCGCATGCTCTTTGGTGCCATCAAAGTCTCTCCTTACAGTTGTCAATGGCGAATCCTATTGAATTGGAAGACGAAGATCAATATTTGAATTTGGGTGGGTGTCTCAGAAGCAAGCAAGCGATCTCTATCTTATAGTTGTGGTTGTCAAGGATACCGTTTCCATGGTTTTGGAAATCAGCTACCTGCAAGTCGTCTCTTTATCGGTGGATCTTCAGAGCAATGTTTTTGCCGGTGCCATGGCGGATCTATGGATACCTTGGACGTTCTCTTGGCAAGTCAATATCCTCGCGTATGCTATTTCATCAAGGCCGGATTTATTTGTTGCAGTGCATGATGTGTCTCTCTGATGACGCCAACCCAAAAAGGTCGCTTGATGGCAGCAACTACTGATATGGCGCATGTTTATTTGCTATGGGTAGAACGGGATGGTGCCTTGCTCATTTGTGTAAAGCATCGTTGGCAGCTATGATTTACATGCGACAGTGTGGTCAGCCCTATCTTGGCCCTATCAATTGCATTTGATGATTGCTGCCTTAGCCGTTGGAAGTTAGACTGCTACTCAGTGGCCTTGTGGTAGATATGGGATCATGTATTGCTTTTCGCTCTTATGGGTCGGCCTCTGTGGGCGTGGGATGCTATCCTTTTATCAGACCGAACATGTTGGCTCGAGCAGCACCTATAGAAGATGCTGTTGTTTACAATGGCAGCCCCCGTTATCCGGCTTGGTGCACCGTAGGGGAGAGGGTGACGGCAAAGCCTTCGCGTGGCCATCCTTGTCAGTACATGGGTTTCCATGGAAGCTAATTTGCCACCTTATCATCATTTATATATTATTTACGCATTCGTGAGCATCACTAACAGTACTCTAATAGCCATATCAACAAGTAGCCAAAAGGTACAGGCTGGGAGTCGAACCCAATGAGAGATGATGCCCAAAGTTGCACTACCTGACCAAGAACCTATTCAATAATAGCAGCATTCATTATTACAATAAACTCTTGTTGGCTGTGAGGTATTAACACAGTTCTGAATATGCATTGTCAGGGAGTGAGTGTGGTTGGTGGTTGGTGGTTGCCATAGCGATATCGCTGCTTCCTTTTGTTCGTTGCTATTCCCGCTCTATGCTTGGTGTCAACAGGTACATTCAGAGTCCAATGTTGCAGCAAAACTTGTTCCATTGACGTGTTAGCTTGTATAGAGGGCAAGTTTGGTCTCAAGACGTTGGCTGGTTTGGCGTTTTGTTTCGGCTCAACAACACTACTACACCATGGTTTTCGGTTTCCAATAACCAACGACAAAAGGTCTTTGTGTATATGGAAAAGGCAAGTACAATGAAACAAACAATGAAAAGGGTGTTTATTGTGTATGTGCTAATAATGAATTGAATAGGTTTCTTTGGTCAGGCAATGCAACTTGGGGCATCATCATCATCTCTTTGGATTCAAGTCCCAGCCTGTATCAAGTGGACGCTGCGTCGCTCTGCACTAGCCAAGTGTGCTGGAAAAGCTTCTTGGAACGCGTCCAGGGCTCTATAGGCCTGCGTTGAGTTGAGGATGGGTCGATGACGATGGATTTTTGGAAGAGAATGGTCACCGTGTTGAGGTAAAAGGGGATTTGCAACAGCTTGACATCAGTGCAAACCAACACATTCTTCTCGTGATAGGCTCGTTCTTTCCCTTCAGGATTCTTTTCATGAGGTGGGAAATGATTGGGAGGATTGGATTGGGATCATTCTTTCTTTGGAGAGGATGAATGAGAACAACTATGAGCCTGGACTCTACGTAAGTGATGTCCTTCCTTGCCATGGATCGAACTAGCCTTGCGTGATTCGTGCAGTGCTTTCTCAAGAACAAGGGATCGCCCGACGTTGCTCGTATGGTGGTGATTTGGTTTGTGATTTGCTTTCTTCCTTGGAGAGGATCGCCTAACGGTATACCAAATCGTATCATTCCGGTACCAGATGGTCTAACTTGCCCGCTTTCTTATTTGTAGAGACGACGATTACGATGATTACCACATTCACAACAATGACAATTACGATGATAACGAGATTCAAAAGGAAGCCTGCAAGATCCCATTCTTTTCAACTTGTGTATTTTTTGGATGTTGGTGTGAAGGATGCGATTGACGACTGGTGACGAGTACGAGTACGAATGGTGACGGAGGACGACTACGACGATGGTGGTGGCAATGTACAGTACATAGCAAGATAGCTAGATGAAATAAAGCATTGTTTATTTATTACTCGCTTGTTGTTGGAGGTTGCTAGCTTGTGGATTACATACTACTGCTTCGAAGATGGAATAATAAAGGTGGTCCGGTTATCGATCATGCAAGAAGTACATGGCTTTTGTGATACAATAAGGAGGAGTGGGAAGTGGGATGAGCTTGAGAAGAGAAAAATGAAGAGATCCCTCCATTGAGTTTCAGGATGGGTGACTCATTCATTATGTATACGTATCTTTTTACATATACAAATTGGTTTATGCAGCTCGACTTTCTTCTACATGCAAATGTGATGTATACCTTGACACACTTTCATTATTGGATGCTGTTTACTTACGTACCTTCACAAAAGGCAATCATCATCATCATCATCCATTTGTGTAGCAACCTGTCAAGGACACGTTTGTGTAACCACCACGTGCGGTTTCACTCAGCTCTTCATCTTTCCGTAATGCAGCCGACACCATCCACTAGGAAAAAGCAACTCCATCACGCTTACAGCATAGGTAAAACATAAAGACGCCTGTATCTCCAAACTTTACAATGAAACGTGTGGTTTTTATTAGAGCAATGTGCTCGGCTTGGCCGACAGCACCTTGTGTGAAAGTTTCGCGTTCAATGTCGCAAACAGCCCCAAAAATATTTTTTGGTCGTCGAAAAAAGTTTCAAGAGGTCGACCTCTGGATCCAGTTTGGCTGGTGGCGACATTGCGAAATCTGGTATTGGCAAGCTTGATCGTGAAACTTTCACACAAGGTGCTGTTGGCCAAGCCGAGCCCATTGCTGTAATAAAAACCCCACGTTTCATTGTAAAGTTTGGAGATACAGGCACCTTTATGTTTGTAAGCGTGATGCTATATGAAGAGTGGTCTTTGTTCATTGTCAAGTAGGTGGACCCTGGCAGAGCAAAAGATGCAGAGGGTCGTGTTGTGTAACACAGCTACGTTTGCATGAATGAAAGGGTCAATGTATAATTACTTTATGGATCATCTAGGAACAGGCATGTATTGCTAGCTAACGGCCACTTTTAGCCAATCATCATTGTTGCGAGATCCACTGCATGGGAACGATGCCCCTGCTTTAGACATTCATTTCCATGATTAAAGTAGGTTGATCCGAGCTGATTTGACTGAGCTGCGGTCAAAGAGAGATTACATCACTCTGGACATAAAGCACGCTCGATGTAGCTCAACGGATGAAATCTTGTGTGAGCGTAACTCAACCAAATCAGCTCGGATCAACCTACTTTAATCATGGAAATGAATGTCTGGAGCAGGAGAATCGTCCACCCACAATAGAATGCACAAAGGTTGGGAATGCACAAAAGTGGCTATTAGCTGCCAATGTTTGACATAAAAGTGAGGGTTGCGTACCTTTCATGCATTGTCCCTGAAGTCCTGACTTTTTAGCTGAGTTACCCAAAGAGGTCCTTCTGCATCCTTGGCTCTCCAAGGTCTAGCTACTTGGCAATGAACAAAGACCACTTCTCATATAACATCACACTTACAAACATAAAGGTGCCTGTATCTCCAAACTTTACAATCAAACGTGGGGTTTTTATTACAGCAATGGGCTCGACTTGGCCAACAGCACCTTGTGTGAAAGTTTCGCGTTCAATGTCGCAAACAGCCCAAAAATTATTTTTTTGGTCGTCGTCGAAAGAGGTTGAGCCCCAGATCCAGTTTGGCTGGTAGCGACATTGCGAAATCTGGGATCGCCCACGATGAACTTCATACTTTGACACAAGATTCCTTTGACCCCGACAAGCACGTTGATCTACTAAAGAGCCCACGTTTGATTGTAAAGTTTGGAGATACAGGCACCTTTATGTTTGTAAGCGTGATGCTATATGAGAAGTGGTCTTTGTTTAATGTAACGTAGTATGACTATAATAGAGAAAAAAATGCAGAGGGCGTGTTCGTGTAACTTGAGTCATTCAGCACAGGCGATGCATGATTCTTGTACACTATTTAGGAATAGTTCAAAATGCCAGCTAATATCCTTAGTCCTCCCATTCTCCATTGTTGTCCAATCCAATGCATACGAACGATTGTCCTGCTCCAGCATAGCATGCCCATCATTCAACTTTCTTGATCCGATGAGATTTGACTGAAAAACGCTCAAACACAGAAACATCATCCAATATCAGAAGAATCAAATTGGTAGGTTATTTGTAAACCTGCCGGCTAATAGCCCATTCCTCCCATTCACCTTTGTTGCCCAAACCAATACATACTATCGATTGCCCTGCTCCAGCCCATCATTCCCATCATTTAACTTTCTTGATTCGAGGTAACCTGGTAGTAAAGGCAATGACTGTTGTTGGATCATCATTATCATGTAAAGTGTAAAATGGCACACACCCTTTTGCTATACGTGAGGATCATGTAATTTATTTACGTGTACCTATTGTCTATCGTGAGGGTGATGACGACGATGGGTGGATGGTGTGTATAGGGTAATTGATGAGCGGCCTCAGTGTAATAGCAGTAGGGGATTTAAACTTGGGGGCCGGTAGCTCCACGATTTGAGACAACGCTTCTCTTCTCTTTCTCACGCCTCTGCTTTTATTCCATTCACGACATCTCGATCAAGGTAATGTATTATCAAAGAGTGCTCTTCTTGGCTGTGAGGTGCTAATGTAGTTCTGAACATGCATTGTCAGGGAGTGAGTGTGTGTCCAAATGCTGAGGAATGAGCGTGGTTGGTGGTTGGTGGTTGCCATGGCGATATCGTTGCTTCCTTTTGCTCGTTGCTATTCCCGCTCTACGCTTAGTGTCAACAGCTACATTCAGAGTCTAATGTTGCAGCCGAATTGGTTCCATTGACGCGTCAGCTTGTCTAGAGGGCAAGTTTGGTTTCAAGACGTTGGCTGGTTTGGTGTTTTGTTTCGGCTCAACTATACTACTACACCATGGTTTTCAGGTTTCCAGTAACCAACAACAACGGGTCTTTGTGTATATGGAAAAGGCAAGTACAATGAAACAAACAATGAAAAGGGTGTTTATTGTGTATGTGCTAATAATGAATTGAATAGGTTTCTTTGGTCAGGCAATGCAACTTGGGGCATCATCATCATCTCTTTGGATTCAAGTCCCAGCCTGTATCAAGTGGACGCTGCGTCGCTCTTCACTAGCCAAGTGTGCTGGAAAAGCTTCTTGGAACACGTCCAGGGCTCTATAGGCCTGCGTTGAGTTAGGATAGGTCGATGACAATGGGTTTTTGGAAGGGCATGGTCACCGTGTTGAGGTAAAAGGGGATTTGCAACAGCTTGTGAATGTGTTGACATCAGCGCAAACCAACACGCTCTTCTCGTGATAGGCTCGTTATTTCCCTTGAGGATTTCTTTTCATGAGGTGGGAAACGATTGGAAGGATTGGGGATCATTCTTCTTTGAAAAGGAGCGCATACACTTATGTCACCTACAAAAAATCAACTTTCAAGTGACAGATGGATTTATCACTTCGACTCGGCACTCCAAAATGCTTGACCACTTTATCAGTTTGATCAATCATGACAACAATTCCCACGGCCACTCATATATAAACAAGGCTGTTTGCATCAACACTACCATACGCCCGTTCTTTCTACTTGAATGCATACATTATCAATGGCCTTTGGTAAGTCTCAACGATATTCTTTATGTGATTCCCAAAATGAAGATACTCATGCATTTATCTTGTAGCCTACTTCATTACTTTATCACTTGATGACGTGATTATTGCTACCTAATGACATTTGGCTGTGTTCGTTGATGGGCTTTTTGTGGTAAGAATAACTATCATTATATATCAAAAAGATGCCTAGTCTCATAGGAATTTGGTACTCCTTTGTAGGTGGCATAAGTACACACGTCTCAAGCTACTGGACCCAATGCCTCAAGTCACCTGACATCAAAGTAGATTGAGCCACTAGAACAAGTTCGGCGTGCTGAGCATCAACCGGTATATTGCATTTACAATGTTTGAGTACTTGAATGGCATATATTGACATGTCGTAATATAGACCCATCTACCTTTGACACATGGATCAAAAACGTACACAATTCGCACGCCACAACAAAGCAGAATCCACAGCGCCACAAAATTACCCAAGTCCTACTGAGGTGTCGTGTATGGATGTTGTAGTATGAGACGTGGTAAGAGTAAGTGATACTCGGTGAAGGTGTTTATTCTTAAGAGGAAGAACGAGGAAACTAAGATTGGATAGTAACCAAGGATAACCATACACGAGCTGAGTCTGGATGATGGGTACACGTGATTATTCGTGGACACGACACCTACATGGATGCGTTAAAAGAATACTTTGTGTTCGCCACCACCTTTGCCCAAACTGGTGATTCATCGATGCTTGCAGGCTATAGGATGCAACAAGAGCGGCAGCGCAAGAACAAACATTTGGTTGAAGTTGGTGTATTCGGCTTCATCGATGCTATCTTAAGGAATGTGTCCCATCATGATACGTACCTTTCCAGGAATTGTGTTGGAGCGGATAAGGCCACAATCCAATTCGTTAAGATTGTCAAACATGTGTTAACTGGTTTCCATCTACTGAGTCATTCAACGGGACATCCTATCGCTGATCATGAACGAACGCTTTAACAAGATGATAATCCTCACGTGGCAGTATACACAACAGTGGCAGTAGGCTATTTAGATTAGTATGTTGAGATCGTGTAAGTAAAAAGAAGCATTCATCCTTTGGGTTATAAGTTTTGGACATTTCGGTGTATCATTATCTTGTATACTTGGTCGCGAGGCGAAGGGATAATATATGTGCATAAATGGTTGGATATTGGAAAAGAGTATAAGAGGAGAGAAATGGAATACCAAGGGTGCATTTGGATATAAGTGAAATCGAGCGCCTGCTCTACCTGGACGCAAAGTTCAATTCTTGTTTGTCTATAATGGGCATGCTTTATTCCTCAAAGTGTATGGCAAGGAGCTACGACGATCATCTGGATTTACCACTGTTGAGAAGACCTGTATGTAATCATATTTAAATGCAACCTTTATTAAAGAAGCACCATAATTGCAATATGACAAGTGATGATGATGATGATGATATATGTAAATTGGTAATGAGGAAAGCAATCCCAATCAGGGAATCATGTTACGGGAGCAATGGATATTTGAATTGAATCTTGTTGTTGTGAGAGAGAGATCAGATCATTTGGATGCGATGCGCGTCAATTATTGTCGTATTGGGTTTCACTGCGTTCTCCAATGGATGATAAAGGTGATTGAAAGAAACGACCTTCCACGAGGTTATGCTGGTGTCTTTTGAAACATGTCATGCTGCAATAGTTGCCGAGGAAAGGAGTTTGCACATACCCATGTGGCCAAGAGAATACCGCTCGCACTTGTGCAGGACCCACAAACCAAGATCGACACGTGCTGCATGTACGAGAACCTCCTCCGATAATTGATGCGAAGTAATCCATTGGCACCCCACGTCGAAAAGATCGCAACCATGAAAAAGTATGGCAAAGCTGCTCTTGTACTATTGAAGAAAAGCCAACAGCGGCTGGAATTGATGATCCTCGATAACACCATTGACCGCTTATAGCATCCAGCTCAATACGTCGTCGATCGAAAAGGACAAGGTCTTCTGGGTGGTTGATTGTTGCTGAGGTTTCATGATGGATCTGCAACACTAGTTGATGCGTATCAGCTTGCTGTTCAACACGTGCAAGGTGAACTACATAATCAGCTCGAGAATAGCCACCATCAAACAGCATATCGTTCATGTCCATGATCTGGATGGTCTGATAAATGGGCGTCGTAACGTATACACGCACACCAAACACCGATTGGAAGGGTTCACCACGTGGTACGTCATGTCGTTGTGTAGTGAGAATAGGGATGGCTGGTGGCATATACCAGGAAACTCGTGCTGTTGGTGGTATGGGTGGTAGTGGTAAAAAGTCTTCGGGAAAGAAACTTGTTGCTTCTTGCTCATTACGGCGAAACACTCTCAACGTCCCTTGATCCGCATCATCGTGTTGGCCTTGAATAATACTCGATTGATCAGCTTGAAGAAAGCACAACGTGATAACATTGGACCTCCTTTGTTTACCTGCCCAAGAGATCGCGCCTTCGAAGTTTTGTATATCAATGTCATGCAAATGTTTGGCGAGGAGAGTAATAAAATTGATGACATATTGCAGCCAATACATGTACTCGTAAAACTCTTCCATCTCAGACCAACGCAAGGTCGTAGTTGTTGTGTTATTGTTATCATCGCTGGTAGTAGTGTTGTATAAACGCCATCCACACCACGATGATGGTGTTTTTGTCATGCGTAACATGCGTCCATAATCCATAGCTGTTCTTTTAGACGTCCCAGGAGGTAACCCATGCAAGTGATGTACGATAGCATCGAAGCTATATGGAACTGCATCTCCACAAAGGTTGTTGCGTCCAGAGGCGAGAACGTTGTACGTGTCAACAATATCTTGCGGAAGCGACGGGTGCACAACAAACTGGCCTGCAAAGTCTGTGTGATAATCCATGTTTTGGGAAAAGAAGTGGAAGAGAGACAAAGTATGCAGGATTGCGGAACCTACAAAGATTTATGCAACGTGACATGTGTCCCACAGAACAATCACTTTGAACAACCTGGGGGAGATACGTAGCATTTATGACATTCAATCACGAGGACAAAGATTGCGTTGATGTAATCATACCAGCAACTACTGCTTCAGGTTTGGGTTGTTTAAATTCAGGAATCGAGCCGCATTAAGCGTGCACGGACTTGGCTAATACCACCATTTGCCACAGCAAGATAAGCTCGATGATTATGGCCATTGAATAATATCATTTTATTGATCCAAGTATCCAGGGTATGTTTATGGTGCATGTTCACAATGATAGAGCAAGCGGGATCTGTGTGCGTGTGTGCATGATCTCCAGGTCGACGAGAACAAAGAAGCGCTCCTTCTTTTCCCACTCCCCACTTCACAAAGACAAGTAAGTCTCCCTCCATTCACAACCACAATCCCTTAACGGCCGTCATTCACCTTCAATGCACAACTCCAATAGCTACCATGTCAAACGATCGATAGTCCATGGCGCGTCAAGTCCAATGCCGAACCTTTCTCCTCCCTGTTCCAGAAAGACACACGCGATCTACCCATGACTCGAGGCCCCATTCCAATACATAAAGTATGTTCAAGCACTGCACTTGTTTTATTACTCAAGCTGGTTGCTCTGATACTAAAGTTTCATTTGCAGGTTGCTGTTCTCTCTATTGTACAAGATCCTAAAGGGGGCCGTATGTGTATATGGATTCTTCCTCTATGTCAACAAGGGAGCCCAACACTTTGTTTGCATTGTCACTTCTGGGTACATTGAAAGGAACATGGATGGATAGGTAAACTTGTGATCTTACATGGCGTTTATTATTATAGGTCGGCAACGTTGGACGGAAGCAACAGGACATTGATCTCAAAGAACGCTGTTCACTGTCTCACAGGTACGTATACATTGGATCTACGTTACAAGCAACAATTCTCATAATGACACAGAGGCAGGGCTAATGAAGATGCGCTTATTTCATCCATTTCTGCTGGTGGTGCTCCAAGTGTCGTTTCTATGGCTTCAAGGAGGTCTACTATCGTTTCCAAGTCAATCATTGTACCCTGGTGGTGATCCATTTGATTCCGTGTTTTGGCTATCATGAAGGTTTAAGTATATTTCCATACAATGCTCAGCAACTTCGCTATTAGATAGACCCCTTGCAAAGCGATAACTATTTAAAAACATGCCTGATTCAATAAACACCTTGGCTACAGCTACACACTGCACCCCCAACCTAGGTATATTCACATCTATATAAAACTACCAGCTGCTTTCCACACCCAGCAAGAGCACTTTTATATACATAATACATTGTCTTGGCAGGTTGTTGTGGATGGGTTATAGAAGCAAGAGGAGAGACAAGCTTGTATCAAGTCGTTAATCTTTTGGTACCCCCCAATGTATTAAAGACCTCACGTTTCATTGTAAAATCGTGAGATATGGCCGTCTTTATGTTTTCACTATGCTGTAAGCGTGATGCTATATAGAGGGTGGTCTTCGTTTATTGTGAAGTAGCTGGACCCTATAGGGTCGGAGATGCAGAGGGACTTCTTTGTGTAACGCAGCCAAAAGTCAGCGCCTGTGGATAATGCATAATACTTGTACACCATTCAGGAACAGTTGACGAACTGCCAGCTAATAGCCCATTCCTCCCATTCACCCTTTTTGCGCAATCGAATGCTTATGAACGATTCTACTGTTCCATCCCATCATTCTCACCCTTCAACTTTCTTGATCCGATGAGATTTGACTGAAAAATGCTCAAACACAGAAACATCATCCAATATCAGAAGAATCAAATCGGTAAGTTATTTGTAAACCTGCCGGCTAATAGCCCATTCCTCCCATTCACCTTTGTTGTCCAAACCAATGCATGTGGACGATTGTCCTGCTCCAGCCCAGCATGCCCATCCTTCAACTTTCTTGATCCGAGACGTTTTGACCGAGTTACGCTCAAACACAAAACATCATCCAATATCAGAAAAATCATTTTGCAAAGTTATTTGTAAACTGCCACTTGATAGCCCATTCCTGCCATTCACCTTTGTTGCCCAAACCAATACATACGAACGATTGTCCAGCTCCAGCTGAGCATCACGATCATTCAACTTTCTTGATTCGAGCTGATTTGACCGGGTTACGCTCATGCACAGAAGTATCATCCAATTTCACAAACATCATCTTGAAAGATTATTTGTAAACCGCCAGCCAGCAGCCCATTTCTCCCATTCACCTTTTTTACCCAACCCAATGTATGTGAACGACTCACCTGCTCCAGTCCATGATGTCCATCCTTCAACTTTCTTGATCCGAGGGGTTTTGGCTGAGCAACGCTGGAACAAAGAAATCTCATTCAAACATCAGGAAGTGTAATAAATTTCCATCTCTTCCACTCCCACTTCTTCTCTTTTCTCTTCCTCCCATTCTCAACTGTTCGCCCATTCAAGCACCATTACCACCTGCAAACGATTGTCCTGCTTCAACCCATCATGTCAAGCCTACAAATGTATTGATCCCATGTTCTTTGGCTGAATGGCAAGTCCATGGCGTGCACACAATCTTCTTGTCACTCTACTTCAACACCTGCCTTTCTTGATACAACACACTCTCTTGCACACTCCTCCGGCACAATCACACGTAGCAACGTTCATTCCAGCAGCTACTATTAGCGATATAACGTTCACAGCCTTGTCACTCTACTACAACATACACTCCTTGCGCATTACCACGACCAACGTAACAGCTGTCGCCATTAGCAAGGTCGCTACTCGATTGTCCAAGTTACTTGCAGCAACCTGCCTTGCAGTCTTTTCTACGTGAACAGCAGATAGCCATTGTATAGAAGCGTCTTTACTACGTGCAGCAACTTGCTTCCACGAATTCCTATGGATGATGCCATATCAGCTATCAAGTACACCTCATACAAGCAATTTCACCTGGTTGAGCTACGATGAAAATGACCAAAGAAGAGATAGACCAACAGCCGGATGGAAAAGGAAGCATATCAGAAATGGCTATGGATAGATGAATGGATACAATTAAGTGCAGCGACGAGGAATCCTGGATGTTGCATTGGTTACTTGGCGAGTCGTCAGCAGAAAGGTTGGATCCTATCATGTGGATACGGGTGAGTGAGATGATGGATTGGATGGAATTGAGTAAAAGGCTTATCTCTTTGAAGATCGGTGTTTTGCAGGCATGGACGGTTCATCAAGTGCATGTACGGCAGCTATTTTTCAATCATGGATGAAGGATGTTTATGGCGGCAGCAACCAAAATAGAATGACTTACCCCTGTTGACTCCTCGATGTGATTTACCCTTAGCTTACTCAATTTACAATACTATTCCTTTGTCGTATTTACTTGATAAACATCCACACTATCATTTGCTATTCTTCGCCTCTTCATTGAACGAAAGTTGGATTCAACATAATATTATTTAGAAGGGTATCGTACTATCGGCTAGTAGGCTCAACATGAGGATCACTTGGCTGCTTTCTGGATTGAAAGGGGAAAGCGAGGTTGGGACGTTTACATCATCGTATCTAGATGCTCTTGTTCTTCTGTGACAACATTATTACTGCATGTGCTAAAGCTTCCTAGTTCACATGCTGATAGATGAAGGCAGCGGCAATTCTTGCACACTTGTATTGGAAAGAAAATGAATGCGAGAGCGAAGCTGCCCACCAGCACTAGTGCTTGTTATAGAAACTTGGTTCATTGTAGTACTATACCTGACATCCTTAGCAAAGTCAATTTGCATATACCACTGATAATCCCATCACGCCCATTCTAAATTGGAAAAAGCAATAGCGTTCAAACACATGAGTCTGCTTAATATTAAAAGACAAGCAAGAGCACGAACTCAATACTTTTCATCAAGAATAATGGTAGATACAAGGATGGATGAGGTAATGTCTAGACATTAAAGTTACAAACTACACGATAAGTCTGGCCTCGAATGACAGCTTCAACACGCAGCTCGACTTCGCCAAAGTACATCTACGTCTTGTTGTCAGGATACCTCCTTGTATATGATATGCGACCGTTACTTACCTTGATAGTCAAATCAAGGGGTTCCCCTTCTGCAACATCCGGTAGTACGGGCATTGGAATCTCGAAATCAAACACTTTTCGCACACCTGGTTGCAGTGTATATCGAGGCATCTCATCTGTACTTGCTGCATAAAAGGTGCATGCTGTTGGACAAGGGTAAATGGTCTTGTACTTTTGGGTGATACAGCTATCCATGTCTACATGCCAATTGATGGTAAGCATGACCTCCATAATAAATCTTATCCATGCACATTACCTAATGGCTCGCCACGTGGTACAAAGCATGAAAAGCGATTATCGCAGCGTACGCTTCCATCAGCACGAATGATTTTGTATTCTTCAGGGTCGACACCCGGCACAAAGGTGTTGGTGATATCAATACCATACCAATAGCGGGGTACACGCGTTGCCACCTTGTAAGGATTCATGCCAAAGTAAGCTGCACCTCGAGCAACAGCAAGCTCTGTTACAAAACAGCCGTTTGAGCACAATTGATCATTCCACATCTTCCATGCACACGTTACCTGCACGATATGGAGTCACCACCTTGATATTTTGCTTGGTATATTCCTCGGCTATCCGTTGCTGAAGATAATGCGATGCTCCAAAACCGCCCACAGTAAAGATGGCTTTAAGATTGGTTGTCTGAAGTCGTTGCTTTTGAATCAATGCAAGCACATCCTGAACCACAGGTTCGAAAACACGTTCCTTGAGCTCATCCACTGTGAATCGCAAATAGCCTGCATCCAATCCAATTGATTCATCCGTTTGCTCAGGTGTCAAACCAAGGGTAAGTGGGATCGGCATAAACATGTCATCGGTTCCATCAAATTCGGGCTTCATTGTATCTATTGCATAAAATCATAGTCAGCTATCCAGACATCTCAATATAGCATGCTTCTCAAGACGACATACCCACAAATGTCTCCATCATGCTCTCCATGGCACCATCAGGGATACGATCCACGACCTTTTTGAGTTTGCTCTTTAGCAACTTTCGCATCCTCTTATCCACAAAGCTGGATCCACATGATTTGCCCATTCCCTTGGTGCTCTCCTTGAAACGACGCGTGCCATCAATGCCCATCTTGACCGTAAATACAATCAAGTCAACCGTACCACCTAATTGTACCTTGTCAATATCCTTGTTTCGATCAACCCCTTATGATTGACAAGCCTACCTCCAGCATCACAAATCATGAATTCGTCTCCATCGCTCATATCGAATTGCTCGCATGAGTTCTCACAATAAATGGCAGCAGCTTCGGGTTCGGAAATCAGCATCAATCGATCGTGGGGATCATCCTCGCTGATCAAGCCTGCTAAGATAGCGGCATCACGCATTGCTTTTTTTGACTTGTCAGACCACATGGCAGGTACCTACAATATTCATCATCATCGTAAGACTTTGTATCTCTGCTTTTCGGATCTCCTTGGCCATACCGTTAAGCAATAGCGATATTGATGCTCTTCAAATTGTTGGGCAAATCCTTTCTTCATCTCCGAAACCACATGTGCATGAAATGCTCGCAAATAATCTGATTCATCCCATCCATATTAACTCATTCCATTCCCTGATGTCGACCTTGATATCCGATTGATTACTTACCTGCTACCAGCTGAATAGGTTTAATGCCACCGGGAAGTGGGAGGATGCCATCAAGACTGTCATCGAGATACAACTTGTACAAGTTCAAAAAGATAAAATTGTCCTGGGTAGCTTGAGAACGTTTTTGACGAGCTGCATTACCCCAAGCTGCAAGTTGCTATGTATATTCTCATCGTAAGTTCTCTTCATTCATCCAATAATACTCATCTCATATCCTTACCATGGTATCGGATTTGTAAAGCTGACCGTTTGAAAGGATGTGCGCGCTATGTCAGTTACTTGTCGCCCAAATCCATGTCCTCACAATCCAATCTCACTTACACTAGCAGTTGGTGCCTATGATGATACTCTATGTTCAATAAAAGTATGCATATAGCTTCCTTGTAACTCACCTTGGGGTATCGATGAGCCGGTTGCTTTGGCCTAATGGATCGCATACGCGATATGAATCAATCAATCAACTCGTACCAGAAGAGAGTTTGCATCCTACCATGTGTTGATATCGGCGACCTCTTCAGAGGAAAGGATACAGTAAGCAGCACCACTATACGTTGTACCTGAACCAACAAGATCAGCATTCAGTGCGTTGGGGATCATCTCGTAGCCATACCAAAGTCAATGCCGACAATGACACGATACTGATCGAGGACAGCTGAAGACACCATGTTGGAAATGCGGCTTCAGCAAAAAGCGAGGGAGAGAGAGAAAAGGCTGAGGGGGAGGAGGAGCAAGGTGGTAACATTTATTATTCGTGTGCTATAGCTGATGTCGTGCTTGTACCACGGGACACAAAAGCGACTGAGCCTCACCTCTTTTTGAAATGCGGCGCATCTATGTAGATAATAACATTGTTGACAAAGGATAAAAATACACGTGTAGTGGAGGAGCAGTAATCACGAGAGCATCCCAGCCATTGCAGCTGATATGCAAGTGGAAATGAATCCACAAATCATAGCTGATACAACAAGCCTTGAAATATCCCCAGTACGCCCTGGAGCAAGAGAACCAAGTACACCAATCTGCATCCCCATTCCAGGAACATTGGCAAATCCACATAGTGCATACGTCGCTACAAGCGTCGACCTTTCACTTAATTGTCCCGCATACGTCGTCATCATTGCTTGATACGCCATGTACTCGTTCGCCCAGATCTTGAGTGCCATCAATTGCCCAACTTTAACTAGATCACCATTATCCACACCCATCAACCATGCCATCTATATAAGAATATCCTATTAGTAATTTCATCATTGCTTGAATCCATCCACTTACGGGTACAAATACATATCCAGTTATCATTTGAAGTGAGAGCTCTTGAATATTGACAAAGTGACCTAGCCAAGTCAATCCAGCATTGATAGCATAGAGCAAGGATAGAATGGCAATGATGTTGGAAGCCATACATAACACCACTGAGATACCAATGGATCCACCATTTGCTAATGCATGTAATAGATTGGATGACCTGTCGCTGGGATCAGCTGGTGGAATCTTGATTTCGTGTCTTGTGAGTGATTCTTGTGTCTCTGGATATCGGATTTTGGATACCATCAAAGAACATGGGATTGACATGATGCATGATGTGAGCAACGCTTCACCAGAAACGCCCAAGGCCATGTATCCTGCCAACATGGATCCTGCCACGGTGGCAAATCCGGATGTCATGATTTGATGTAGCTCGGCTCGTGTAGCGTATCGTAAATAGGGCCGTACCAATAGTGAGCTCTCTCCTTGTCCAAGAAATGGCTAAATCGTTCTTCTTCTTAGCTTTGTATGTTTCAAATCTTCTATCATCATCATCACATACCGATGCTGCTGCTACAATAGCCTCCACACCTGATACTTGAAATAATTTGATAAAGATGACTGCAAATCTTGTAGACACCCATTGTAAAGCACCCAAATGATAAAGCATCTGCACCACAGCGGAGAAGAAAATGACGGCAGGAAAGACAACCACAGCAAAGTAGGGGAGATTGGCAATTGGATCGGTGGTCAGGAACGCCATACCATGTCGTGCCATACCCAAAAACCCCTGGACGAAATTCGACATCCATTGAAAAATATCATGACCAACCGATGATCGAAATACGAATAAGGCGAGCAAGAATTGGAATAACAGCCCACTGCACACAATGAACCAATTGATCGCTCTACGTCTCTACGCATTTATATATCATGTGAGTGTTTGATTGAAAAAGAGATACCATTATTTCACGTACATGAGAGGAAGCTGTCAACAGCAACACGAAAACGATCAACCCAAGTAATGAAATCAAGCGTTGTTTGCGTGTGGATTTTGTTTCCGGAAAGCTGAATACGGTTGCAACAATGACGGTGGTGACAAAGAGTGCATATATGGACAAACGCCAGCGTTTGCTCAGCCGGAGGAAAGGTGCCATTGTCGAGTGCCCAGCATGATAAAGCGGCCGAGTGACTCGAGAAAATGAGATGTACTGACAAACGATGTATAGAGTAAACCAAGCGTAGATCAAACCCAAGATCAAATTCTCGGAATTGTATCCCTTGGGTACTTGAAGTATATATGCAGCCACCAAGAAACCAGTAAAAACGAGCCACATGGCTAAGCTATTGCAAGAGAAAATAACCATGAGCGTGTGGCCTATTTACTTGCTGTGCTTGTAACAAGAGAAGACTCAACTGGAACCATGGTCGATGTGTATCGTAAATCAAAGCCAGTGAACCCTTAGCGTCATCATCATCCTCATTTCCATATTCGTATTCTTCTGGTCGTGGTGTCACGCCTCGTTCCATATCGATATGGGTATCATTTGGACCACCAACAATGTCAGCTTTGGATTCTCGTTGTTGTTGTTGTTGCTCCTTGTGGGCTGGAATATCATCCTCAGTACTCGTTGGTGGTGAGTGCATAATACCCAAATGGTACAAAAAGGAAGTTGGCTTCGAAACAGGAAAAGGGGATAAAGAAAAGGTGAGCTCATTTTATAGTAAGGGGATGACTTTCTGGTTGCATGCATGGTCTAAATTTACACACACGCACGACATGCAGCCTTCCTGCAGCAATAGAAGAAAGGGGGACATGGAGCAGTGAAAGTATTCATATCCGGCAATAGCCTTGAAAAAAGACATTACCATTGTCATTCGTTTTATCCATCATCAACCCTCTGCCATCGTGTGCAACATCATTTACGCACATCATAATGCAATCAACGTGTGAATAATTCATGCAGGTATGTGATGTTTGTGAACCACGTGATACATCTGATAGCTTGATTCCATCACACAACAACAACTGCCATCTTCCATCATACTATCATACATGTGTTATACGTCAACAAAGATATATTAAAATACTACATGCATAAGTTGTACACAATGGATAGCTTATTAGTTGGAAGGTGAAACGGATGGAATAATAAGTGTTTCTCCAAGCTTGAGGACTGAGAAGTCATGTTCATCATGGCCACGCTTTTTCATTGCATCCCGTAGTCGACGTGGTGGTTCAGAGACATCCTCGTCCGTAAGCACAAATGTACCCCAATGAATACCAATCTACCATCATGATCCACTTAGCCCCGATGTTTGTCAACAATAGCCATCCATCACAACTTACCGATCGTTTACTTTTGACATCTTCATGAACGCGTACAGCATCTTCAGGAGAGCAGTGGATAGTAGACATGAACCATCGTGGGCTGTATGCTCCAATGGGGATTAATGCAAGGTCGAAAGGTCCCTGCTTATCACCGATTTCTATATAACCCCGCAAAATGTTGTCAGTGATTCGTCACACACACAACACCATGGTACACGCATACCTTTAAATGCCGGGCAATGGGGCAGTGAATCAAGGTATTCCTCATCATACTCTTTGTTTCCAACACCGGCAGGCACAGCGCGATAACCAGTGTCTCTACATACGTAACTCAGTAACAGTCCATCCAATCCATTTTTGGCATGTGATGACGAACTCACCCTCCAAAATAGACGTTGCCACGTCGATTACCATCTTGAATTCCTTCCACACACCACGAGGCCCACAATGTTTTGTTGCGATCGAGTAAACCACGGCCCGAGAAATGCTGACATGGGGTACATGTGATTTTGAGTGCCCTTGAAGCGTCCAACGATATTGTAGCGTGATCCCACCAATCCATTTCTATGACTCTATCTTGCTTCACCGTGCCATTGAACCATGCCTTATTACCGAGAGGGACATAAAAATTGGCGTCTGGATATTGATTGGCGAGGGTCTTGATAGTAGGAGCATCCAAATGATCGTAGCTGCATCAATGTAAAAGATTAGTTTTTGGAGATGCATGATGGCATGCATACTACTCAACTGATTATGAGAAATGATCACAGCATCTATCCGAGGAAGTTCATCCAATTTGCAGGGAGGTTCAGTATAACGCTTGGGACCAGCGAACGATAAAGGTGAGCATCTATGTATGTAGAACACACAATAAGTATCTTGGATACCCGCATACATTCCTTTTTCTTTACCTGTCCGAGAAGATTGGATCAAACAAGACATTGAAGCCATTCACTTGGACGAGCGCACAGGCACTATTAATTACATAAGGGTAAATTTAATGCATACATGTTATGAAGGAATGAATGAATGCACACTTACTGCCCAATCCACGTTACTACCACGGCACCCTCTCCAGCTTTTGATGGTGCATTGATAACATCCCATTGCATTTGCTCAACTGTTTGTGGTTTGGTCGACTCGGTAATAGCAGCTTCTGCCTTGCCCAGCTTGTTCTCCAAAATCATCTTGATCGTGTCCAAGGCTGTTGGTTGGTGTGCCGATTCCCAAGGATTGGCTACAATGACCTCGGGTCAGTTTACTGGTTGCTCCTATACTTGCTTTCAACACATACTAAAGCGATTGCCATCGTGGTGATCGCGATTGGTAGACTTGTCAGCTCGAGTGAGAGTAGGAGGTTGTGGCATATTGGAAAGTTGATAAAGATAAAGACCGGCTCCGGAAGCAGTGATGGGAAATGCAAATTTACGTCCAAACTGGAGTAAACGCCTTTGGGCCATGTGATTAAAGAAAAAAAAAGAAAGAAAGAAAGAGATGAAGATAACGGCATTCGGGTGTACTTGTATTCCGTGGAGATAGATGGTCTGATCGCATATACAGGCACAACAAGGTCGGGATGTCTTGTACGTACTCAGCGGCCATGGATACCAACAAAGTTTGACGTGCCATGCGGGCATGGTTACCACCCAACGACGATTATCTCATTGCATGTAGCCCTCTTCCTTTGAGATAATAAAAACCTCTCTTATTATTCTTGACATGATCTCTGTTCGGCAAGGTGACGAATGATGTGTTTTATTTGAGTGCTTGGATGAAGGAGCTACAAGCTATAGGAGCATTGCTTTATCCGCTGGCGCGGTTTCACAAACCTTCTCTCTTTTCATTCTCTATAATGCAACCCCAGTCAACCGTTACGATAGCGCCTATTTACGAGTTGGCACGGTCCTTATACCACACATTCCCTTCATCAAACGAGTACTCGGATCAGTTGGCAGCAGCCATTCAAGGGTGGCGATCAGATGCTGCTGGTATGGGCCTTTTGCCTCGACTCGAACCAGTGGTCAAAATGTCGCAAGAGCGTGCATCACTATGGCCTGCGTTAGTGAATATGGTGCAACAAGTACAACAGGATCCAAAGACGACGTTATTGTTTGCAAGTATCATGGAGAGCATGCCACTTGTTGCAGCTGTGGAGCGTGCATTGGAAGGCGATGATGATGATGACGCAGTGATTCGGTTTATTGACAGCCTATGCCTTGATCAACCCCAAGTACAACACGATCAGGTGATGACCAGTATTCAAAACTACCTTGATACGCTTGATCATATGAAACGACAAGCCGTTAGCCAAGTTCTCAATCAACAACGCTATCAAGCTATGGAAGGTATGTATCATCTCAATGCCGCATATGGATCTTGTTGGATAAGGTATTGATAGTGGGGTATAGATGATTACATGGCCCAAATCCATCATATCTTGAATGATCAGGCGATCTTCGACCAATTTGAAAGAGTGCTACTTGATGATCATGTCCCATGGGCCGATCGACTTACGAATGTGTATCAGCTGATCAAGACTCACAAACCAGAAGTATGGGATCAAATCAGCCTTGTGTTGGATCGAATCGAAGCGGACCTCGGTAAGATGATGAATTATAACAACAACATGCACTTTTTTATTCTAAATGTAATATGGATATAGATACACAACAATACAGCTCTTATGAGGAATACGTGCAAAAGAACTTTTTGGATGATGGTGGTCAACAATATCTGGATAGCGAAGTGGAACAAGCCCAAGTGGAGCATATGTTAGGATCAATGAACATGTAAATAGTAAATGTATATATGGATTCTTTTTTCAATAGTGGGTCAATGTTGAAAGCCTGGTCGACCATCGATGTTGATTTAATTTCTTGCTGGTGCTGGTGCGACTTGTTGGTGGTGATGATGGCAGCTGTCTGCTGTTTATTGTTGGCATAGTACTAAGGGATGAGCTCAATGGGGTGGATGTTATCGATGATACGGCGGCTTTGTGGCTATTCTTGTTGTAGGGGATGGGTTGTTGATCGATAGCGAACATGGCCAGCACACGATCCGATTCATCAGACCAGTGAGCTGAACACAAGCGATGTTCCAAGGGTAAAAGGCCATCCAACTTCTCAATCATTTGGCCGCGTGACACAAAGCTGTCAAAGTAAGGATTACGGCACGCACTGCATGATTTGGGATTGCCAAGGTATCTCCGAAGATGTGTGGGGAGGTTTTCATGAATAGGGAGTTGCTGCTTTATGATGAGGCGTGCACAGCATTCAATTAATGAAGGTGGATCGTGCGCAAGTGGATACGCCAACTTTTGTTGTTCTTTTGGATCGATGAGTGGGCATTCTCGAAGCAAAAGTCGACGTAAATGTGTCAATCGTGCGATTTCGGCAGGCAAAACATAAAGTGGATTTTGCGACAAGTTGAGAGTGGCAAGGCAAGTAAGGTTGGAGATCATGGCTGGAAGATCAGCAATTCGATTGGAACATGCATGCAAGATTTCAAGGTTCTTATTGTCAGGTCGACGTAAACAAGGCGTCAAATCTTCGATTCGATTGTATGATACATCCAATTCGACCAAGTTGGTAAGGTTGCATAAGGTGTTGGGAAGGGATGTCAGATGATTGTGTGAAATGTTGAAATATTGTAAATGACATAATGCTTCGATTTCATCTGGCAAAAATGTGAGCTCGTTATAGGACCTATAGAGGATGAGATATGTATGTATGAGTGAATTGTGTCATTTTCCCCCTCCTTTTTGTTCTCTCTCTCTCCCGCCACCATCACCCTCCTCCCATCATCACCACCCCTTCCCCCTTTTCATTAAACCGCATCATCATCCACGCGAAAAACGTGGTGATGCGGATGATAGATAGGATGATGCAGGATGTACATTACTTACAGGTCCAGTCGCTTGATCGAATTAAAGCATGCAATATTAGCTGTAATACTAGCGAACCGACGATTGCAGAGATCCATATGCAGCATTGCCCGATCCATGCAACGATACACATCCATGCATCTCACTCTTCGCTTTTGCATACATTTTTGCTTGTGAGAATGTAGATCTTGGCTTTCCCACCAGTAGCCATTGAAACACGTATCATCATGAACAAGTTCATGACGAGTTGACTTGAATAGCTGATCATCGTAATAGGATTCATCGATATAGGATACGTCTTTGACATGCTGAAGCTGCTCCCAATCATCGTCAAGATTGGTTGTCATTGTTCCCGAGCATGTATTGTTAGTGGTAGATGAAGAAGAGGGCGATGACTCGAGTAATGTATCTCCATCACTAATACTAGTAGGAGATGCTGATAACGCATATAATTGTGGACTTGATATCAAAAGATCATAATGGCTTTGTGATGAGATGAGATCGTCGCTGCTGTTGGTGGTGGTACGTTTTGATTTTCTTCTTCGGGGAGGCACAGAGACATAACCAAAAGTGAGATCACTTTTTGTTGTAGTGCTATTCGCTTGACCCATAGTATATATATATGTATACAAGCAGTACAAGGATCGATCCGGTAGATATTGAAAGATGATGAGGAAGAAAAAAGTAAAAAGAATGAAAAGAAAAAGAGGCGCGTGATGTATTATTATTTGCACGTTTGATGAGCGGCAGCAGGCCCGGTGATGGGGGTTGACCTTAGCTATGACCATTTATGGTCATGGTCATGCATCAAGTGCAGCACGTTTTATTGGCGTCTCAAGCTGTGTGTGCGTGTGTGCAACTCAAGTCAGCTGCTAATGACAGAATACTGTTCTCCTTCCCAAATTTCTCTCGCGTTTTCTGCTCTCCTTTGAACATGGCGATGACTTTAAAATGGAATCTTGTATACTGGTGCAGTTGCATTCCAACAATGACACATACGTAAAAATGCAGGAGGAGAGATGACTTTACACAATGAACCATAGATAATAAATACTCTGAGTATGGAAATCGGTACACACAACATATGGCGTGTACATAAAAAAAGTGCTGGTCTTTGTTTATTCTGCCGGCTGCACTTCTTTGTTTGGCCCATTGGGTTGATTGATGCAGTAAAAGTTGGTCCCAACGACACATGTGCATACGTTAGTAGAAGTAGACATGACCTCTGTTACAAGTCCTTGAAAGAGTGATAGAGTGTGGTTGTGCTTTTGCCGTGGGTTGCGTTTGCATAAACGAACACACTCACACACATCCGCTCGCTGATTTAATTTACGCGCTTTGCATATAGCTGATATATCAGGCAAATGACTTTTATCCCCTGCATCGCATGTACCTTTGTGTTAGCCATCACTTTTTTAGGTAGATATTATCACAGACATGGCTGGATACAATCACTATTGCATTTATTGATCTGCTGGGTTTTCTTCTTCAGTCATCTTGCTTCGAGAGCCAAATGTGTCTCTCACTCGCCCAAATGTAATGCAAGAGAAGCTCAAGAAGGGCATACATTTCTTAATTAACTACTACTGCTCCAACGCCATCAGATAAATGGTTTTGTACGTTGTCCGATGCACATCATCTCTTTTCGGATAAGAATGATAATGCGCTATGGTAATAAAAGTAGCTTTGGGCTTATAAAAGCGAGCGTTCCTGAATCTCTTTATATAGCAAAGAATACAAACAAACTATCTAGTAGTATTCAATGGAGACTATGTACATTTGAAAATATCTTTAAAGAGAGCTCTATTCGAGAGATAAGGTGGTGAGTGATGATATTGATGCGGCGAGTATCACAAGTCAATGCAGCCAACGGATTAGTTACCGATTATCACCCCTCCTTCCCTCATCCCTAATTAAGGTAAATCATCATCATCATGATTGCCACACTGTATGATATTATTCTCATGGTGGATGGATGAATCATCATTGTGTGTGGATGGATGGATGGATGGATGAATGAAGATAATGGATTGATTAACACCAACTTGAATTTCATCTCTCTCTTTACTTTTCGACCACCACCACTACTACCTCGTCCATTCAGTCGCCATGGTGTTGAAGCACAACAACCAACTTCCCAACCAACACTTCCGCAAAGACTGGCAACGTCGTGTTAAGACCTGGTTCGATCAGCCTGGTCGTAAGAAATCGCGTCGTGTTGCACGCATTCAAAAGGCAGCTCGCATTGCTCCTCGTCCTGTTGATGGTTTGTTGCGTCCTGCTGTTCGTTGCCCCACTCAACGTTACAACATGCGTCTTCGTGTTGGCCGTGGTTTCACTCTTGAAGAGCTCAAGGAAGCTGGTATCAACCGCAAGGAAGCTCGTTCTATTGGTATTGCCGTTGACCATCGTCGTCGCAACCACTCCCAAGAGTCCCTTGAATTGAACGTTCAACGTCTCAAGGCTTACAAGGCCAAGTTGATTGTTTTCCCTCGCAAGGCCTCCAGCCCCAAGAAGGGTGATTCTGATGTAAGTAGATGATGGTTGCTATGGGAGAGATGATTTGATGGCTCATCATCATCATCATTGTTATTACAATAGGCTGCTGCTGTTGCTTCCGCTGTTCAACTTCGTGGTGCTATTCTTCCCGTTGAACAAGTTGCTACTGCCCCTGAAGCTCGTGCCATCTCTGCTGATGAAAAGAAGGTTAACGCTTACATGAAGCTTCGTTACGCTCGCTCTGCTGCTCGCACTCTTGGTGCTCGTGAAAAGCGTGCTCGTGATAAGGCTGAGGAGGAAGCTAACAAGGTAAGACATCATGAGAAACATCGTGTTTAGTAGTCGTACTCATACGCTCTTTGTCTCTGTTAGAAAAAATAAGCGATCCCTCGACTTGACACCCTCTCAACACTTCACCGCACTCCAAACCCACCTATTTACAACCGACATTGACATTGACACTTTCAACACTACACATTCCATGTATTATACAATAAATTGTGTTGTGCAAGTTACAATACAGATAATTACGCATATACGAATACGATGAATCGAATGATGTATTAGCATGGATAAGGAGAAGAGGTATTACAAAAGGATTGAGAGAGAGGGAAACCATGGTTACCAGCCTGCCGAATGACCATCACCACGAGGATCACTACCAGCAGCCAGCACACGTTGACCCGTTGTCTCATCATTCTTGACACGAATCACTTGACCACGACCAAACATCGAACGTGCATAGCCATGGAGACGATAGCACACGTGACCCATGCCCTCTAATTGGCGAATGGTTTCTTGGGGAATGCCATCTTCAATGTATACAACGCTGTCTTGGACATCCGTAAAAGTATATGCGACGGTAGCACCACCCTTGGGAGGAGGAGGCGAGATACACACACGAGGCATATCAAGGGCATGTTGTGGATTGGAAAGGAAATGCATGAGATTCATGATTACTTGGACTTGTCCTTGGGGTTGCATGTATCCACCCATCACTACAACATACGTTAAAGATGGATCAGGTTTCATATTTCATGCATACTTACCACCAAAGCAAGCTTCGAGATCGTGGTCCCCTTGTGGTGTCTTGCGTGTGATCATGGATGGAATGATGGTATGGTAAGGACGCTTGCTAGGTCCAATGCAGTTGGGATGGTTTTCAATCAAGACGAAATTGGCACCACGATTGTGCAACGCAAAACCACAGCCTTCAGGAACAATATGCGACTATGTTTGGAAGAATAAGTAAACATGACGACAGCCTCTATAGCTTAAACTTACCCCAAAATGCATAAAGTTTGAATTCTGTTACACACACATACATAATGTTAGTATACTTGCATGAATCGTTAGATAATGAATACACATACAATAAAGCTGCAGGCATTGCCTTCACCATCGACGACCGAAAAATATACAGTGTTGCTCTCATCTTCAGGGTATCCCTTTTGTACATCGCCGTTGCGCTTGTCCAACTTGATGAGCTTGGCACGCTCTTTAAGATACTCCTATTGTTACGTAGCAACCATGATCAGTAATCCCATTTCCATGTTACTATCCTCAAAACCTCTCTATACCTTGCTGAGCAATTTTTCGGTAGGGCAAGGCTGCACTTGAGGATCGGTCACATAGTAACGTGTATCGGCAAAAGCAACACGCAAAGCTTCAATCACAATATGCAAGTATTGAGGCGAATGTGGGTTCATGGATTTGATATCAAGACCATGTTGTTCTTCAAGAGCTTCCATAATACCAAGGGCGATAAGCGTAGTGATGCCTGAACCATTGGGTGGGATTTCCCAAATAGTCCAATCGTGGTACTCGAGCGAAAGAGGAACGTCAATCACCTCTGTGTCATGAGCAGCAAGGTCTTCAAGGGTCATCACACCACCCTCAGCCTGAATAGCATCCACGATTGCTTTTCCAATACGTCCTTTGTAAAAGCCTTCCTTGCCATGCTTGGCGAGCATATCAAATGTACTACCAAAGCTGTGTGAATACCATGCCAACGACGGTCAAATGGGATTCTGACATACTCTGCAAGTTCAGGTAGCTGGATAATGTTGCCTTCCCGAGGAGCACGCTCATTGTTGATAAGCATGTTGCCACGACCAGGATTTCTCTTTTTCAAAGCTTCTTCTTCTTCACCCCACTAATAAAGACATACGTCAGCCACACCATGTTTTCCTTGATCCAAGCAACATACCAAACGAGCGGAGAGATGGGAAACAGGAAATCTAGAGCGATAAGGTTAAAACATATCCCGAAAGGAATAGATGCATTAACGCCACATTTTTGGTATTACCCTTCTTTAGCCATCATCTTTGCTGGTTCAAGGATGGTGGCAAGATCCAGCTTGCCCGATCCAAACTTGTCAACAGTATCAACCCAAGCAGCAGCAGCACCAGGAACAGTAATGGCATGAACACTTTGAGGAGGAACAACGTTGGTATCAGGACCTGCTTCTTTGCGTAAATGCTCCACTGTCAATGCAGCAGGCGCTCTATATCATTAAATCAATCCCTGTTTTCGTTATCCATTTTTCCTTTCCTTTACCTTCCAGATCCATTAAGACCGGTGACGGTGCGCTTTTTAGCATCGTAATATAAGCAAAAGACGTCACCACCAATACCAGTGGAAGCTGCTTCGGTAACATTTATAGCAGCAGCTAATACCCAAAACCGAAACAGGCCAAAAGTGTGAGTATCCCCTTATCCGTATCATTGATCATCGCACATACCCACAGCGACAGCTGCATCCTAAATGAGTTCAAAGAACGGATCAATCTTTGAAATGCAAGAGCTGCTGAGCTTGTACTTACGGCTGCATTTCCACCCTTTTTAAGAATATCAACACCAGCTTGGGTTGCAAGTGGTTGTCTGTGTGAGGGTTGTTGTCAAGCAAATAGCGTGTTCAATAAACGTGGATTGGGATGTGTCATGGTATCTATGAGTACGTACGAGCTTGATACCATGCCATGAGTAGCATGAACAACCGATCGACGAGAGACAAAAGGCAAATCTGGAATCATTGCTAAGGGGAAAAAAGTGGGGAAAGAACAAAAGAGAGAAGAGAGGCGGTATATAACTAACCCGATATCTCGGAGGGAAAATAGAGTCGGAGCGGCTATTGAACCCAGCAGCAAAGCGTGTGTGTGTGTGTGTGCCTGATAATGCCCTTCTTGCGTGGGAACTGCATCCCATCATCATCATCATCATCATCATCATCATCACCAATAAATGATAGCAATTGCTATAGTCAAAATCAAAGTGATTCAACGTGGTTCAAAGTGATACAATCCAATGGCCCAATGAGCATTGATTTTTTGAAATCTACCTCTGAGAAGAGAAATGTCACGCTGTGGTACAACCATCAACCATAAAGCTATCAAGAAGATTATTATTGGTGAACTCACAACAACTCATCCATTGTCAAGATCAAAACCCCCTATGCAAATAGAGTTGCAAGATGTATTGGATTTGACATGTCGTCATACCAACGGTTGTCAAGGTGATGATGTTGCGTTGTTACGGATTCCCGATTTGGCATACGTCCAAATACCCCACGTTTATGCAAAGCAAGAAAGATAAGCAACTAACGTTGCCGTAACGTTCCTCGCTGCGTATGTGGAATTCTCCTATTTTCCAATGTTGGTATGATGGATCACGTGCCGTACATATAAGCTTACCAAGATTAAAGCGAGAGAGAGCATTGCATATCGGGAAAGAGGACGTCCATTGTTCACCTAGACCCCGTATTGGAAGAGAATGGAACCAAAAGTATGGGCCAAATATACAAAGAACCAATCTCATGTGACATCGCATGTCAAGCACGTCGCCAACGCAAGTAGTATACACGGCAAAGGAGATGATCACCACCTATACATATTCATGTAGCGTGGGAGCTATTGCTTTATCCGCGTCCTTAATGGATCTATACATAGCGCAACCCACACGTATCGCCGCGAGGTGGATCGTTGAGTTTTCAATGATATACGCTCATGTGACGAAGGTTCCTTTATCCTTGCCCTTCGATAAGGCTACTATTATCGATGAAAAAAACGCCATCCTACGAGATGATGATACATCAGATGATTGAAAACGACTCACGACGACAACATTGACGTAAGACTTGATCATGACGATGGCATATGAAAGACTGGAAAGCAGCATGCTCATAGCTGATGATGGTTACAGCACCTTGGCGTAAACCCAAGTATACTCGGGTGTGACAAAATGAAATGCATGCATGGAGTTGTCATCAAAAAGCAGTATTAGATCCAAATGCGACAACACATGAGCCATGAGCCATTCATTTTGGGTGTGAAGGTGGGTCACCCTTTAGGTTTTACAACAAAATCAAATGATCAGGCGCGGTGCTCCCAGCCAAGGCGACTTGGATCAACCACGTGTTCAGCTGACCGTGTTCTCGGAATTCATAATGCATAATTGGCATGTCTCTAATGATAAGGGTTCAATTACAGGGACGCTTACGAAATCCTACGGTGATCCTGCTCATCGATCAATCAACGGATGTCGAAACGAATTGCACCCAGCTATTATTATTCCATGACTCTACTCATCTCAAATGACACATCCAATACTCTTTGTATCATCCCTATGCATGTGCCATCCTCAATTGATGATCGACAATCGGCATGCTCTTTGCATCCAATGCCATCAACAACACATTCGAGTACAACTTGAACCCTCTTATAAACAAAGAGGCAGCACGTGGGGTCTTTCACATGATGGATGAGCTGGTTTTTTGTTGACATTCATTGTGCTACTTTCAACAAACCACATACATAATACCACAAATAGAAGTCGCCATTGGCCATCATCCCAGCATTTATTACACAAATAAAGGCACAACAAACCCTCTGCTGTGCATGGCGGGAAATCTCCCAAAGAAGAGCAGGCCGATTATTGTTACAACAGCATGCATTGAACATCGAACAAGACGTCATACCAGGGCTTTCCTTCATAAAACGTCAACAGCAGAGGGCGGTTATTATCTTTTATCTATGGGCTAAATATAGCCATGCTATCATTGTTAGAGAGAATCAACCTTCTCGACGCTATAATTGAACCACACCATGTGAAACAATCAACGCCCAAAGAATGGGATCATAACAAGGATGACCATCACCACTACCATGAACTCGGAAATCTACCCTAATGTAGTCATGTCTCCGGCACATCTAGCGTGATTAACAGCATTGAAGGCATTTAGCGCCAATGGAAACAACTTGGTAATCCTGAAAGATGTCGTGGAACATAATGAGCATGACCTTTTCCCGGGATTAATGTGATCGTTGCCATCATCATCGTCGTCATTCTACTACTAAGATGAAATACAATCGTCACTAATGGAAGAATCCACAGCATCATGAAAGGTATATATAGTGAGGGTCTCATCCAGCTAAAAGGAAGTATCATCAACCTACTCTACCATGTTTCATCGATTCGTGTCGTCTTGTTTTTTGTTTTTCATGCTTGCATGGATACCCGTTGCCATGGCCGACAAGGTTGTCATAGGTTACTTTCCTAACTGTAAGCATTCCAATGTGCTTTTTATTATCACACATCTAACATTGAGTAGGGCTCTATGCAAGGTACCCTGTATCCAACATTGATTTCTCTTCGTATACGCACATCAATTATGCGTTTGCCGTTATGCTTCATGGCGATACACCTGAATGGACCGACAATGACCAAGTCAAGACACAGCTTCCACAACTTGTTGAAAAGGCACATGCCGGGAATGCCAAGGTGCTCATCTCCGTTGGTGGATGGTCTGGATGTTTGACTTTCAGTACTATGGCTGCGAGTGCTTCTGGACGAACGAATTTTATCAATTGGGCTATTGACCAAATCAACACCTATGGCATTGATGGCATCGATTTGGGTATGTACTATTGAAACAACCATGTAGGCTGATACTTATTATTACATACATAGATTGGGAATATCCTGGAAGGCAAGGTGCCGGTTGTAATGCTGTGGACGAAGCCAATGATACCAAGAACTATTTGCAGCTTATCAAGGAGATGCGTCAAGCCTTTGATGGAGTACACAATGGCACCTCGCGCAAGGAGATCTCCATTGCAGGCTATGTGCGTCCATTTGAATCAGCTTCTGATTTTGGTAGTGTGCTTGATCGCATCAATTTGATGACTTACGATATCAATGGCGCATGGAACGATACCACTGGACCCAATGCTCCTTTTCAGTTTCAGCCAGGCCAGGGTGATGCCGATAGTTTTGTTTCGGCTATTGAAGCTTGGAAGGGTGCAGGCGTTCCTACCGAAAAGATCGTACCTGGTATGGCTTTTTACGGGAGATCAGCAAGTATGTAGGATCAGCAATAGCCATGTACCTTATAAACTTATCTCTTTTATCTTTACAGCTGCCACCGTTGATATGACCCAAAGTGGATCACAATATCAATCACAAGAAAAAGGAAAGCCTCCCAAAGGAGATTCATATGATGCACCTTGGCAAGATCCCAATTGTCCCAAAGGCAAGTAGTAGTAATAAGATTTATTCGCATCTGAGCTAAAGTATATCAACTACAGATCCAGGAGGCCTATCGGGCATATGGCGCTATGGTAATCTTCGTTCACAAGGGGTGCTTACTGCTCCCGAGACAGCAGCTTCACCATGGGTGCGTACCTGGGATAATGTTACTCAGACGCCATGGCTTTTCAATCCAACGGATAAGACATTTATCTCTTATGATGATCCCAAATCAATGGCTATTAAGATCAATTATGCGATATGTCAAAACTTGGGTGGTGCTATGGTGTGGTCGGTAGATGAAGACTCTTCAAACAAGGAGCTGCTATCGGTGGTCGTGCAGATCAAAACAGGTACGCTTGTCTCACCACCACCACCCCTCCTCCTCCCTCAAAGAAAAAGGCATTTACTAATACACGTTTACTTGATTCTTCACATGTAACATGTAGGCTCATGCGACAAGCAGTAATAGTCAAAGATAACACATTCACAGAAAGAATAAAGAATTCAATGGTGTACCGCACATACCACTTTGTATGCAATGCCTTGTTACAAATCAGGCTATAAAGAGTGTTAGCTGTTGCACAGAATGAAAAAGGATGGCTAGTACAATTGAATAGAGAGATTTCTTTTAGTCAGATCGCATAACGTCCTTGCTCTTTTTCTTTTTTTACGCGTGCTTGCACGTATCTACATGTGCTCTCACGACTCTCATGGCACAACAGATACCATCAACGATCTCCTCTGAACCCCTTGGAACGACAACGAGGAGAAGAAGACATTCGTGGTCAATTCTTGTCGTCACTACTGCCGGTGGTGATAATGATGGTGATGGATCAAACTTTATGAAATACAAGAGCAGCATCATCCATCATCGTAAAACGATTTCATTTGATACGACACCTCTCTTAAGATACCATCTGGCTCATCAATGTTTAGGTAAGGATTACCATGGCAACAGCTAAAACAACGGAATATTTTCTGATCTAAAACGCCTTTGTATGTGTCTTTTTATCTCCTCACTCCTTCCTTTCCTTCCTTTTTCTACGTCCCCGTCGTACTCTACTCCCCATATTACAACTTCATATTACTCGGCGTCATTCCAGATCCTGCCATTGCAAGCAACAACAGCAGCAACAATCCTTGTTTAACGAAACCCGAATGCTTCCAGCAGAATGCCATGGCCACTCGCTCATCGATGTCGCCCTCATTTGCTAGTTTCCCTCCCAACAACAACAACATTGGCAATCAAGCTGTAGACCATTACTCCATTGATATTACTAGACGAATACCTCAACGGGCCATTCGTGTTGAACGAGACTATACTCGAGGGGACGGTATCACACAATTCTCAACGGCTTATCCACCGCAGCTCGCTGGCAAGGTAACAAAGACCATCATGATCCCCGCTCGCTCGCTCGTCAATCGACTTAACCCATGATCAGATAACGATAGAGCAATTTCAACACACTATCCAAGGTATCAACAAGCTTCTTATGGACGCCGAACGAGTATCATGGCTCACCGTATTCGATAATATCATGGAGATCTTGACAATCTACACTTGGCCAATCTTTTTTTCAAACCATTATCAACGAGTACGTCTCTCTACGTGGGATTCTATAGATACGATCTCTGACATGACATGCTTCTTTTAGTGTATCCGACGTGTATTACAATTCATTGAATCCGAGAATGAGAATCTGTATCATCAGCATGGTTTATCTATCTCCAATCCTGTGCGATTTGCTTTTCTCTTTGTAAGTACAATCAAAGGGGGGGGGATCATGATGATGATGACTGATTCATTGATATGCTTGCTATTCCAGCTCGAATTCAAGGTGTACGATGATTAGTACCTGCATTTCTTCCCTTTTCCTCATTTCATATTGCCGATTATTGTACCGTTTCTCCTCCACTCCCTATCACCCCACCCAATCGCCCTTTTCGCTACCTCTCTTTTACTTGCATGTATCTTTGCACCGTCTTAATATTATACCTAATTCTAGTTATTACATATACAATGCGTCTTTGCATCTGCTTGAAAGTTTCTCATGCTGGTGACAACAAGAGTTGGTACCTTCATTGGTTTGTCATTGTAACACAGGTCTTCATTATCCAACAGTGGCTTTATTGTTGAGTGTGGAGGTAGTGAGCATATACATCACAATGAAGCTTCCTTTTCTTTGCTATGTAATAAGGGGATGAAACAATGTTGTCATGATAAAGAGCTGGATGGGATCGAATCAGAGGAGGAAAATGTACGCGGGAACTGCATTTCAGCTTTAGCGGAACCCATGGCAGCCATGTTTCTTGAAGCAATGGACTCTTCTCCCAAATAGATCACATAATCGTTGATGAACATCCACAACTTACGAAATGCATCTACAGCCAACCATGGATGAGCCATTGTGTACCTTTATAGTCTCTCTCCCTCTTTGTTCCTTTCCTTACCCAAAGTAGTGGCATCTTCTACCAAAGCGAGTTCACGTAATATCAATGAGCTGTAAAGGGTCCATCGTTGAATCGCCTCCTTAACCCAGCTGATTGTATCATGTGGCGTGATCAAATGCTGATGCACAATGTCGTATACCCAATCCACCCAGGCACCAATTCCACTTTGATCGTCATTGGCTGCTTGACACTGCCTTTGTAACAATAGCTTGACCTTGTTGACTATACATCCCCTAGATGAGTATATTTGTTCGTGAATGAAATCCACAAAACTTACGCTGTTGACCGAGACCTTCGTCACCACCCCAAGGGGACATCCATTGTGCTCCATCCAGTATGTTGTCAATGCTGATCTTTTCCCAATCCACAAGCATGTCTTTGGCTTGAGTAGTAAGATCATGATGCGCCGCTTGGGCCAATTGATTTGAAATCACCAATCGATCGAGCTTGGATATGAAAATATGCATCACTATTTCACCGTATGAGAAATGATTGACTATATACATCTCGGCTTCTCCTCCTTCTCAAATTACCTGCCATCTTTTTGCTTATCAATGATTCCGAATATCCACTCAAGGCCATCGTGCAGTAGCTTGATAGGTTGGATGAACACGATTTCAAATAGTCATGTGTTGCTTTGCTGATTGGAGCGTGTATTGAGGGGAAAAGGACATGGATGATGGTCTATTATCACAACAATGAGTCCATGTTTCTCAATTATACATTGACACTCACATCATATAGCACGCAATCCCAACGCCAAATAGCCTCCATCACTTGTGAATCTCCATTCATGATCTGGCGGATAGGATCTGGTATCGTTGAGTAAAGTTGGTGAATGCAATCGCTGATCTATTTCTAGTTGTCAATCTCCTATGATAGCTATCCATTCTCTTTTACACTTACATCTTGGTTGAGTAGCATGAGCTTGAGTATCTCTTGACAATGATTATGGTACAGTGATGTGAGTTGTTCAGATTCTGGTTGCCGAGAAGGATCGGTGGTGTGTGGTGCCATGAATGGCTGTAGTGTCGGGATCTCTCGTTCCTGAATTTCTGATTGGGGTTGCTGCTGTTGCTGCTGTGTCGATGATACTTGTTCACTATGACCATTGATAGGTAACCCAACATGCTGAGACGATACGTCTGTATTACTAAAGTTGCATTAATGATGTGATTCACAGCTTGGACCCAAACATACTTTACTATCACGCCTTGTTGTTGTGTCGTTGGCATATCGGTATCACCATCATTCATCATTGCTGTTGAAGGTGAAGGACTTGTGGATCGTCTTCGTTGTTGTTGTTGTGATGATAATGGCTGTGGTTGTTTATATGCAATGCCGCAATAGTTGTATCTCGATTGGCCACGGATACCAAGTCGTCTAGTGCGTATACCCGGGAAGACCGTTTTGACAAGCTTTCCAAAACCAGCTGCGTTGAGTGGTTGCTGATCAGGCTCGTTGACGCGAAGGTACTCAATGTAATCTTCATACACACGCGATCGCTGGATACCCGTATCGTAGTTGTCTGAATCATACTGATAAGTCTGCGATAGCCTGGGACGATCAACATGGGGATCACAGGTCAACTCTACCCTCCCTCTAACTCATTGGCATGTTGCCTTGACAACCACACAAACACACGCACACGCACACACATACCAGGCCAAAATGCTCTGATGGAGAGAGCTATCGACACCATTGTTTGCTTGACTTGTTCGCTGTGCAGCTGCCATTGCCCGAAGGTGATTCTGTAAAGGGAAGCGTTGTGAAGGACAACCAAATTCAACTCCATCAATCTTATGCTATTAATGGAACATGTTTGTTAGCCCGACGGGACCACTGAATCATGCACGTACCATGATCAACCATTATTGTTATCAGAATATAGACGTTGATGATATAATAAACCTTACATGTAACCTAATCAATGACATCTATCACATTCATAGAATGCTAACAATACCTTAAAGCTTGAATCAGCCATTACACGATTATCATCCTCCACCACTCTACTCCAAGGATTCATAGACCAATGCATGTTTTTATCAACAAAAATCAAATAGATACTGCTCAATTTCGAAGCGTACACTAGATGCCACAGCCTTGATGAATTGGAAACTAACATTGCACTTGAACCTGGAGCCATCTAATCGCTCGAGATTGTTTGATCGCACCAAAAGCCGTAGCGTCGTTAAGCTTGTAATCTAGCAAACATCCCAACCATAAATAAAACGCCTATCTATATGACATGCAAAGACCAACCTGTGTTTGAATATCGATCGAGTCTTCAAGGGTATCATCGATAATACTGTAAAAGATGGCCAGCATACGTTCAACAGGAAAAGCTTTGGGACCAAGAAGCTGAGGTCGCATCTATTTCCCAACCATTGGTACCATTGTCCATAAAGCCAATCACATGTTAATTTACATACCTTGCCACCGAGATTGTCTACTTTGGCTTTACGAGTACCGCCTCCTTTCTTACGCTTGCGTGCCTCACCGGCCTTGGCAAAGTATCGTACATCGTATCGCGGAGGATTATAAGATGCCAGGAACGCAGCAATCAACAAGAATTTTGTGTAATACGGTAATGCGAAATAGCCTATCAATCACTTGTAAGCATCCCCACACGTTTGCAACGATTCATATAAAGGGCACTCACCTTTGTCACGTGATTGCTTTCGAAAAAGATCCTCTGCTTCAGCATCATCCAATTCATCCAATCGCTTCGTTTCCTTGGCCCATTCAGCACTCGAAACCTCTCTCAAGTAGAGTTTATCTGTTGCTTTGGCAAAGAATGGTAATGCCAGCTGATACAACCTTGATCGCTCGGATACCCTTGCTATTAGCACACGTGTTAGTCCACCTTTGCATATTAAGAATGCCATTCCAAACTTACAATCACCATCCTTCAAAGGTCTGATGTATATCGGAAACAAAAGTGCCGCGAGATAACGCAATTCATTGATGTCCTTGCAGTTGTGATTGAAGATGTTGTAAATGATTTCAGAAAAGCCGTCGACAAATTCGTCATTGAGCTCAACAGGATCTCGACCTTCCACTTGGATCAAACGCGTGGTGTAACCTTTACGCAGGATCTCGATTGTGTCTTGCTTTGTGTATTCAGGAAATCGCATCACCAGTGGTTCATAGGCACCTCCTCGAACTCTGAACTTGTCAAACACCACCGTGCTGATCATGATGACACAAATATTTCGACCCGTCTATCACATTTTTTGTGTGGTTGGTACCAATCATCCATCCATGCATTGAAAGAGCATTACCATTTCTGCTAGCCGTAATAATGAATAAATCAAAGTCGATCCCATGTCACGAAGTCTCTCGGCACGATCGAGTACAAGATATCGCGTCTCTGAATCACCAAACTGAATCATCCTCTCATCATCCAATGCAACGCCCTCCTGGATCGCCTTCACAAATTGATGAATGTTGTCTATTCGGCGTACACCCGTATACTTGTTCTCGTATGAAGGCGTCCAATCGCACCACTGGTTGATTGTGTGTTCGAACAGCATGCGTGGCGTATGACATTCGATGCAGTTGATAAATGACCACATGGATCGAGCAAGCGTCTTTTCGAGAATGGCACGAACAACACTGGTTTTGCCTGAAGAAGGGTGGCCGTAAATGAAAATGCTGGGAAGGACGGCATCGCTAGGCTATTGTCACAGATCTTTAGTATCCTCTATACCGATTGACCTTGAAATAAATATTCACCTCGCCCATGAGCTGTAGCAATGTGGCAATTTGCTTTGATCGCCCAGGGAATTGAGCTTCCAGTTCCTGCAGGACCATGATAAGTTTGAAGGAGAGGAAGTGACACCACGACGAGTTTGACAACTCAGCTGGATATCGAGTCGCCCCACTCCCAACTGAGCTTGATCGCATTGATTTTTTTTTTATCTACCCAACCATCATCTTCAAGACCTTGGCATTTTCGAGATCCAAATCAAGCTACTCTACCTGCTGTTGATGCATATCATCAGGTGATGGTTGTATACATCGATCCTCTATTATACATTGGTATAGGAATTCGTTTAACCTACCATGATCTTGCATCCTTTCATCTCCCAAATAATTGTAAATGCCATCGTCAAACTTAATGCATATTGTCCACTACGTGCTACCATGACACTCTTCCCTGTTCTCGGCGATACCACGCCCATAAATAAAAAGCAATGTAACACGACGAATGTTAACGTGCAAGTTTTAGTGGCAAGAGGACATGTAATTGGCCTATCCAGATGTATGCGCATGGACTTGTCTTTGTGGAACCCCAAGAGCATTGGTGTTGCATTGCCCAATCGACGCAGGATACAATCAATCATTATGCCTTTTCACAATGATCATGGGTCACTGCTGCATTCCTCTTCTAAGCTGTGGTCAAAGATCATCAGGTAGATTTATCAGTTGTTTATGCTATTGCAGCTTCATCGTAACCCTTGTTAGGTGAGGGACCATTTATCAAATCAATCACAGCCTTCTTTTCTTTTCTTTATGTTGACAACCATTCCCACGCCCACCATGGCAAGCACGCAAAAGCAACGCTTGTTGTCACGAAAGCCATCACACATCTCTTCTCTTGTATCTTTTTCGATTGCGCATGTCATCCACGTCTGCCTTTTGGTACGTGATAATGAGAACGAACATGTAGTTTTGATGGGTCAGCTATTCCTCACCTATTAATCTTTGTGATCAACTATATGCAGCCCTTCGATTCATTGTCTCGTTGTGGCATTCATCTCCCCCTTTTTCCCTGATGATGGTTTCTTTGTGATTATGTATGGCTATTTTCATTTTATATCTCTTTCTTGTGTATTGATGTTCCTTTGAGAAGTGATACCTATACCTCGTATCTCTGCAAGCAGAAAGCAACATTGGCTTAGGAATACAGAGCTGGCGGCTTTTTTGTTGATGACATAAATCCTTTGGCAAGGCCTACCTGCTGAATTTACACTTTTTCCAAACAAGCCGAGGTGTATCGGTTGAACACTGCACCATAGATACTCAAGGCCTTTCCCTATAAAGATGAATCAAACTTATGTAAGAAAAGGCGACAACGTGGTCAAGTTACATTGCGTTGTCGCTTGGAGATGTGGGGGGTATCAGCTCCTACAGGGAGTGCTGAACGTGTACGGGCAATATGCATCTCTCACTCGCCATGATTATCCCAACCTGTATGCAAGTGAATCTTGTATCAACAATCGAGCAGCCTTTCGTGGATGGTTCATGTACGATATGAATAATAATATCAGCATCCTTCAATCATTCTTGAGATACGTACAACACGAGACGACTATCGTTGTTGCTGATCTGCCACCAGGTTTGATCCAGTATCTTTTAAGAGTGTGTCCAAGACCTGCTGATTGGCCAGAGGGTGATGACTCGTGGGTGGCTGTCAAGGAGTTGAGAGACATAGCAATGGAAGGAGCAAGACAACGCTTCGTTGACAGAAACGGCGCACCGGCAGGAGTAGCACAAGACCCACAAGATTCAACATGTGTGAACTGCATGTAGGGAGCCGAAAAGCAAGGCTACGTGTCATTGTTGATGGTCATGAACGCTATGAACCAAATGGTATCTATGTCGGTCAAGCCATATAGAACCTTGGCCCAACTGTTTATATCGATTTTGATCCAACGATCACACAACATGGATTGGTGTTCAAGAATGAGGATCGACATTTGCTACCTTCTGCTAGAAATCCCACCATCGTTTATGATTATACCCCATTCTGGCATGCCAAGAATTCTTACTTTCCCGTATTTCTTGATACATTACAACATCAGAACATAGCAGCTCGCCAAGAAGTCATGGATGAAGCACAATTTGACGAATCATTCTCATTGCAAAGAATCTTACGACAATACTGGATCAACATTTGCGCCAACGACGGTCATGATGCATGCCTACGTCCAGGCGACATTCCTGATCATGAACATGGTGCTGATGACTTTACCACGGAAAGCACCACATTTATACAACAACATGGTCGTGGCATTGATTCTTGGGTGTGGGATCATTACTTAGCCATTCCAAAGGGCATGTAAGCAGCTACAGCAGGGGATAACCATATGTTTTGCCACGAGCTTACTTTGTGAATAATAGGGCCACTATCAGCAACGCATGGAAGGAACTTTTAAAGAGATATCAGTTGGAGATTGTACATGTCAGCGTGGTTAGAGGAGTCAAACGATGAAGGATCCCTCGTTATTCTGGTGACGAAACAAGGCGACAAGTAGCCACAGGAAGTGCCCCACGATAGACATCCAGCATTGTATATGGTCAACACAACTAATAACAACTTTTCAGTGATAATAAAGCATTGGTTGCTCCTTGATCCAGTTGTCCCATAGCCCACATCTCTAACCCTTGTTGAATCCATCTACTAATACGTGTTACGTCTTTGCATTCATCATCATCATCAGTCCAGTAGTCCAGCTACTATCTATTGTATCTCATCAAAACCAATGCCCACTTGTTTCATGTGCACCATTCACCCATCCAATAAAATGTCCAAATGTAAATGGAGTAAGACTTTCTTGTTGTAAAAGCGAATAAAATTGAATACAAAGGGGTACACGCTGATAGTAGGAATGCTATCGTAAAGGTGTGTGTGCTGTAACCAAGTCGATGGACATAGAGGAGGTCCAACGTTCCAGATAGGCAGAATTCCAAATCACCCACGGCGGTAAACCATCTCCATCAAAGATAAAGCCATCTCAACCATGTCATTCCAATCCATCATCATCCTCAGCCGTATTCACATGATATGATCCACTCTTCTTGCAGACGACGCGATAAGTAACCAAAGCAACCTTCCAGGATTCTTTCTCATCCCTGCACTTGATCGCATCCTTCCATCCATAGCCATTGCAAATCCAATAAGAAAGAGCCATGTGATCGCTGCTGATAACCTTCCTTTTCATCCTGCTGTTGGTCTATCTCTTTCTTGGTCATATTCCATCATAGCTCAACCGGTAAAGAGTCTTTGTATTGAAGTGTACTTGATAGCTGATATGGCATCATCCATAGGAAGTTGTATGTATTGAAACAAGATGCAACACGTGAATAAAGCTGCTTCTACACAATGACTACCTGTTGTTCGTAGAAAAAGGCTGGAAAGCAAGTTGCTGCAAGTAAAGAACGCTGTTCGAGGCAATGCATAAAGACTTCGCTAATAGCAACAGCTGCAGCGTTTGATCGTGGCAAGAGCGTGTGTTGTAGTAGAGTGACAAGGTTGTGAACGCTGTTTGAGACAATGGAGTAAAGACCTCGCTAAGAGCAACTGCTGCAATGAATGCTGTTACGTTTGATTGTAGCAGAGGAGTATGCAAGAGAGTGTGTAGTGTCAAGAGACTCGTGTGTTGTAGTGGGCTGTGCATACGCCATGGACTTGCCATTCAGTCAACGACAATCGGATGAAGAGTGTTGTAGGATTGACATGATGGGTTGAAGCAGGACAATCGTTCGCAGGTGGTAGTTGTATACTTGAATGGGCCAACCGTTGAGAATGGGAGGAAAAGGCAATACGCTAGGAGCGGAAGAAGTGGGTCAAACACCTCTTGTTATAAATGCATGAACACTGTACATCAATCCTTGATTATGAGATTGCCCCTCTCGAACCTGAAACTTTCACACAAGATGCTCTTTGGCATGCTGATCAACTTCGTTCAAATAAAATTCGCAGGCTTCATTGTGAAGATTTAAAATGCGGGGAGGTCCAAATGGTGGATGACGGGATCGATCCGGAACAAAAGAGCGGACGGCCCACCGCCCCGAAGTTGCCCACCTCCAACTTGAAAATTGGTCAACAGGGTGCTCTCGAACATGCTGATCAATATTTTCAAATAAAAACCTCACGCTTCATTTGAAAACTTGGAATGGGAGCGTCCACAAGTTTGAAAGACAAAGACATTCGCAGGGTCTGTCTTTCAAGAATTGACATATTCTTTGTTTGGGCGTAGCTCAGTCAAATCACCTCGAATCAAGAAAGTTGAATGATGGGCATGTTGGGCTGGAGCAGGACAATTGTTCACGTCACGTAGATTTTTCAACAATGCTGATTGGATAAAAGTGGCTGTTAGATGCCAATGTATGACCTGAAAATGAGGTATGCGTACCTGTCATACATTGTCCCTGAAGCCCTGTTTTTTTAACTCAGTTACACAAAGAGGTCCTTCTGCATCTTTGGCTCTCCGGGGTCTAGCTAATTCACAATGAACAAAGGCTAACTCACATATAGCATCACGCTTACAAACATAAAGGTGCCTGTATCTCCAAACTTTACAATGAAACGCGGGGTTTTGAATAGAGCAATGTGCTCGGCTTGGCCAACAGCACCTTGTGTGAAAGTTTCACGATCAAGCTTGCCAAGCCCAGATTTCGCAATGTCGCTACCAGCCAAACTGGATCTGGGGTCGACCTCTTCGACGACGACGACGACGACCAAAAAATATTTTTTGGGCTAGTTGCGACATTGAACATGAAACTTGCACACAAGATGCTGTTGACCAAGCCGAGCACATTGCTCTAATAAAAACCCCACGTTTGATTGTAAAGTTTAGAGATACAGGCGTCTTTATGTTTGTAAGCGTGATGCTATATGAGAAGTGGTCTTTGTTCATTGTCAAGTAGCTGGACCCTGGCAGAGCAAAAGATGCAGAGGGTCGTGTTGTGTAACACAGCTACGTTTGCATGAATGAAAGGGTCAATGTATAATTACTTTATGGATCATCTAGGAACAGGCATGTATTGCCAGCTAACGACCACTTTTATCCAATCATCATTGTTGCGAGATCCACTGCATGGGAACGATGCCCCTGCTCCAGACATTCATTTCCATGATTAAAGTAGGTTGATCCGAGCTGATTTGACTGAGCTGCGGTCAAAGAGAGATTACATCACTCTGGACATAAAGCACGCTCGATGTAGCTCAACCGATGTAATCTTGTGTGAGCGTAACTCAACCAAATCAGCTCGGATCAACCTACTTTAATCATGGAAATGAATGTCTAGAGCAGGAGCATCGTCCACCTACAATGGAATGCACAAAAGTTGGGAATGTACAAAAGTGGCTATTAGCTGCCAATGTATGACATAAAAGTGAGGGTTGCGTACCGTTCATGCATTGTCCCTAAAGTCCTGACTTTTTAGCTGAGTTACCCAAAGAGGCCTTCTGCATCTTTTGCTCTATTATAGCCATACTACTTTACATTAAACAAAGACCACTTCTCGTATAGCATCACGCCTACAAACATAAAGGTGTCTGTATCTCCAAACTTTACAATGAAACGTGGGGTTTTTATTAGCGCAATGGGCTCGGCTTGGCCAACAGCACCTTGTGTGAAAGTTTCACGATCAAGCTTGCCAAGCCCAGATTTCGCAATGTCGCTACCAGCCAAACTGGATCTGGGGTCGACCTCTTCGACGACGACGACGACGACCAAAAAATATTTTTTGGGCTAGTTGCGACATTGAACATGAAACTTGCACACAAGATGCTGTTGACCAAGCCGAGCACATTGCTCTAATAAAAACCCCACGTTTGATTGTAAAGTTTAGAGATACAGGCGTCTTTATGTTTGTAAGCGTGATGCTATATGAGAAGTGGTCTTTGTTCATTGTCAAGTAGCTGGACCCTGGCAGAGCAAAAGATGCAGAGGGTCGTGTTGTGTAACACAGCTACGTTTGCATGAATGGAAGGGTCAATGTATAATTACTTTATGGATCATCTAGGAACAGGCATGTACTGCCAGCTAACGACCACTTTTATCCAATCATCATTGTTGCGAGATCCACTGCATGGGAACGATGCTCCTGCTCTAGACATTCATTTCCATGATTAAAGTAGGTTGATCCGAGCTGATTTGACTGAGCTGCGGTCAAAGAGAGATTACATCACTCTGGACATAGAGCACGCTCGATGTAGCTCAACCGATGTAATCTTGTGTGAGCGTAACTCAACCAAATCAGCTCGGATCAACCTACTTTAATCATGGAAATGAATGTCTAGAGCAGGAGCATCGTCCACCTACAATAGAATGCACAAAAGTTGGGAATGCACAAAAGTGGCTATTGGCTGCCAATGTATGACATAAAAGTGAGGGTTGCGTACCGTTCATGCATTGTCCCTAAAGTCCTGACTTTTTAGCTGAGTTACCCAAAGAGGCCTTCTGCATCTTTTGCTCTATTATAGCCATACTACTTTACATTAAACAAAGACCACTTCTCGTATAGCATCACGCCTACAAACATAAAGGTGTCTGTATCTCCAAACTTTACAATGAAACGTGGGGTTTTTATTAGCGCAATGGGCTCGGCTTGGCCAACAGCACCTTGTGTGAAAGTTTCACGATCAAGCTTGCCAATCCCAGATTTCGCAATGTCGCCACCAGTCAAACTGGATCTAGGGGTCGACCTCTTCGACGACGACGACCAAAAAAATACTTTTTGGGCTGTTTGCGACATTGAACATGAAACTTTCACACAAGGTGCTGTTGGCCAAGCCGAGCACATTGCTCTATTCAAAACCCCACGTTTCATTGTAAAGTTTGGAGATACAGGCACGTTTATGTTTTACCTATGCTGTAAGCGTGATGGAGTTGCTTTTTCCTAGTGGATGGTGTCGACTGCATTAACGGAAAGATGAAGAGCTGAGTGAAACCGCACGTGGTGGTTACACAGACACGTCCTTGACAGGTTGCTCCACAAATGGATGATGATGATGATTGCCTTTTGTGAAGGTACGTAAGTAAACAGCATCCAATAATGAAGGTGTGTCAAGGTATGCATCACATTTGCATGTAGAAGAAAGTCGAGCTGCATAAACCAATTTGTATATGTAAAAAGATACGTATGCATATTGAATGTGTCACTCATCTGGAGGGATCTCTTCACTTTTTCTCTTCTCAAGCTCATCCCACTTCCCACTCCTCCTTATTGTATTACAAAAGCCATGTACTTCTTGCATGACCGGTAACCGGACCACCTTTATTATTCCATCTTCGAAGCAATAGTATGTAATCCACAAGCTACATAGCAACCTCCAACAAGCGTGTAATAAATAAACAATGCTTTATTTCATCTAGCTGCATTGCCGCCATCCTCGTAGTCGTCCTCCGTCATCATTCCTACTCGTACTCGTCACAAGTCGTCAATCTCATCCGTCACACCAACATCAAAAAGTACACAAGTTTAAAAGAATGGGATCTTGCAGGCTTCCTTTTGAATCTCGTTGTCGTCATCATTGTCATTGTTGTAGATGGGGTGATCATCGTAATCGTCATTGTTGTGAATGTGGTAATCATCGTAATCATTGTCTCTACAAATAAAAAAGCAGGCAAGTTAGACCATCTGATACCGGGAATGATGACGATTTGGTATACCGTTAGGCGATCCTCTCAAAGGAAGAAAGCAAATCAGAAGGAATTCACAAACCAATTCACCACCATACGAGCAACGTCGGGCGATCCCTTGTTCTTGAGAAAGCACTGCACGAATCACGCAAGGCCAGTTCGATCCATGGCAAGGAAGGACATCACTTACGTAGAGTCCAGGCTCATAATTGTCCTCATTCATCCTCCCCAAAGAAAGAATGATCCCCAATCCTTCCAATCATTTCCCACCTCATGAAAAGAAATCCTCAAGGGAAAGAACGAGCCTATCATGAGAAGAGCGTGTTGGTTGGCACTGATGTCAACCTGTTGCAAATCCCCTTTTACCTCAACATGGTGACCATGCTCTTCCAACAACCCATCGTCATCGACCCATCAACTCAAACGCAGGCCCGTAGAGCCCTGGACGCGTTCCAAAAACCTTTTCCAGCACACTTGGCTAGTGCAGAGCGACGCAGCGGCCACTTGATACAGGGTGGGAGTTGAACCCAAAGAGATGATGATGATGCCCCAAGCTGCATTGCCTGACCAAAGAAACCTATTCAATTCATTATTAGCACATACACAATAAACACCCTTTTCATTGTTTGTTTCATTGTACTTGCCTTTTCCATATACACAAAGACCCGTTGTTGTTGGTTACTGGAAACCCGAAAACCATGGTGTAGTATAGTTGAGCCGAAACAGAACGCCAAACCAGCCAACGTCTTGAAACCAAACTTGCCCTCTATACAAGCTAACACGTCAATGGAACCAGTTCGGCTGCAACATTGGACTCTGAATGTACCTGTTGACACCAAGCGTAGAGCGGGAATAGCAACGAGCACAATATCGCCATGGCAACCACCAACCACGCTCATTCCTCAGCACTTGGACACACTCACTCCCTGACAATGCATGTTCAGAACTACATTAACACCTCACAGCGAACAAGAGCACTTTTTTGTAATACATTACCTTGATCGAGACGCCATGAATGGAATAAGGAAAGGTGGGAGAAAAAGAAGAGAAGCGTTGTCTCAAGTCGTGGAGCTGCTGTCCCCCAAGTTTAAATCCCCCTACTGCTATTACACTGAGGCCACTCAATTACCCTATACACCACCATCCACCCATCATGATCATCACCCTCATGATAGACGATAGGTACTCGTAAATAAAAGAAATGATGATCCTCACGTATAGCAAAAGGGTGTGTGCCATTTTACACTTTACATGATAATGATGATCCAACAACAGCCATCACCTTACTACCAGGTTAGCTCGAATCATGAAAGTTAAATGATGGGCATGCTGGGTTGGAGCAGGACAATCGTTCGTATGCATTGGATCGGGTAACAAAGATGAATGGGAGGAATGGGCTATTAGCTGGCAGTTCGTCAACTGTTCCTGAATGGTGTACAAGTATTATGCATTATCCACAGGCGCTGACTTTTGGCTATGTTACACAAAGAAGTCCCTCTGCATCTCCGACTCTATAGGGTCCAGCTACTTCACAATAAACGAAGACCACCCTCTATATAGCATCACGCTTACAGCATAGTGAAAACATAAAGACGGCCATATCTCACAATTTTACAATGAAACGTGAGGTCTTTTATACATTGGGGGGCCAACAGATCAACGACTTGATATAAGCTTGTCTCTCCTCTTGCTTCTACTATAACCCATCCACAACAACCTGCCAAGACAATGTATTATATAAAAGTGCTCTAGTTGGGTGTGAAAAGCAGCTGGTAGTATTATATAGATGTGAATATACCTAGGTTGGGAGTGCAGTGTGTGGCTGTAGCCAAGGTGTTTATTGAATCAGGCATGTTTTTAAATAGTTATCGCTTTGCAAGGGGTCTATCTAATAGCGAAGATGCTGAGCATTGTATGGAAATATACATAAACCTTCATGATAGCCAAAGCATGGATCAAATGGATCACCACCAGGGTACAATGATTGACTTGGTAACGATAGCAGAAGCCTTTGAAGCCATAGAAACGACATTTGTAGCATCAGCAGAAATGGATGAAATAAACACATCTTCATTAGCCCTGCCTCTGTGTCATTATAAGAATTGTTGATTGTAATGTATACGTACCTGTGAGACAATGAACAGCGTTCTTTGAGATCAATGTCCTGTTGCTTCCATCCAACGTTGCCGACCTATAATAAACGCCATGTAAGATAACAAGTTTACCTATCCATCCATGTTCCTTTCAATGTACCCAGAAGTGACAATGCAAACAAAGTGTTGGGCTCCCTTGTTGACATAGAGGAAGAATCCATATACACATACGGCCCCCTTTAGGATCTTGCACAATAGAGAGAACAGCAACCTGCAAATGAAACTTTAGTATCAGAGCAACCAGCTTGAGTAATAAAACAAGTGCAGTGCTTGAACATACTTCTTGTATTGGAATGGGAAGTAGAGTCATGGGTACATCACGGGTGCCTTGCTGGAACAAGGGAGTAGAAAGGATCGGCATTGGAGTTGACGCGCCATGGACTATCGATCGTTTGACATGGTGGCTATTGAAGTTATGCATTGAGGGTGAATGACAGCTGTTAAGAGTTTGTAGGTTGTGAATGGAGGGAGACTTACTTGTCTTTGTGAATTGGGGAGTGGGAAAAGAAGGAGCGCTTCTTTGTTCTCGTCGACCTGGAGATCATGCACACACGCACACAGATCCCGCTTGCTCTATCATTGTGAACATGCACCATAAACATACCCTGGATACTTGGATCAATAAAATGATATTATTCAATGGCCATAATCATCGTGCTTATCTTGCTGTTGCAAATGGTGCTATTAGCCAAGTCCGTGCACGCTTAATGCGGCTCGATTCCTGAATTTAAACAACCCAAACCTGAAGCAGTAGTTGCTGGTATGATTACATCAGCGCAATCTTTGTCCTCGTGATTGTATGCCATAAATGCTACGTATCCCCCAGGTTGTTCAAAGTGATTGTTCTGTGGGACACATGTCACGTTGCATAAATCTTTGTAGGTTCCGCAATCCTGCATACTTTGTCTCTCTTCCACTTCTTTTCCCAAAACATGGATTATCACACAGACTTTGCAGGCCAGTTTGTTGTGCACCCGTCGCTTCCACAAGATATTGTTGACACGTACAACGTTCTCGCCTCTGGACGCAACAACTTTTGTGGTGATGCCGTTCCATATAGCTTCGATGCTATCGTACATCACTTGCATGGGTTACCTCCTGGGACGTCTAAAAGAACAGCTATGGATTATGGACGCATGTTACGCATGACAAAAACACCATCATCGTGGTGTGGATGGCGTTTATACAACACTACTACCAGCGATGATAACAACAACACAACAACTACGACCTTGCGTTGGTCCGAGATGGAAGAGTTTTACGAGTACATGTATTGGCTGCAATATGTCATCGATTTCATTACTCTCCTCGCCAAACATTTGCATGACATTGATATACAAAACTTCGAAGGCGCGATCTCTTGGGCAGGTAAACAAAGGAGGTCCAATGATACCACGTTGTGCTTTCTTCAAGCTGATCGATCGAGTATTATTCAAGGCCAACACGATGATGCGGATCAAGGAACGCTGAGGGTGTTTCGCCGTAATGAGCAAGAAGCAACAAGTTTCTTTCCCGAAGACTTTTTACCACTACCACCCATACCACCAACAGCACGAGTTTCCTGGTATATGCCACCAGCCATCCCTATTCTCACTACACAACGACATGACGTACCACGTGGTGAACCATTCCAATCGGTGTTTGGTGTGCGTGTATATGTTACGACGCCCATTTATCAGACCATCCAGATCATGGACATGAACGATATGCTGTTTGATGGTGGCTATTCTCGAGCCGATTATGTAGTTCACCTTGCACGTGTTGAACAGCAAGCTGATACGCATCAACTAGTGTTGCAGATCCATCATGAAACCTCAGCAACAATCAACCACCCAGAAGACCTTGTCCTTTTCGATCGACGACGTATTGAGCTGGATGCTATAAGCGGTCAATGGTGTTATCGAGGATCATCAATTCCAGCCGCTGTTGGCTTTTCTTCAATAGTACAAGAGCAGCTTTGCCATACTTTTTCATGGTTGCGATCTTTTCGACGTGGGGTGCCAATGGATTACTTCGCATCAATTATCGGAGGAGGTTCTCGTACATGCAGCACGTGTCGATCTTGGTTTGTGGGTCCTGCACAAGTGCGAGCGGTATTCTCTTGGCCACATGGGTATGTGCAAACTCCTTTCCTCGGCAACTATTGCAGCATGACATGTTTCAAAAGACACCAGCATAACCTCGTGGAAGGTCGTTTCTTTCAATCACCTTTATCATCCATTGGAGAACGCAGTGAAACCCAATACGACAATAATTGACGCGCATCGCATCCAAATGATCTGATCTCTCTCTCACAACAACAAGATTCAATTCAAATATCCATTGCTCCCGTAACATGATTCCCTGATTGGGATTGCTTTCCTCATTACCAATTTACATATATCATCATCATCATCATCACTTGTCATATTGCAATTATGGTGCTTCTTTAATAAAGGTTGCATTTAAATATGATTACATACAGGTCTTCTCAACAGTGGTAAATCCAGATGATCGTCGTAGCTCCTTGCCATACACTTTGAGGATCAAAAGTAGACCCATAGACAAAAGCGTTAGAGCTGTAAAGAACACCATAGCAAATCCTGAACCGATGGCATGCGCCATGGGATTGGCACAGGTGCTGAGAATGCTTGCCAATATTAAACCAATTAGATTGGAAGCTGCACTCACCGAGGCACCATGTGTAGGCGTAGCATCGATCAAATAGGCGCTGACACACGTGATGATTTGCTGCGAGCCGAAAGCCTGAATGCCAAAGCCAACAATAGCGATCCAGTAAGACTGATTTGTTTGGATTCCCCATCCAAACATCAGCATCCCAAGTGGCATAAAAATGAGCCCACAGGGCCACAAGTGTATCGCTAATCGATCTTCCACCACATAGTGACCATCTTGACGACCGCGTTTAGCATGCATTAATAACCGGTCGGAAAGAATGCCGTTCACAATGGCACCAAGGACGTTGCCAGCACCTGATGCAATATACGACAAGCCTATCTCCTGTATATAAGCCTAGGTTTCAATATTACATCCATTTTGCTTACCTATAGCCCATGAAGAAAGATCGTAGTGTGAAGAAAATAACACCGGTAATAATGTTTCGACTACCAAAAGACAGCTCAATGCAATAGCAAAAATGCTACTTGCAAGGAGAACATGTGGATAACGCAACATGAAAAGTGGTTGTGCAACGATTTTCCAAAGACTTGGTTTGGTGCTTTTTGTTGTTGCCGCCGCTATTGATGATGGCTCTTTGCTGCATTGGGTACCAATCTCACTTTCTTGTAGTCGAACATCATTTATAGCTGTACTTATGGATCCTACATCATCAAACAATTTGCTGTCACGATACGTCTCCGGTAAAAAGAATGCAACTAGAGCGAATGACATTGCTGCATACGCTGTGCAAAACCAAAAAGAAGCACGCCATGTGAGTGATGTTGTGGTGAGAGCTCCACCAATGACAGGGCCCAACAATGGACCAAAGTAGATTCCAAAGCAAAAGATACTCATGGCCTTGCCACGTTGTTCAAGAGAAAAGCAATCTGCAATGATGCCTGATCCAACAGCGAACGTGCATGCAGCTCCCACAGATTGTATGCATCTCAGCACAACTAAGCCCGCTATACTTATTATTACTGCTAAAGCGGCTGACACTATCATGAAAAGTAAAAGGCCGCATAGTAAAAGTATTTTTCTTATACAAAAGTGCTCTGATAATGACGCCCATACCACCGGCGACAAGCCAGAGAATAAGATGAACAATGATGCAGTCAAAGTAATAACTACGCTGGGTGCTTGAAACTCTTCAGTAATCATAGGGAAGCCTGAAAACAAGGGTAAATGGTTTCTCGTGATAAGTGTAAGCTGTTATAGCTGACCTGGGAAGCAAATAGTTGTGTACAATCCAGGACATCCTGACAGGGTAACCAAGACCCCCATAATGGTAACCTTTTGACAAGTACTAAAACACTGTGGATCATTCTCAGCTGTGGGTCGATTTGCCAAACGAGGTAAGATAGTCCTCGAAAGTCTTCTTAGTGGCCCCATGAAGGAAGTATCAAGAAAAAGAGAGGAAGAGATAAGCCATGCAACCATATCGTTGTATTTTATAGGCGCCTGAACATCGAAGGTAACCTCCATGCCATGACAACAGAGGTATGTATCATTAGCTGCATCGCTGCTGCATGCGATGGAATCATGCAACATTGCTCTCCTTATTTCTGCACGCCTTGCATAAATGCTATCAGGCAGCTAGTAATATAGTTTTCATCCCTTCAAACAAAGTAGTCGTAGCAGCATTGTTTACCACCATTGCTTATACCCTCGGTGGTACACGTCAACGATTTCTCTTCAACCTTTGGAAAATGAGTGCCACATTTGCAGTTTTATTGATGGTATCACATGATGTCCACATGTCGATGTTTTATGAAGTTGATATACGATTACATGAATAAACTGCTTAGCGTCTTTGTACTTCATCAGGTTGCTCAAAGCCGGATTTTCGTCTCATTCGTTGACCAAATAGCTTGAGGCATAATGTTATCAACATGGCTACTTCTACCAAACCAGCAAATATCAACAAGGTGAAACCTGAATCAATGCTATGGACCAGTGGATTGGCAGCGATTGAGAGGATACACGCCATTGTCATGGTGACGAGATTGGATGCTGCAGTGACAGAGGCACCTTGACCAGGAACGGAGTCCAACAAATAGGCGCTGATTGATGAGCTTACTTGCTGTGAGCCAAAAGTTTGTACACCAAAGCCAACAATGGCGATCCAAAAAGATTTATGCAACTGAATACTCCATCCGATCATTAGCAAGCCCACGGGCATGATGATGAATCCGGCTGGCCAAATGTGCATGCCTAAACGATCCTCCACCTTCGATAGTTGTCCTTCACGTTGACGTCTTGCACGTAGCAACAATCGATCGGAGAGTATACCACTCACAAGAGCTCCTAGCATATTTCCACAACCGCTATAGTTGAAAAGGACGTTAATACAAAAGACGAAATTAAGGGTGGTGGTATCATTAGTTACCTGCCGATGTATGAGAGGCCTAAATTAAAAGAGAGTCATTACTACTTGTTTCATGTCATCCTCTTGTATCACACACTCACCTATTTGCCAGGATGAAAATCCGTATCGTGACGCCAACAACTCGGGAAGAATCGTTTCAACCACAAACAAACACGAAAATGCGATACATCCAACAAGACTTGAAAGCAAAACGTGTGGATGTTGTAAAAGCAACAGCGGTGCTAACATTGAGCTGCTTGATTTTTTTGGTGGATCAACGTTGTGTTGTTCTTCAGCGTTGATCAAGCGATCGATGCCACTATCTACTCTTGGGGGTCCATCGAGCACGATATCGTTGCGAAAGGTCTCCGGTAAGAGGAAAAGCAAAAATGTAAATGTTGTAAGGCCGTATGCGGAACAAAACCAAAAGGTTGCGCGCCATGAAAGTGGTGTTGCCACAAGGGCACCACCAATAATAGGGCCAAAAAGGGGTCCAAAGAAGATTCCAAAGAACAATAGGCTCATGGCAGTACCTCGCTTTTCAACAGGGTAGCAATCTGCTATGATCCCAGAGCACAGCACGATGTAAGCTGATGATCCTAGGGCTTGTATGCATCGAAGTGTCACTATGCCTGCCATACTCGTCATTAAAGCAAGACCAATGGATGAGCCTGTCACTATCAGAGCACCACATAAGAGTAAGGGTCGCCGCATGCAAAAACGTTCAGAGATAGCAGCCCATACGACAAGTGCAAATCCACCAGACAAGATATACAATGCACCCACCATAGTGGTCACGACACTAGGCACATTGAACTCATCCGTCATTGCAGGGTAGCCTATCATAATACAAAAGGATACATATAGACACTATTAGTGATCAATGTGATCACACATAGAACAACGCTTTACATTACCTGGGAAACAAACCGTGGCAAATAGACCCGCTGTGCTCACACACATTATGACGAGCGACATGATAACGGTCTTTTTACCAGTGCTGAAAAGGCGTGGATCAGTCTCTGGTGAGGATTGCATGCAGCATATCCTTGATATCAATCCAGGACGATCTTGTTCAAATTCTTGATGATCAGACGTCATGGAAACAGGTACGTGTATTGAAAAGAAAAAGAAAAAGAGGGTTGAATCATGAAACCTTTTGCATAAACATATACTTTGAATAAGGTTATACCCACTCAAAAGACGGCTAATACACGACAAACGTTTCGCCTATTGCAATTCCTCCTTGCTGTTTATAAACGCTGATCTATCATGCACCTTCTCCCTGCATCGAGCTATGCACAAATTGGCATATCCCCATTGCTGCTAGCCAACCCCGTTATAAGCATAGTGACGTTCATGCAATCCATTCATCTTGTCCAAGCATACCGTATAGTAGCGTGAGCTTGGTCTTCGATCGTTTTTTTCGTTCGCGCCATTTGTTGAATACATAAACAATGGTTGTGGGAACACAATCATGCCATACGCCACAAACAAGAAATGGAACTTGAATGGGTATGCTTGATCACTTGCAGACCGACAACGCACGAGTATTATAGCTGCACCTTTATGCATAAACATCCTCCAATTGGTTGAATTTGCAGGCTATCTATGCATGTCGTCCATGTTGCATCTGCGTTAGATTATGTTCATTCTTGAGACGGGTGGTGATCATTCGTCCCCCCCCTTTGTGATGATGATCTCTAAATTATAATACACACAATATATGTTATTCGAAAACGTTGCCAGGTTACGGCCATCACCAATACCCAACGCGATTCGTATATCAACTTGCAATTGACCAGCCCCATTTTTTATGCAATAGTAGACTTTGTGTAACCAACAAAAGGATACATGACGTTAATGCTGCACATTCGAGCAAACATTTACTGCCAAGAGATGGTGGATGTCATTAAGCATGTCATATTAAAGATCGGTCATTATCATGTCGATGAAATTGCCAAAGCAAGGTGGTGGTTCACAAATGTATAAAGCAGCTCGTTGACCACACTTTCAACCACTTCCATACCCAACAAGTAGATAATCCAAATACCATCATCAAAAGAATCTCTTTATATATATATCCTACTTGCTACATTCTTGCTTCGGGAGCGGGGGGTTGCGATTGCATATACTTGTCCATACGTTTCCACCATGCAGCAAACTCGGCACCAGCCTTAGGATCATTGATGACAATTGAATCGAAAAGTTCAGGACGATGTACCACCAACAAGCGAAGGTAGGATGCAAGGACAACATCGGCCCAACCAGCTACGTATCCACTATTAATAACGAGACAACTTTTTAAGCGTGCATCCTATGTACCTTGTGAACCTGTCATGAAAGGATACTGTTTGAGGACACGACCAATAGGCTCCAGGAGTTCTTTGATAGCATCAATGTGCTTTTGGGGATCACCAGCAAACTTTTCAAGTGGCATCTTGAAGGCCTTTTCACGAGTCTCACGGAACCATTGCTTCAAGGATGGCGGGGTCACCTTGCTGTGAATCGTCAATACGCACAACTTGAAGATCTTGGGCAAAAGCTTGCGTGTGCAGTATTCATGGAAAAAGAAATGAGCACCTTCGTTGCCATTGAACAAGCTCGCATGATCAGGATAAGCTTCCTCGAGATACTTTGCAATCTCCCACGACTCCTGTACTACTTTGTCACCATGCACCAAATCCACAATCACAGGTACAGTAGGGGCCTTGCCAGTTTTACTATCATCATACAACGTGAGTATAAGCATAGGAAAAGGAAAGCAAGGGTGGGTGGGTACTCACGTCAAGCCAGGGATAACTTCGTGTACTCCAGCGAACGTCAACCACTCTGTTTCATAGGGAATGCCCTACATTGCATTCCAAATGTCAGTAACAAGAACCCCATTTGCAAGCGGGCGACACAGGTCTTGACATGCCTTCACATTGAGTGCGTAACGGGTCTTGCAGGTGTTTGGAGACCAAATGAGTCCAGGGACTTCAAGTTCCAAGTCGTAAAATCTGACCTTGGCCATGGTGGTGGTTGTGATAAAAATGAGAGAAAGGAACAAGAGATGACAAATTAAGGATTCTCATGCTGAGGTTGCTTTGTCAGCCTTGTGTAACTATGAAGGATGTAAGCTTGCGTAGGTTGACGTGATCATCTTGTACGCGCTAAATAAGATATGCACGTGTGTGGCCCTCAAGTTTAAGATCAATGCAGAAACAATCAGTAGTGTATATATAAGATAATAGCTTTATCAAGCGTTTATTATCGATCGGTTTAGGCGACCGTTCTCGTTTGCTCAACCATCTGTTGCGGCATGGCAGAGTATAATGCTTGTATTTTGCACCTTTACACAAGGGACCAGAGCATACCCCACCAGATAGAACTAGTCTTTGTTAGTAAATGTATCGATTTTAATCCATTAAACAAGTACATACCGTTCGCATTTTGAACTCTGGTTGAAAATCCATATGGTGGCCGCAAGCCCTTATGATGCTCCAGGATCTATGTGAACAGCTGACAACGAAGCACTCGATGGTGGCAAGGTCCTTTGCTTGCAAGCTCGAACTTGGCTATTGTGCTTGTCGCACGTTTGCCTTAGGGGAGAGAAAACGGTAAGCTCATCTTGTTAAGAACTCTGCGGCTACTAAGTCGCCGGGATATGGAATCTCAAGTTGCTCATCCAATTTGACATTTCCAGGAGGCGACTACATCGAAAAGGAATATGAGTATAGCCTTGATCAAGCAAGATGGCGATGTTTTACCTTATCAAAGAGCCAACTATCACAATGACACCAATGACAATGAACAATGGTATTTTCAACAAAGAAAATGAAAATGAGCAATGAGACATGGACAAGGTTAAAAGGCTACATTATTAGCCATACGATAACGACAACAATGGCTCGCGTGAAGAATCCTACTACAATGAAGCCAATACCCCACTCATAACCATGCATCTGATGTCATTGTTTTCTACTGCCATCCCCAGCAAACTTTTCAGCTTACAAAGGCGACGGCATCATGATTCATTGTTTTCAATAAAAAGCATCATCGTTTGATTGAATGGGTGATATGAAGCGTCAGATTAAATGTGCGTGTGTTGTAGAATGCGGCATGAAGTGTGTGTAACAAATGTGGTGTAGCAGTAGTGGATAAGAAGAAGGGGAGGGAGGGGACGCAAGTGCTGGGAATGGAATGTCTAGTTGATTATGCTTCTGCACAAAGTACGGTGGTATCGACTTGTTGGTCCCTTTCGTCGTCTGGTGTTTGGATAGATGATGAAGAAGAAGAAAAAGACGCTGGTGAACGCAACATGGGGTATGGGCTTGGAGTACGATTGATGAGAGCAGGGTTGACATCTAATAATGTGGATGATGATGGTGTCCATTCTTCAAGAATGCGCTCCACAAGACGATTGGTGGATGGGTTGACGATCCTGTAGTTGCATGGTGCAATCATGGCACATAATGTGCTACGAATTTCAGTTTCCTTGTATGGTGTACGTCTTAGTTGTGTATTGATGAGCAATGGGCGGAGCACTCGCAAGTAAGCGTCGCGGAGCTGCATGGGGGTTATAATATCAGTAACCCAATATGCAAAACACACATGCACACACACACATCCCACATCCCACATCCCACATTTCCATTACTTACAGCTTCGGCTTCTCGTTCCTCACCAAGATCACACACTTCACGTAACATGATATCCACAAGGACATAGAGATCATTGGTATAAAAAAACTCGTATAGAGATGGACGTGTAAAGATCCCGTAGAGAAGTTTGAGTATCAAGAGCTTGACGCAGGCATCATCTAATAGTTGAGAACATGAATGTAAATGGCAAGCAAGACACCAAAATGGAAAGAGGTATGCTAAAAATATACCGTGTGTGCATGTTTACCTGACCGATTAAGCATGAAAATTAAGTTGGCACTGAAAGTAGTAGCGGTGCCCATCCGTTCTTCCAGCATATCCAGGACACGATTCGTTTGTGTACCCGCCATCATGTATTGCTCATTCAACACCAGAATAAATTGAATAATGTCGTAATTGAAGGATTCATCGGCATCCTGAAGCATCGATTCAACCATGTCCAGCAGAGAATTGAGGAAGGAACAGGATACCACGCCTATGGATTTAGGTGGTGTGAGAGAATTTCCTCGGCTATTTTCTTCCCAAATGAAACCTACCTAGATCAGATTGCCGTAATTTGGATACTTTGCACATTTCGAACGCAAGGCCCACGGATGAGGCAATGATGGGTTCGTTGATGATTTTTCTAAATAGACGATTTTGCTTGTTGCGCCGTGCATCTGATACGACAAATTTCATCCATCGGGGGTCTTCTTTGCCAGCGTAGATCAACAAGGAATAGGCAATACGTAGATCATGTGGATCGGATGCTGAGAGTGCATGTGCTTGGGTGATGTGGCTCAAGATAGTCGTGCTATGCTCCAAGAACAAATGCGAATCGATCATTTGATATGCACAATGGGCGAGTTCGGTTTGTGATTGACAAAACTCGTCTAACAATAACAAAGATCGTCGTCAAGTCAACATCATCATCATGTCGCATCGAAGAATAGAATGGAATGGTTACCTTGGAAACGAGACCATAATCTAAGATATTGTGTTGTTATGCGTTCTGCATCTTGCTTGGTACAGCATGGTAATCGTAGTATATCGTCGAGTTCTACGTGGAAAGAAACAGAGCGACAAGGGGGGTTTAGTATGGAAGGGAGTACAGCATAAAAGTTGCCCATCAGAGATGAGGGAGTTATGGATCGGAGGCTTACCAGCATGGAAACTCGAAGCGTCATCGAAAAAGTAATCGATAGAATCGTAGTCCATGAGAACGAACGACTGGAAAAGTGAAAGACAAGCGACGTTGCTGGATTTGGTCGGTGGAACAAGCAATGAAATCCAACCTGCTGTCGGCTTTCCCTTTCTATTCACTCTTCTTCTCTCCTTCTTTTCTTATTACCCCAACACACACACACCCTTCACCACCCCGAGCAGCGCTACGGATACATATCCCCGTTTCCATGAACTCGACTACCGACCTCTTGTCAGCATTGGTTCCCACCTCTTTCTTCAATGATCCTTGGTCAGATGAAGCCAAGTCCATGTGGGTCCCCATTGTAGCCTACTGGGCATACAGCATCACATTTCAGCTTATCATGCAAGCCGAGATTCCTTTCTTTGAACAATATCGTATCCACACATCCGAAGACATGAGGAAGAGAAACCGAGTGACTCTATCCAAGGTGGTATTGATGGTTGTTGCTCAACAGGCCGTTCAGTTCATTATTGGAGTCATGTTAATTCAACCATCCGACGATCCTGTCAAACAAAAGCTTGAACAAGAAGCTTTTACTGCTAGCTTGGCTGCTCATATCTACAATGTCCTTGCTCCATATACACCATCCATCGCTGCAGTATCGGATCAAATTGCTTGGGCTCTTTATAATGTCGCTTGGCCTTGCGTCCAGTTTTTCCTCGGCATGTAAGTTATCAGGCTATATCGGAGATGATGGCAGAACTCTCCATTGGTCCTAACACAAAAAATTATAGGGTGATCATGGATACGCACCAATACTTTTTGCATCGCTTGTTCCATCTTAACAAGACTCTCTACAAGCACATCCACTCTCATCATCATCGTCTCTATGTGCCTTATGCATTCGGCGCTCTGTACAATCATCCTATCGAAGGCTTCTTGCTTGATACTGTTGGTGCTACCCTCTCCTACGAGCTTACAGGCATGTCTCCCCGACTCGGCATGCTCTTTTTCACCTTTTCAAACATGAAGACAGGTAACAAGGATACATGAGGGATTGGGGGGAAAGGATGACCCATGGCGGTAGATTAACTCTTGGGCGGTATAATAGTGGACGATCATTGTGGTTACAGTTTCCCTTGGGATCCTCTTCAAGTGCTTTTTGGCAATAATGTGGTCTAGTAAGTATATGGATGGTTATAGGAAAAGAGAGATGTTAACCCGAATCTATTAGCCATGACATTCATCATCAACCCTATGGCATCAAGGCCAACTTTTCTCAACCCTATTTTACATTCTGGGACACTATCCTCGGTACTCGATTTACCAAGAAGAGAGATGCCAAGAAAGTTGAGGACAACAAGGAGGTCAAGAAGAACTAAAACACGACATAGCACAATCTCCTTTTGCTGCATTGCCCCCATACGCGTATACTATTTGCATTAATCACCGTTGTTATCTTGCTTTTTTTTTCTTTTTACCATCAACACCCCATTCTGTATTAGTCGTCTAATGACATGTAATTTACGGCACTCAATTATTATAAAGATAGCTACAATGGCTTTTTTCCAATACTCAAATCTTTCAAAGAGCGGCTAGTGTTGCCATACTAAGCAAATTGTGGCACATGTGGCATTGGCCTATAGAAGAAGAAGCATCTCTCTATTTCGGAATTGGTGCCGCGTTCGGTGATACTACATCCCTTTGTGATGCATCATTGTGGGATGAAAGAGTATGAGCACTACTACTAGAGCACATGCAATGCATGCTAATCCATTCCCATGGTCATTTCCTATTGCCTATGATGCATCCCGATTGGCATATGTTGGTTTGTCATCAGTTACCTGCTGACCAGGTACATACATGCAAATTCTCCCCCATTGATAAAAAGTGGATGCGTTCTATTATACAACGTCTGATGACAATGGCGAAGCTTCTGGTTCCTTTATGCATAATAGAAGATGCCATCAACATGTGGTCTGTGAGCAATAGGAACAGGGATTTACGATTGAAAACAATGGCAAAGGTGAAAATGGATGTAGTTTTGACAAGGTGCTACCGATTGCTCGTATACATGGATCGTCGTTTAGACTTTTAGGGCGATCGGCAGTACAACGGCATATACGCTGATGGGAAAATGTGGAGAAGTAAAAGTATGATCTCATGTGTGGATGGCTATCGCTGGGCTATCATGCTGTAAATCATGTGTGTGTGCGTGTGTGTTCAACGGCGATGAGAATGGTAGATTGAACAAATAGGGAAGACCCACGGCTCACTACTCCTTCTTCCAGTGATACATGTGCCAAAGCAAGTCAATATGCAAAGCTCACACATGCCTAAAGTATACGTGGTGTGCCATGGGCAAACAAAATGCTGCCGTGGAAAACATCATTAGCCCATTTGATAAATAAACCTGTCCCATACAAATTGCTTTTCTTTCCCTCTCTCTCTCTTCTCTTTCGCTTTCTCCCACTTTCTTTCTCTATTCTTTCCTTCTTTTATTGTCCTGATACCAACGTACTTCACAAACCGTGGACAAGGAAACACATGAGCACGTCTAGCATTTCCAATCCAACATTGTCCAGGGCAGGACATGATAATACCACAACCACATCGACAACCAGCAACAACAACCCCATTGTTGAACAAGCATCGACCATGTTGGATTACACTAGTCATGGTGTGACAACATCAAATGCTTCAAGTGTACCAGAAAAACAGCCACTTAAACAACAACAACAACAACAAGGTGTCAAAGGATCGTGTTTTCAAGACATCATTGAGCAGGACTTGATGACAGGCCTTGAAGATAGCACACATCGACTTTCTATATCGGATCAGCACCCACTTGAGAAAAGAGAAACGTAAGTAACGTAATGCATGTCAAGTACGTGTTGACCTTTTGATCCTGACACATTGCGTTTTGTCTATTGCGTATGTGTGTGTGTGTGTGTGCGTGCGTGCTTCGTGTGTAACGCTTTTAGGAGACATGTCCCGAGATCGGTGCGTGGCATTTTTCCCGACAGCACAGCTTTTACTCCTCAATCTGGTGACAAATTCCTATTCCAAGGTGACCATCACCATCATGGTCTTGATCCCAATACCTCTACACCTTGTAAGTTTTTGCATTAGGGTGGTGATAATCGAATGCTAAAGAGTTGTTCCTTTTGGGGGGCTGTGTAAAGTAGTACGACACGGCAGCATAGTAACGCCCACAACCAGTCATGCACCCGACCCGACGTTTATGCGTCGTTCATTTGATGCTACAAGTGGTTATCATCATCAACATCACCACCAACAACATCGTCATCGTTTTCCATCACTCAATAGAAGAGAAAGCTATCCTTGTCTGGTAAGCTCTACATGCACGCGACATGAAGGAAAAGGGGGGGATGTGCATTTTCTATGGGCGTGACGTTATAACTCAATGATGTATGCATTTACAAACAAACAAAGCAGCAGAGTGCTTCAACCACGACTACAGCAACAAGTAATGGTGGTCAAGGATGGAATTGTGACCCGGCTTGGATGCCATCACCTTTTAGGAAATATTCTATGGATTATGTCAACAAGCGCTTGGATCTAGATCCACGTGGAGGTTCAAGTCGTCTTGCACCTTCCTATTCAAACCCTGACCTTGCTACGGCACGTCGCTTATCCAGTTTGGAGAATGCTGTTGTTGCTGCTGCTGCTGCAGCAAGTGGCGTTTCTGATAACATCCCTGAAAGTGGCGCCCCATCTTCGCCGTCATCCTACGCATCCACTACAGCAACTGCAGCTGGTTTGATTGCATTATCATCATCACAACAACAACAACAACAACAATTGCTTGGTTACGTTCCATCCTCGTTAATGTATCCATACCCTTATCCAGCAGCAGCCGTGGCCACCACCACCACAACAAATCAAGCAGCAGCAGCAGCGGCAGCGGCAGCAGCTCATGCAGCAGCCATTTGTAATCATAACAATAATGGTGGTGCTGGACCATCGCCTGCCCCCTTGAATCCACTTTTATTATCGCATCTTATCCGTCACATGCCGCCATCTTCACCCTCTTCACCTTCATCACCCACAAGTGTATCATCATCCTCTTTTAGGAAAACACAACAGCAGCAGCAGCAACAACAATCCACCACATTGAGCAATAGCAATTCATCCACCACAACCACTACACAACGTCGACACAATGAGCATGACAAGTTTGCCCATATCAAGTTCGAAGATGTTGTGGATGATATTTATTCATTGTGCAAGGATCAATATGGGTGTCGCTATTTACAACGAAAGCTTGAGGAGCAAAACGATGATCAACGTGACATTATCTTTGACCAGGTGTTTCCGCATTTCATCAAACTCATGACAGGTAAGTATTGAATGCAATTGACCCCCTATACGCATGTCGCTCATCACCACATGTGCATATATCCATGTCGTATTATAGATCCATTTGGCAATTATCTATGTCAAAAGCTGATGGAACGTTGCACGGATGAACAACGCACTCGGATCGTGGAACAAGTATCTCAAGACCTGGTTGATATCTCACTCAATATGCATGGTACACGTGCCGTCCAAAAGATGATTGAATACATTACATTACCGGAACAGGTACATCCTTGACCCATTCCCATCCATTATCGCCATGCCTTAACTCTTTTTTATAGATCCACCATGTTGTTGTGACCTTGGCTCCCAACGTCGTAACCTTAATCAAGGATCTCAATGGCAACCATGTCATTCAACGTTGTCTGCATCGCATGTCTTCCGAGAACAAACAATTCATTTACAACGCCGTGAGTGAGAATTGCATCGAGGTTGCCACGCATCGCCATGGTTGCTGTGTGTTACAAAGATGCATTGATTATTCCTCAGAAAACCAAAAGGTAAATTTTCGCATTTACAACAATGAAATCATGCACGTGAATGTAACACACTACTCTCTATAGACTCAGCTCGTCAATGGAATCATTCAACATGCCCTGAACCTCGTTCAAGATCCATTCGGCAACTATGTCGTGCAATACGTCCTTGATCTTGGTGATGCTGATTTCTCCGATAAGCTCATTCAGCGCTTTGTGGGCCATGTCGTATCTTTATCGGTCCAAAAGTTTAGCTCCAATGTCATGGAAAAGGTGAGCAATGATTGGGTTGTAGTAGCAGTAGTAAATCCTTTTTCCTAACCCATGAATGCCCTTTGTTAGTGCATACGAGTGGCTGAACCAGAAACACGTCGACGCCTTATGGAAGAGATGCTCAACAAGCCAAAGTTGGAAAGATTGCTCCGGGATTCCTATGCCAACTACGTTGTACAAACCGCCCTTGATTATGCTGAACCTGCTCAACGCATCAAGGTATGTAAAGGATGATGATAGCATACAGCTTGCTTCTATCTTTTTTACTAACTCCTGCACCAGCTTGTTGAATGTATTCGACCTTTGTTACCTGCTATACGCAACACACCTTATGGTAAACGCATCCAGGGCAAAATCAATCGTGAACCACAGCGATCAGTTTTGCATCATCATCACCATCATCATGACCTGCACACCATGTCGATGGGTTATTTGGCTGCGGATATGGCCTTGTTTCCACCACCTATGCAACCAGCAGCATCCTTTGGAGCTTTCAGCCCTTTTTCAGTGTTCCATCATCATTGAAAGCACACCACCATCCATTCATCTTTATCATTTCTCATTCAATCATTGTACTATTTCATCAAAGAAAAAAGTGTACAGATAACCACAAATTAGGTGTACCCAATTATTCATTGTTCTCATAACACAAATGTAACTAGCTAGCGTTGTTGTTGTTTCATTAAAGCAAATCGTGTTGTTCTTTTATAACATTATAGAAGAAGTAGAATAAGCTCAAAGATGTAGAGCACAGCTAAATCTAAGAAGGTTGATGATGCTAAGTGTACGATTACGGGTATACTACACCGAAGGCGGGTGATGGTTAATGGTGATGCGTTTGGAGGATGCTTATCAAAATAGGCCTGAATGGAGTACTTAAAAAGTAGCTCGCTAGGGTAGGGGTTGCCATGTGCTTCCACATGGTCTCGTTACACGCCGAGCTATGAACGGATGCATAACTTTATCACCTAGCAAATTGATACATTCATACGTCCTCTCGTCCTTCAAGCACCAAATAAGACATGAGTAAGAAACATGATACCACAGAGTAAGGCATATGATCGATCCTATCACAAGGCAAATGTAAATGGAGGGGGGTGGTATGAGAGGAGGAAGTAAAGACAACAATGTAAAGAGAGGAAAAGAGTTGTAGTTTTGAATCATCGAGAAGAAGAGAAAATAACGTTGAAAGCACTCCTTGTGAATGTGTCAATGATATGAATACAAGTAGGGATGATAGAAAAGGGTGAATGATCATGATGGGGCATATGCAATCATCAAGGCAGATGACAACTTGTGTAACCTTTTGGATGAATAAATACCTTGGCCATGCGTTGTGCCTGTGTCTTTTGCGGTCTTTCAGTTGTGCTTCTGTCGAATATATACAACACACTTGACTTGTGTACAGCAGACAGAAGCTCGACTATAACAACTATCACAACAACAACAACAACCCCTTCCCCACGTACTATCTTTCTTTTTCTTTTATGCAATCTGCCTTTTGATCTCTCTCTCTCTTTTCTTTCCCATTCTATAAACGATCATGTCGGAACTTGTCTACAACGCACGTTCTATTGCTGGTGAAACCACTTTCAAGTCCAATGACCAACCCCCATCGACTGTCGACACGACAACGACATCGACGACGACTACCACTACTAAAACAACCACAACGACTGACGCATCGTCCAAAGATGATCAACAACATTTCAACATGGGAGACAAGGCAGTGGTTCAGCTCCTGAACAAGCTTGACGAGGTTAGGGGAATATAAGGAAGGGGTGTATATGTGTGTGTGGGCGTGTGTGTGTGTATGTGTGTGCTTGGAGATATGCGCGTATCCATTCAACAACCTTTTTATATATGTGTATGGGCTTACTAACGATAACATACATAGGGTGCCCAAACGATTGCCAACTTGCGATCCATCCTTACGTTAAAGACAGCCGAACTTAACGAGCTTATCGCCCAACTTGAGTTGACCAACCAAGCTATTGTCAATGTTGAATCGACCACGACACAAATCGAGCACATGTTGAAAGATTTGGGTCTCTCGGGTGAACGTGATGAATCGGTTCTTATGCATGCTGAAGCAAGTCTGGATTCAGCCATCAAGTCAGCTAGCCATTTGTATAAGCGACGTCCATCCATGGCAAGTAACGGTAGCAACGGTGGTAGTACTCCTTTGGTAATGGATCAAGATCAGCAACAACGCCGTGAACAACGCATGGTATGTTTCTTTCTCTGTCATGGCAACCTACCTACTACCTCCGATTCCCCCATTTGCACCTCTCCCCCCCTTTTATTGTGCCACAAAAGAAAACCCTGTATTCATTGTTCCCTATAGTCTGCTCGGTTCTCGACAAGGATTCGCTACAAGCCAGATACCAAGCCCATCTTACGTCAGCTGAATGATTTGTTGAGGGATCTCGAATTGGATTCTGCAAGATTCTTTGAAGAGATTGGAACAACAGGTACACTATTTATTATCTTGAAAAGGTGCTGTTGTATGCTCACTTTTGGGGAATAATAGATGATGTACAAAAGCTGCAAAAAGCCAAGGTGGATCTTGATATTGCAAAGACGATTGCTCTTTCCGCCAAGAGTAATCTCAAGCGCCGTACGATCCTACTTCGCAGTGCTAGAAGACGTAATGCTCCTGAAGAGGTCAAGATGGTAAGTGCGTATGTTTACAGGATAAAGTGGAAATGCTAATCCCCATACAATACATAGCTTGGCAACAAAATTCGAGAAAGTGTTGCTTTGTGGAAGACTTATGCACGTGGATCACCATTGCTTGTTGATGGAAAAGATATCCTGGAGATTCTGGATGCTGAGGATGATCTGATTTCGAGAAATGTGAGTTTTACTTGGGTATCTTATTTACAATGGAGCTAACAATGATAATAAGCTTCCTGTTCATCCTGCTCGTATGTCCTTTGATGGGTATGCTTCCAACAAGGGATCCCCAACACCATCGACATCCAGCACCTCTCGTACCATGCGTAACAGTCTTTCGACACGATCCACTGATAGACCTACACACAGCCGTACTTCATCTCTTCATGCTGGCACGCCTACTACTACTACAACGGCTGATTCATCTATCCCCATTCCTACGACAACAATGGATCCTGCAGCTGTACCACCTGTACCACCTATTCCAGCTGCTGTCAAAAAGACCTATCGTCATTCTGCAGCGGCTCGCGTCTCTGTACGCGCAAGCACAGGTGTGCCACGTGTGAGGACATCATCACTTACGGGTCACAAAACCAAAGATGCCAATAGTGGCACCTCCACCAATCGACCTTCACCAACAACTCGATCCAAAGATTCGCCTACTGCAAGTAGTGCTACGAGTGGTGGTACCGGTATCCCATCATTGGCAGGGTCACTTTCACCACCATCCTCCTCCTCTTCACAAGCTACAGCTGATAACAAAAAGACCGGTTCTACTAAACCGCCAAGTCAACGTGGTCCTGGTTCCACTTTACGTATCCGAAGTATGCTTGCAAAGAGGAATATGCAATCGACAGCATCATCATCATCAGCAGCAGCATCGCCACCGCATTGATGATATTATCACCAGCACAAAGATCGCCCAGCGTACGTTGTTGTTGTTCGCTGTAGCAACCTCCCCCATTTCTCTCTCTCTCTCTCTATTCTTTACATGTTTTTCTCTTTTATGCCTTATTCCCATCGTGATCACTCTATAGTAATTCTTATATACGCATCCTAAGATCCTTATTCCACATCCCCCACCCAACTTATTTAAGTATTATTGCAAAGTCTCATTTGCTTATCCAATCATGATTATCATAGCAACACATTTCAATCTCTCAATTAAAAGATGTGTTTTATAGTTTGTTGAATAATTCTACATATGTACATTTCTATCTATCATGTTCATGTCTTCTCTATGATGATGCACCTTGCCATGCACACATACGGCCATCTTCACCACCTGTTAAGATGCTCTGAGAATGATGATTCCAATAGACCGCTCGAACAATGTCTGTATGACCACCAGGTGCCTTGAGTGTTTGACAATGTTGTACTTGACCCACATTCACATGCAGTAATTGGACATCACCACTATTTGAAAAAGATCCCTTAGTGATTGACGTAATCACGCACGTATCCTTTCTTGTTACCTATTGTTGCCTGTGATCAAATAGAAGCGCTGTGATACCGGATCATAACTACAATCAATAGCATACTCGACTTGATTGCTATCAAAGCTTCGCACATCACCAAAGTCGCAAATGAGATCACCCTATTCATATCCCATTAGCATAGGCTGGTTGACGTAAACACAAATCATTTACCTCCAATGTATGCAATAAAAATGTCTCTGTATGCGTCAAGCTGTACACGTATTCTGCATCAGGACCAAAGAATCCCATCTTTTGAATTGACGAGCCAGCATCCACCACCGCGAGAATATCTTCTTCCTCATCAAAGTCTGTAACGTCGTAATAGTTGATAATACCATCGGTGGAACTTGATAAAAGACGAGCTGGCATGCTGGGGTGGCATTGGATTTCGGTGATATCATCGAGGTGGGATTCAACAAATTTATGCAGGATCGAGGACTGGCGGGTATCAAAAAACACAAGTTCACCATTGGCATACTTGTCATAATCACTCGTACCAACGACTGCCATCGTATCATTGCAATTGATGTCGAATGCAGAGATCGGCTTGGAATCTAATCCGCCCCTTTTTTGATGAGTAACCTCTATAACAAAACGTTTGCTTTACTTACACGTCAATGTCTGTACAGGTTGTGCTGTTCTCAAATCCCATCGTACAAGTGTTCCATCCACGGATGATGTAAAGAGAGTTGAATCATTATACAGCTGCATCTTGGTGAGCACCTTTTGTTGGCGTAGTGCTGTGGCAGGTTGCAACGTTGCTAGATCGTAAAGGCGCACCGTGCTATCCGAACATGAAGCCATGGCGTATTGGCTGTTGGCTGTTACTTGAAGCACATACTCATTGCCAAGCTGTAGATCGAGTGCTTGTACCGGTTGGAATGGTGGCAATAGGGTGGGATTCGACTCGACCTGAATCATAATGGTCAAACGAAAAGGAAAAAACTGGGGTGGTCAGTCACGAGCAATGCAAGCTACAAAAAGAGAGAGACAGACCCAGCAGCTGCTTCTTTGTCCTACAACACAACCACACTTTCAACTTTCTTCTTTCCATTCGCCATGGCAACCATGTTCACAAATCGTTGGATACCGGCATTTCTCTATCCCATCACTGTTTTAGCATTGAGCACTTTTGTGGCAGGCCGTGTCCCACCTAGTTACTTTAGCGACTCTCACAACCTTATCAACGTCTACTTTGTCAAGCTTGGTTGGCTATGGACGACCGTTGCCTATGTCTCACTCCTCAACGGTGACAAAAAGAGCTGGTTACGATACATCTTGTCAACGGCCTATTGGTTTTGCATCACACAATGGTTACTGGGCCCCAGCTTTATCGATCGCGTGTTTGTGGCTACGGGTGGTAGCTGTTCATCGGACATCTTGCTGCAAAGTCAGGCCACGTGTCGCCAAACGGGAGGTCAATGGATCGGTGGTCATGATGTTTCAGGCCACTGCGTACTTTTAGTCCATGCAAGCTTATTCTTATGGGAGGAACAACGCGCCATCTTGCTCTTCAAGAATACCAAAAAGTATGGTTTATACATCGTCTATGGATTCCTGGCCTTGTGGTGGTGGATGCTTTGCATGACAAGCACTTATTTTTTCCATGGTCAACGGGAATTGGTTTCAGGCACCTTCTTTGGCATGTTTGGATGGGTCATCATGGTAGGTACATTAGAATGCAGCGAGCGAATCTAGGTGGATTCAAGATGACTAAACGACTACAAATTGTAGTATTTGGTCATGTTCCCTTTGATTGGTCTTGTGGACACCCTTCAGCCATCTCAAAAGGAGCAGCAGCAGCAACAACAACAACAGCATGAGAAATTGTAATCATTCTTTTTATATCATATCATTGTACGTAGAATACATTATCCTTTAATAATTAGATAATAAATGAGCTTAGAAGAATATGCATCGTGGATGGGGATACATGTGCAGCTGTCAAGTACGAGAAACCGGTATAGTTGCAGCATCTAGCAGGAGACAGCTTTATATGGCAAATCGGGGATTACACTTTCAAGAGCATGATTTTTGAAGGACTTAATTCTCACGCAGCGCATTCCCTCTGCTTGGCTACGAATCTGCTTACATGTGACGATTTCTGGTATAAAAAGTTGGTTCCCAGCTTTCAACCCCACATCTTTTCCCTCTCTTTATTCTTTACTACTCCCCCTTTTTCCCTTTACATATACCATTATGGCTGCTGGTTTACGCAAAGTATACGTTGTTGGTGTTGGCATGTCCAAGTTCATCAAGCCTCGTGGCGAGGTGGATTATCCTGGTAGATATCTATCCCCAGAATAACAACGCAACAGTGAGACGCCTTACACATACACACACACGTTTATAGAATTCGGCCTTGAAGCTGCTGTCAAAGCATTGAACGACGCCAAGTTGAATTATGATCAAGTCGAATACGCAACATGCGGTTATGTATACGGCGACAGCACCTGTGGCCAGCGTGTCTTGTATCAGCTTGGCATGACTCAAGTATGTATTATGTTCAAATGCGCGTAACACATGCACACGATCTTCTCATTTTTGGTTACACAACGCTGACCAAACTTGTATTTCCTCCTCCTCCTTTCAAAAGATCCCTGTCATTAACGTCAACAACAACTGCTCTACTGGTTCCACTGCTTTATTGCAAGCTCGTCTTGCTGTAGCATCAGGTCTTGTTGACTGTGCAATGGCTCTTGGCTTTGAGCGCATGGCAAGGTATATCTTAAAAGAGACGCTTTTTTATGCAACGTATTGAGTAGCTTCTTTATTTTTATTTTTGATGCAGAGGTTCTTTGACAAGTGCCTTCCAAGATCGTACCAACCCCATGGGTAAGTATCAAATCATCGAATTATAGCATGTGGATCCCACTAACATAAAATACAGATCACGTGTTCAGCGTGATGGCTGGTGAACGTGGATTTGAACCAAAGGCACCTGGTGCTGCTCAAATCTTTGGCAATGCTGGTATCGGCTATATGGAAAAGTATGGTGCCACGGAGGAGCATATGGCCAAGATTGCCGAAAAGAACCATCGCCACAGGTAAAGCAATGGTGATTGATTGATTCGTTGTTCATTGTTCATTGTTCATTGATTGACCCATTCATTATAAAGCTCTCTCAACCCCTACTCGCAATTCCGTGATGTTTACACCCTTGATCAAATCAAGCAATCCCCCAAGATTTATGGCCCCTTGACCAAGTTGCAATGCTGCCCAACGAGTGACGGTGCCGGTTGTGCCATTGTTGCATCTGAAGAGTTTGTCAAAAAGCACAACTTGTGGGATCAAGCTGTTGAAATTTGTGCTCAAGTCATGGCAACCGATTCTCCACGCATGTTGACGACCGATGCTATCGAGTGGGCTGGTGCTGACATGACACGTCGTGCTGCTACTGAAGCCTATGCTAAGGCTGGCATTACCCCTAATGATGTTCAAGTCATTGAACTCCATGATTGTTTCTCAGCCAACGAGGTAAATGGCATACACCTTTTTCCAAACGATCAAAGATTAACAATGCTCTTCTTCTATATATAGCTTCTTACCTATGATGCCCTTGGCCTTACTCCCCCTGGCAAAGCACACACTTTGATTGATTCCGGTGACAACACCTATGGTGGAAAATACGTTGTGAATCCCTCTGGTGGATTGATCTCCAAGGGCCATCCATTGGGTGCCACTGGTTTGGCTCAATGTACAGGTTTGTGTATACATAAACAAAGGTATGCTGCATATATTTAGCTCACTATTTATATAGAGTTGACATGGCAACTCCGAGGATGGACCGGTGATCGTCAGGTACCCAATGTCAAATATGCCCTCCAACACAACGTTGGCTTGGGCGGTGCCGTTGTTATTACCATCTACAAGAAGGCCAATGCTAACAAGTGTGCACCCCATGTTGGTTACAACCCTGTAAGTGTTGTTGTTGTTGACGACGACGACGTGGTGGTGGCGGGTATTACGGGAATGAAAAAATGACTAAACTATCTTTGATTTTAGGCTGTTGAAGCCAAACCTATCTCGCAAGAGGATTATGACAAGGCTTGTTCCAAGACCAACAACCGATCATCTTTGCTTGAAGCCAAGCTCTAAATCCATCCCATCCTGTAGTAGTAGTAGTGGTAATGCTTGTGAATGCAATACATTATATATATCCTCCCCTTTTTTATTCACATGTAAAAGAAAGAGCAATGTCTCAACAAAGAACAATGGTTCTTGTCCCACTTGGTCACGAGATTTTCACAGAGGTATAGTGTGTGTGCCTGTGTGTGTGTGTGTGTGTGCCTGTGCGCTTGTTGAAACCCAAACAAGACACAGCAGCAGAAAGTCAGGGACCCTACTTGTACATCCTTTTCTTTGTTTTTTCCTCTCTTTCCCTTAAAGCAACAACGTTGGTATAGTAAGGGGGGATATTCCCTTTTAAAAAAGAACAAGGCAAAATGGCGCTGCACGAACCAGGGGTTACATTGCAGCAACAGCAGCAGCAGCATCATCACTCCTCTAACAACAACACCACCACCACCACATCACCGCTTCTCCCAAAACAGCAGGCGTCCAATATAGCACAACTCTACCATCAACTTCAACAAGCGGCGTTTGACGACCTTTCCGTTGCTCAACAGCACAACTCCACCACCACCTCAACCTCAACTTCACTCGCATCCGCCACCATCATTAACAGCAACATTCCCTCGTCCTCGTCCTCTTTCGTTGCTGCTGCCATTTCTTCCACTGGCTCAATTCCACCAACACCACCACTTCCACCACCACCCATTATAGCGCGCACTGACCGTGCATCTTGCACAATGTCGTCTTGTTCAGTACCGTCATCCACCCGTTCGTCATCAGAAAGCAGTTGTACCAACAGCAGTAGTCCCATTACACCTCATCACCAGGTTCTTATGACGAATCCACCGGTTTGTGCTTGTGAGCATTGGCTAGTCTCAGTCGATTCAGAGCATTGTGGTTTATGCGATGATCCTCAACCTGCTTTACAGTGGTGGCAAGCCGAGCGTGCAGTGCGTGTGCAAACCATTGACCGTACCCAGAGCCAACTGGAGCGTTTACGAGATAAGCAGAGCGAGCAGCATGATTATATACAACATTTACGACAACAAATAATCACAAAGGAGCAAGCGATTGAACGACGTGGTCCTGAACTTGAAGCTCTTAAACAAGACCTCGAGATTCTTCAACAAAAATGCACTGGGGAGCGTCAACAAGTACAGCAAATTCAACAATCGAAAGAATCGGTGAAGCGTGAACTCGAAGAATTATCTCAGCGATTGTTTGAGGAGGCGAATGAAATGATTCAGCATGAGAAAAAGGAAAAGGAACGCATTGAACAGGATTTGGAAGTCGTTCGTCATTTGTTGAATGAAGCTCAAAGTGATCTTGCCCTTGCTCAAAAAGAACTTGCTCAATTACGCCATCACCTACAAAGTGAAGAATCCAAATATCAAAAGCAACAACAACATCAACAACATCGACCATCCTCCACATGCACTAATTTGAGTGATCATCGCATATCCACCCATTCGTCTTCTTCTTCATCTGCAGCACTTGTTGATCACCCTGACGCGCCACCTTTATCATCTTTGATGCGAGCTCAGATCGATCTTGCTACTCAATCCATCGTCAGTAACCAAGCAGCAACAACAACAGCTCAGCCAACAACAACAAAGCCATCTTTGGGAGTCCAAGTCGAGGCGTCGGAAGATGACCATTGTTTAATGGAATTCCGCCAATTCATTGATGCAGCAACCACCGTCTCATTACGCAAACTCAACAGCTTACCTTATATGAAGCACGTGATTGAAGAGGATGTAAAGCCAACTTTACGTTTTGGACCGAATCCACGCATGGCGTGTCGTAAGATTATTGATGCCATCTTGGTCAAGACATGTTTTGTGGAAGATTGCCCGCCTGGATACGTGAATCAGCTTATCGAGACTCAACAACGACAACAAGCAGCAGCAGCAGCGAATGCTGAGAACACCATTGCGAGTCTGTGGGAACGCTTCTCACTCTCACCTGTATTTTATGGATGTCAGGCTTGTGGACGTGCTGTGGCACCTGAAGAAAAGGAACAATGTGATCGAGTGCTCTTGTATCGGTTTAGGACCTCTTATTTCGATGAATGGTCGTGCATTGACCGCTATTGTCGCGATCGATTGGAATCGGTGATGCAATTTTACGCCTTTTTGCGTCAACTGCGTATTGGTGCTTATCGCCATCGGTCACTCACGGACCTTTATCAAGAATGTTCCCGTTTACGTCTGCAAATGTTCCTTGCTAGGTAACACGAAATACCCAAACTCAGGAAGAATTACTCTAAACGCAATGATTATTATAGAATGGGTGCTCTTCCGGGTGCTTTACATGGCTGTGGTATGGATCCAGATCGTCTAGCAAAGGCTTCTCCCGAAGGTGAAACAAGTCGTCTTTCAAGCTCTACCGCCGTTACCGTTTAATAATACTACTATCTTTTTTACCCTGTTTTCTTATCCCCTTTTCCTCTTACCAAGTTATACACCCTACACCATACACACACACACACACGCACGCATTATCACGCTTCTCATACCACCTCTATACACGTCTTCCGTTTTTTTATGTTGTGTAATAAGAATCTACGCTTTGTTCACTTTTTCTTTTCCTCGGTAATATCGTAGTAAAACAATACACGCACGTCGTTGTCCTCCCTATATCGCACGACAAATAAAGCAACTGTGCACAAAAGCTATCTTACATATGACAGTCGTCCTTCCTTATCCATATTGGGTGATTGACAAGATAGAGAGAGCGAGAGCGAGAGAGGTGTACACGAAGATAAAATGTGAGAACACAAATCATTTCTCAGGCTCTTATTTCTTCCCATTACTTTCTCTCTCTTTTCTACTATTTCGCATCAACTGCAATAGTACATACGTATTCAAGATGGCCACTACGCCTCAAGATTTTTCAACAAAGGAAGAGAAGGTCATTGTTGAAGCCACCAACAACATGGTCGTTCTCGAGAATGCAAGTACCAAGTCGGCCGAAGCTGAGCATGAATTTGAATACGAGATCGAGGACGAGAAAAGGAAACAAGATAATGATTGCGAAGGCCACGGTGGTGATCAAGAAGAGAAACAAGAGCAGGAGGAGGAAAAAGGATGGTTTGGACGTCTCTACAGCCGTCATAAAATATGGTTTCGGTAAGACCCTGTCTTTTTCTTCATTGCTTCCACCACCAATGGAAGGGTCGAGGGTGGGGGGAACCTGGGAAAGTATACCAAATCAAGCCAACATCCGTACCTTCTTTTTCTACACCACACATACACACTTGTCCCATGTGACAGTCTGGTCATGTGGTTACTGTTTACAGGGTTTCTCGCTGCAGCCTATGCGCTGCAGGTACCAAAGGGATATAATCAAGAAAATTTAATCCTTGGTTTGATCTATGCCTGCTTCACGCTAAAAATGATCTTCAACTATGTCCCATTCTCATTGATCACGACACCCTGTTGGAAAGTATGGGATACAGTGGCAGCACCTTTTTACAAGCTCAGCAAGCGTCTACGATCCATATTGTATGGTGCCTTTGTGGCGGCTGTCATTATCATTACCGTATTTAGTATCCCTGAGACGGATTCAACACGATTGCAGCGATTCATTGCCTTGGTTGGTTTGGTGGTCTTTTTATTGCTCTTGGTTGTCTCATCCACGGTATGTAATAATGCACATACATCTTAACTTTTTATACTCAACATGATGGCACTAGAATCGGCGCGCTATCAATTGGACAACGGTATGCAGCTCAATGCTCCTCCAATTTTTGTTAGCACTCTTTGTGTTTCGATCTTCAGTGGGCCACGACATTTTCGAGTGGGCATCTACCTTTGCACAAGGATACCTAAGCAAAGCATGGCACGGCATCCAATTCTTGACCAATGATGACATTGCCGACATGAGCATTTTTGCTATCACTGTATTTCCAGCCATCATCTTTTTCGCATCCACTGTGCAAATGTTGTACCATGTTGGTGCCTTGCAATGGCTCCTTTCTCGATTTGCTGTCATTTTTGTGTATCTATTACAAGTATCAGGTGCAGAAGCTGTTGTCGCCACCGCCTCGGTAAGTATATACAAGGGTCATGGATTGGATGAATGATGAGGGATTAACATGGATAAAAAAAAAGCCCTTTATTGGACAAGGTGAAAATGCCCTACTCGTACGTCCCTTCTTGCCATTAATGACAACGTCCGAACTGCATCAAGTCATGACCTCAGGTTTCGCCACCATTTCTGGTTCAGTGCTGTTTGGCTATATGGCAATGGGCGTATCAGGTCAAGCCCTGCTTACATCATGCATCATGTCCATCCCATGTTCATTGGCCGTATCCAAGATTCGATATCCTGAAGTGGAGGAACCATTAACAGGACGAGTGATCAAAGTCCCACCACAAGATGAACCAGCTGCCAATATTTTACATGCAGCAGCCAATGGTGCAAACACCGGCATGACCATTGTCCTTTGTATTGCTGCCAACTTGATTTCAATCCTTTCGTTGCTTTACGCATTCAATGCTTTCCTCACATGGGCTGGTAACTTTTTGACCATTCAAGATCTCACCTTGCAACTTGTCACTGGCTATGTCTTTGTACCCGTAAGTGCTATTATTATCGATGACGGTATCCATGCTAACACGTGACATGTAATAAGATCGCATGGCTTATTGGTGCTGATAGCTCTGATGTGGTGGCAGTGGGTCAATTGATGGCACTCAAGATTTGGGCAAAGTAAGTTTAAGCATAAAGTCCCATTCATGTTACTAATGATGTTGCCTGGATACGCTATTGTAGCGAATTCGTTGCCTATCAAGCCATGACAAGTGACTATGCGGATAAGCTCACTCAACGCTCACAATTGGTTGCCACCTATGCTCTTTGTGGATTTGCCAATCTTTCAAGTGTTGGTATTCAAATTGGTACCTTGGGTTCTCTTGCACCCAATCGCACAGGAGAAATATCCAAACTTGCAGTATCTGCTATGATATGCGGTGCCATGTCAACCTGGATTTCAGCATCGATTGCTGGAATGCTTGCTTAATCATGTCTTTTCATAGTAATCCTATATCTAATAATACACTTTTTATTCGTTAAAGACATTATTGTAATACGATTTGAGAGGCCTCTTGCATGAACGGACTTGAGCGTGAGTGGGTGGGCGAGTGGGCGGGATCCAAGCCACTGATGGCGGTGGTGGCAGTGAATTTGCAGGAGAGAATGTCTGAGTGGGTTGCACCCTCCGAAGTTTTTGTTAACTCTCCTTGATCGATCTCTTTTTCCTTCGACCCCCATTCTTTCTCGTCATGGCAGCAACAAAGTCAGAGGAGATCGACTTTCCTCGTGGAGGTGCCAGCATTCTTACACCACTCGAACACCGTCAAATTTCAATCAAGGCCGCCAATGACTTGTTCAAAAGTGTAAGCGATCGATACCATACATGCCCGTTTGTCTTTCTCGGTCAACCTTCTCACTCATGTACCCTTTTATGATAGAGCGAGAAACGTAAAGAGACAGCTGACGAGCCTGCAGCAAAGAAACGACGTAAAACCGACAAAAAGAAGGCAACCGTTGCCAGCAAAAAGGACAGCAAGCCAAAGACTGAAAAGCATGCACCTATCGATCGTCTTTCACTCAAGGTAAAGTGTCTAATCATGATAGTATCAATGGGATAAAAGGCTGAACAATGAATATTAGGATTTGAATCCCGAGACGTTGATGACTGGATGCATCACAAAGATCAAAGACCTTGAGCTCATTGTTGCCCTTCCATCACAAATCACGGGTGTCGTTCCTATCACCGAAATTTCAGAACAAGTCAGCGCAGCTGTTGAACGTATTGCTGGTGACAACGACAATGACGATGAGGATGATGATGATGACGACAACGAAGAGGAACAAGGTCTTCCAAGCTTATACAAGTTGTTCCGTGTCGGTCAATTTGTTCAATGCCGTGTGGTGCGTGTGGAGGAAGCTGATCCATCAGACAAGCGAACAAAGACCAACATCGAGCTTACATTGCGTCCTGAAGCTATCAATCGTGATGTTGCCAAAGTGGATGCAAGCGAAGGATCGGTAAGTTGGATGATTAGTGCATCATGAAATGTATATTCACACATGATGTTCTGCTAGGTTTTGAGTGCTAGCGTCAAGAGCGTTGAGGATCACGGTTACATTTTGTCGCTTGGTATCGAGGATGTTACCGCCTTTTGCAATTTGAAGGATGCAGAGACCTATGTCAACGAATACAACCGTGGCGAGCCATTGGTGCCAGGCCAAATTGTGCAATGTGTTGTGAAAAAGTCACCAAAGAAGGATCAACGCACCGTCAATGTCACTCTCGATTCAAATCAAGCAGCCAAGGCTATCGTAAGTCACCCGTCACCTCTTTTTATTGAACGATTCACTGATTTTTTCTATGTATAGGTCAAGAGCCCTGCTTCCAGTCTCCATTCGGTTGTACCTGGATTGAAGGTCAACGGCACTATCAAAGCAGTTCAATCCAAGGGCTTGAATATCACTTTTATGGGTCTCTATGATGCCACCATTGATGCTTCCCAGATCCCTAATGGCGACGTTTCATCCTACAACGTTGGCGACAGCATCACTTTCCGTATATTGTTTTGTGCACCTGGTGTCAATCAAAAGATGGTCGGTGGTACATTGTTGCCTCACTTGTTGGCCGATACCAAGAATCAAGCCCAGCAGTATGTGGGTGAACGCTATCCTCACGGCACATTGTTGGAGGAAGTCAAGGTCGTACGTGTGGCTCGTAACAAGGGACTTTATATGTCGATCAAGGGTGTGGATGATATTCAAGCCTTTGCAAGCGTAAGTCATCTCTCTCTTTATGATATGCCAAAAGTGGGATGTTGATCACTTACAATGCATGTAAAAAATAGGTCAACAACATTTCGGATGAACGCATTGAGAACGTTGTCGAGACATCAGCAAAGTATGGTTTGGATACGGTCCACAGTGCTCGTGTACTCAGCTACAGCCCTATGGAGGATGTGTTATCCGTCACTCTCAAAAAGAGCGTCATCGATGAGAAATACGGCAACATCAATGAGATCGAGATTGGTGATATTATTGAAGGCACCGTTCAAAAGTTCATTCGTGCCGGTTTATTGTTGAACATCTCTTCTGGTATCAGTGCGCTTGTGCCAGTCATCCACTATGCTGATACAGCTCTCAAGCAACCTGAACTCAAATACAAGCCTGGCAACAAGATCCGTGGTCGTGTTTTGGAGCGTGATGTCGACAATAGCCGTCTTTTGGTGTCTCTCAAGCAAACTTTGATTGATAGCCCATTGCCACGTATCACAAGTTGGGAAACGGCAAAGTCTGATATGATCACCCATGCTGTCATCCAATCGGTTCGTCCTAGTGGTGCTATTTTGCGTTTCTATGGTGGCTTGACCGGTTTTGTACCTGCATCACAAATGACCGAAGCACGTGTCGCCAATCTTACAACGGCTTTCCGTATCGGCCAAACTGTTAAGGCCTATATTTATGCTGTCAATCAAGATCAACGTCGCATCATTGCATCTTTGACCAATGTCGGCAAGGTCAAGAAGCAAGAGAAGGAGGCTCGCAAAAAGGAAGAAGCTGAAAAGTATGCTATTGGCAATATTGTTTCCGCCACAATCAAGGCTGTCAAGGATACGCAATTGAATATCGAGCTTGCCAATGGTCGTCATGGTCGCGTTGCTATTACGGAGCTCTTCACGGATGTCTCTCAAGTGAAGGATCTCAAGCACCCACTTGCTCAATTCAAGAATGGTGATAAAATTGAGGTCAAGATTTTGGGCATGCGTAACACCAAGGGCCATGGTTACTTGCCTATCACCCGTACCCATGATGTCAAGGAGGTGATCGATTGCTCACTCAAGCTCGGCAGCAAGACCGATGTTGGTAAGGGCAAGGTTGGCGAACACTACCTTGGCTTTGTCACCAACATCTCCAAGAAGCATGTGGATATTGTGGTGGGTGCTCACTTGCATGGCTTGATCCGTAAGCAATTCACATCAAGCGATGCTGCCAAGGCAACCAACTTTCAAAAGGAGTATACCGTTGGCCAATTGGTTCCTGTTGAACTTGTGAGTTTGGATAAGCAACATCATACGGGTGAATTTGTGCCATCCAAGGACAAGGCCATTCCTCGCATTACCAATGTTAAGAGCATCAAGACCGGTATGGTGGGTCTTGGTCTTGTGCAACGTATCACCCGTCACCAAGGAATGCAAATCCAAATTGCCCATGGTATCCATGGCCGTGTTCACCGCACTGATCTCGTCGATACCTTCAGCAACGATCCATTGGGTGATTACAAGGAAGGCATGGTGGTTCGTTACGCTGTCATTGCTACCAACTACAGAAAGAACCAATTTGATCTCTCATTACGCTCATGCCGTGTCAACCCCGACGCCACTCCTCCTGCAACAGCCAACCCAGAAATCAACTCTGTCTCTGATATCGAAGCTGATCAAGTCCTTTGGGGCTATGTGAGCAACGTTGCCAACAATGGTGTGTTTGTGAGCCTTGGTCGTAACGTTACTGCACGCATCAAAATTGGATACCTTTCGGATGAATTCGTCAAGGATTGGCAAAAGTTGTACTCTGCTGGTCAACTTGTAAAGTGCAAGATCTTGCATGTTGATACCGAAAACAACCGTGTCGAAGGTGCATTGAACAAGAGCCGTGTTGGAGACAAGAAGGATGAGGATGGTGATGATATTATGGATGAACTTTCCAGTGATGATGATCTCGAATCCGAAGAAGAAGAGGATGAGGATGAGGATGAGGATGAGGAGGAAAACGAGGTTCAACAAGAAGATGAGGAAATGCAAGATGTGCGTGATATCGATGAGACCATGGGCGAAGCTGCTGGCGACGATGATGAATCCTCTGACAGTGACAATGAAGATGAGGCTATTCCTGCTCTTGGTGGCAAAGGTTTCGACTGGTCGGGCAACTTGCAAGAGACCAAACAAGATAGCGAGGATGAATCTGATGATGAGGATGAATCGGACGAAGAGCAAGATGTCAAGAAGAAAAAGAAGGGTGGTGAAAAGCAAGTCGAGGATAAGACAGCTGAATTGTCAACCACGGCTCCTCAATCCGCTGGCGACTATGAGCGTGTCCTTGTGGGTTCACCCAATTCATCTTTCCTTTGGATCAACTACATGGCATACCAACTTCAGCTATCCGAGATTGAAAAGGCACGTGAAATCGGTAATCGTGCATTGAACACCATCAGCTTCCGTGAAGAGCAAGAAAAAATGAACGTGTGGATGGCAATGCTCAACTTGGAAAACACCTACGGCAGTGATGAATCATTGGAGGAAGTCTTTAAGCGCTCTTGTGTGTATTGCGATCCTGAAAAGATGCATATGCAATTGGCCGAGATGTATGAACGTACCGGAAAGACCGAGGCAAGTACATGTAACAGCGTTGTAATATTTCGTGTGGGATACTTACTCTTTATTATAGAAAGCACAAGCCTTGTTGGAAGAGTCTCTGAAAAAGTTCAGCCAAAATCCCAAATTCTGGACGCACTTTGGTCTGTTTTATCTCAAGAATGACAATGTTGAAGGCGCACGAGAATTGTTACAGCGCTGTGTCAAGGTGTTGCCCAAACATCATCGTAAGTGTGCTGGATGCTCATGTCCACGGCATGTACTTATACCTTCTCAATTTATAGATGTTGAGACAATCAGCAAATTTGCACAAATGGAATTCAAGCATGGCGAGCCTGAACGTGGACGCACTATCTTTGAGGGTCTGCTGAGCAGCTATCCTAAGCGCATTGATATCTGGAGTGTCTATGTGGATATGGAGATCAAGGCTGGAGATCAAGAAATCATTCGACGATTGTTTGAGCGTCTCACATCCATGAAGGTGTCTTCCAAAAAGATGAAGTTCTTTTTCAAGAAATGGCTACAATACGAGAAGGAACATGGCTCTGAAGAAGATGCTGAACGAGTCAAAGAAAAGGCTTTGGACTATGTGAACAGCGCTGACCGTGCATAAGCAAGATCCTCTCTCTCTATAGACGCATCCACATTATCTATCAACATCATTTTTCTTTCTATTACCACTCACATTCCACAAATCCCCCCCCCTTTTTCTTACGCAACACCAACATATACATGTACACATACTCTCTTTCCATCTTTCATATTCATTCGATTCAAAAGTAATATAGCGAAATCGTAACTTGGCTGCTTAACTCAACAAGTTAGAGCAATAAAAGAGCTGTTTCTCTCACATGACAACAGCCCAATGATGCATGACAGTAATGAGCTACGACTGACGGACACCGACCAATGATTCAAAGTCCCTTTGGCTCAATTCACACCAATCCAATGATACACTACGATTACAGGAACGAATTGGCTTTACCTTAAACATAGGGTGTCCGCATCAAAGCCCATCTTACTACCCGCTACACCCTATAACACATGAACACATGAACAACACAACGTGTAAACATTGGGTTTTATGGTTCGATGAAAAAGTAACGGGGTCTGGCGGGCACGATAAGAAAACGCGGCCTGGGGACTAACTATGGTAAATGAGGTGTAAATATTTTATGCACGCAATGCATTTCGTGATCCGAAAAACGCCCATCAGCAAGACTGGTTACCCAGTGACACAGATGACTAGGTGTATGCAAATGCAGCCCAATTCTTCGTCACTCGCCAAAGGAAGACATTTTATCAATGGTATAGGTGTGGTTGACTATAGGAAACGAGTGGATGCCCACGCATTGAATGTACTGCCATTGAATGCGATTTAGGTTGCATTCATGCATCTTCAGGGGCATTTGGTGCAAAACATGGTTACGCTTTTGGATATTGATCCTGTCACTGCGGCTTTATGCATATGTATGCGAGATCTACTATTCACCTCTTCTTGGAGAATTGCATAAGACGGCTACTACACACGTTCTCTGAATGATCAATTACTTGTCATCAACGACTAACGGCAATCGTTGACATGACTTGCAAGCTTGCTTCATGGTATATTTGTTTAGGTCCTCTTGTGGGTATTTGAACGTGTTCCGATGTATGTAACATAAAAACTTGTTTGAAACATTTGTTTGGCATCCTTTGTGAATGTTTTCGGAGATGCTCTTGGAAATGAGGTAGCTTCGGTTCCAAGTTGCACTCACTTGGACCTGCTTAAGATGCTCGATAGCATATCCACTTGATAGTGCTCTTAGATGGTATCGTCATTGTTATGTATAAAAAGGTATGAATGAGCCTATAATTTCCAGGCTAACGCAAACAGCTTACTTGATGAATATGGTCGACGAGATTGGCGCATCGGTACTGTATGTCAAATGGGAGCTGAAAAAGAGAAGGGTACAGTACACAAAGAAGGAATCCAGGTCTTCTGATGCGTGTGCTACAATGCAAAACGCCAGCATAATGTGACCAGAAGCTCTCTCGGTTGAAGTTGGTAAGGCGTTCGTTCGAGAAAATTATAAAAGAGGTCCAAAAAGTACGAGTATTTGCTATCTAATCAAGCCCGTTCTCTGCTGCAAAATGAAGTTCGCAAGTCTCCTCGTTGTCTTTACCGGTCTTTTACTTTCTGTTGTCTCTGCCGAACGATACCAGGCCATCCTTAGATTTTTACCATCACCTCACATTTTCCCAACGCCTTATTTCACTGTGATTGACTTGCCAGCCCTCGAAAAATCGATTCGCGTGAATTTGTGGCAAACCGAAAACCCCCAAGAACTTACTCAAGGTTATCCAGGAAAAGTATCCAGAGGTTATGTTGAGGTTGATAACCTCCCCGCTTTTGATGGACGATATGCAGCGCTTGTCAATGATGATACAGAATATCTCCAGTTGAGAGTCCACCACAATGATGGATACATGTTTACATTCATTGGTCAAAGTGCAACGGACGAAGCAGTTACAAACATGAAGGTTCGAGCGGACGTGAAGCCATTGGATCAAGACCTATGGAGCTGGTGGTAGTTTCGCGAAGCTTGTGATACATAGCATGCATTGGATTTCTTTGTCTTTTGAATATGTATACATGATCTCCATAAAGCATCCTACTTGATATCTATAAAGAATAGTGTGGCATCTATACATCCTTTCCCATGAGGCGAGGTGTAGGATTTAATGTTTGACTTGGTAGATGCATTGAAGAATGGATGTCTTAGTCAATTAGAGCACGTCACTTGCACGCTTTTGGTATTGGCTCATTGTTGCTCTCTCTCCCTCTCTCTTTACTTTTCGCATATCAACAACCTTTTTTTACGGGTGGCCGATCTCGCCTCACCTTTCAAGTCTTACGTGCTTAGTCAAACAACAATCGCCCGCTTCTTTAAAAGCGCATTCGATCCATACATACAGCGTCGTCGCTTCTATATACAATTTCATCCCAATTGTCGACGCTACCGCAGCATCACTCACTCAATAACCTCTGTTATTAATAATCGGTGCTACATGTGGTATCTCAAAAGCCATATACCTCTTACATGACCTTCTTTATTATTCCATTTCGAAGCAATAGTAAATGTAATCCACGAGCTAGCAAAGTCCAAGCGTGTATGTAATAAATAAACAATGCTTTATTTCATCTTGCTACATTACAACCATCGTTGTCTTCGTCGTCCCTCATCATTCGTACTTCTACTCATACTCATACTCATACTCGTACCCGTCACCAGTCGTCAATCCCATCCTCGTAAAGATCAAAAACACGTAAAGAGGCCGAATGGAATCTTGCAGTCTTCCTTTTGAATCTCGTTGTCCGTATCATCGTCATCGTTGTGGATGTCGTAATCATCGTCATTGTTGTGGAACTCGTTGTCGTTATCATCGCAACCATCATCATTATCGTAATCATTGTAATGGTCGTCTCTATAAATAAAAAGCAGCCAAGTTAGGCAATCTAATACCGGGAATGATGACGATTTGGTATACCGTTAGGCGATCTTCCCCAAGGAAGAAAACAAATCATAAGGAATTCACAAGTCAAATCACCATCATATGAGCAACGTCGAGCGATCCCTTGTTCTTGAGAAAGCACTGCACGAATCACGCAAGGCCAGTTCGATCCATGGCAAGGAAGGACATCACTTACGTAGAAATCCAGGCTCATTGTTGTCCTCATTCATCCTCTCAAAGAAAGAATGATCCCCAATCCAATCCTTCCAATCATTTCCCACCTCATGAAAAGAAATCCTCAAGCGAAAGAACGAGCCTATCACGAGAAGAGCGTGTTGGCCCAACACATTCACAACCGGGCTGTTGCAAATCCCCTTTTACCTCAACACGGTGACCATGCTCTTCCAACAACCCATCGTCATCGACCCATCACCTCAACGCAGGCCTCTAGAGTCCTGGACGTGTTCCAAGAAGCTTTTCCAGCACATTGGCTAGTGCAGAGCGACGCAGCAGCCACTTGATCCAGGCTGGGACTTGAACCCAAAGAGATGATGATGATGATGCCCCCAAGTTGCATTGCTTGACCAAAGAAACCTATTCAACTCATTATTAGCACACACGTACAATAAAACGCCTCTTTTCATTGTTTATTTCATTGCACTTGCCTTTTCCATAGACGTAAAGATCCTTAGCTGCTGGTTGTTAGAGACCGAAAACCATGGTGTAGTGTTGTTGAGCCGAAACAGAACGCCAAACCAGCCAACGTCTTGAAACCAAACTTGGCCCTTATATAAGCTAACAGGTCAATGGAACCAGTTCGGCTGCAACATTGGATTCTCAATGTACCTGTTGACACCAAGCATAGAGCGGGAATAGCAACGAACAAGAGGAAGCAACGATATCGCCATGGCAACCACCAACCACGCTCATTCCTCAGCACTTGGACACACTCACTCCCTGACAATGCATGTTCAGAACTGCATTAACACCTCACAGCCAACAAGAGCACTTTTTTGTAATACATTACCTTGATCGAGATGTCGTGAATGGGATAAGGAAAGGTGGGAGAAAAAGAAGAGAAGCGTTGTCTCAAGTCGTAGAGCTGCTGTCCCCCAAGTTTAAACCCCCCTACTGCTATTACACTGAGGTCATTCAATGACCCCACACACGCCATCCACCCATCGTCATAAAAGAAATGATCCTCACGTATAGCAAAAGGGTGTGTGCCATTTTACACTTTACATGATAAACGACTAATGGCAATCATTGGCATGACTTGCAAGCTTGTTTCATGGTATGTTTGTTTAGAGTCAAGTTGCTCTCACTTGGACCTGCTAAGATGCTCGATAGCATATCCATTTGATAATGCTCTTATGAATAAAAAGGTATGAATGAACCTATAATATCCGAGCTATCGCAAACAGCTTACTTGATGAATATGGTTGACGACATTGGCGAATGGGTATGTCAAATGGGAGCTGAAAAAGAGAAGGGTACAGTACACAAAGAAGGAATTCAGGTCGTCTGATGCGTGTGTTACAATGCAAAACGCCAGCATAATGTGACTAGAAGCTCTCTGGCTTGAAGTTGATACGTAAGACAACTAGGTGTTCATTCGAGACAATTATAAAAGAGGTCCAAAAAGTACGAGTACTTGCTATCTTATCAAGCTCATTCTCTGCTACAAGATGAAGTTCTCAAGTCTCCTCGTTGTCTTTACCGGTCTTTTACTTTCTGTTGTCTCTGCCGCACGATACCCGGCTATTCTTGAATTTCAACCGTCGCCTGACATTTTACCACGGCTTTATTTCACTGAGATTGTCTTGCCAACCATTCGAAAAACGATTCGCGTCAATTTATGGCAACTCGGAAAACCTCAGGATCTTACTGAAGCTTACCTAGGGAGAAAATCCAGAGGTTATGTTGAGGTTGATGACATCTCCGCTTTCAATGGACGATACTTAGGGCTTGTCAATGACGATACAGAATCTCTCCAGGTGAAAATCCACCACAATGATGGCCAAACGTTTTCATTCATTGGTGCAAGTGCAACGGAGAATCCAGTGACAAACTTATGGTTCGGGCGGAGATGAAGCCATTGTATGAAGACCTATGGAGTTGGTGGTAGTTTCGCGAAGCTTGTGATAGCATGCATTGGATTTCTTTGTCTTTTGAATATACATGATCTCCATAAAGCATCGTACTTGATTTCTATAAAAAGGGTGCGGTATCTATACATCTTTTCCCATGAAGCGAGGTAGAGGATTTAATGTTTGGCTTGGTAGTTGCATTGAAGAATGGATGTCTTGGTCAGTTAGAGCAAGTCACTTGCTCGCTTTTGGTATTAGCTCATTGTTGCTCTCTCTCCCTCTCTCCCTCTTCACTTTTCGCATATGGTTACACGTTGACCCTGCAGCCAAAATCGTAATCATGCATGCTTTTGCTTCGTAGCGATAAGCCCTTCCACATAAAATTACGAGCGAAGCGAGCAATTCCGGACCGCTAATCTTTTGTTGTTTTATATGCAATCGAAAAGTAATATAAAGAGCTACATGCTTTTGACTTTGAATTGTGCTATCTGCAATGTACAATTGGTCCTATGTACTGTGTAGGGTCAACCTTGAATGCGAAGTGGTCTTTGGAATATGGGTTTGAATGTCCTTTCAGGGTGGTTCAAGCCGAGGGCTGGTTCGTTTAGTGGAGTATATGGTCGATCAGAGAGCTTGTCATTGTCTTTCAATTCTTCTATCACAACGTCGTCTTGTACAAAGAAGCACTTGACCTTGCCCCATTCTTCGTTGGTCAATCCGGTTCGTGCTTGTAGTCGCTTTTTGGTATCAGAAAACAATTCACCCTAAAATTGGTTGCATGAGTACAATGAAATCCCTGCTATACAATGCATTACCTTTTTAATCATAAGCTGGAAAGGGATCGAGTGGTTGTGGTGGATGTCGCCATCATAATGAAATACGGGGATCAATACATTGTCCGGTTCCACGTTTTGTTCATCCTCCGGTATAGGCTACATGATGAAGCAAATGAGTACACGTTGTTGGATGTCGTAGTGATAATAATACAACCTCTGCATAGATCTGGTACTTGTCTCCTTCCGGAACGTAAGCAATCAAATCATCCATTGTAAAGGCCTCGTAAAAACGGTGGTGGATGGCCACGACAAAGCGCACTTTGCCGGTATAGTTTGTTAGGTCATGGTTGGACTCCAATGTGAGTTGATCCCAAAGCTCACGAAAGGATACTGATCTCGGCGTGGTAACTTTGACGGTATGGGTATTGTTGACGGCTAGGTTTTCCTTGCAAATGATGACGCTGATTAGCCGCTGCGATTCATATTCATCCAAGGTGATGTCCAGCAATTGATATCCCAAGCAAGGTTGTTGTGGATCGGCAAAAGTCAACAAGTCCTGCAAAGTGCATCCTTCATAACGTCTAATAGCGACCCATTGCGTTTCTCGTTTTGCATGCCCAGGCCGAAAAAGTAGCACGTAGTTTGGATCCATCCTTGCATGATAGCCCAGTTCCTCCACAATTTCCTCATAGCTCGTCGTATATGACAAGGACAACGTGATCGCCGGGAGCTGTTGTTCTTGCCCATTCAGCGGCTGCAATGTGACATCAACTTGGTACGCAAGATAGGTGATGTATTCCCGAGCCGTAGGGCACAATCCCCTTTCTCGCATATGCTCCATCCTAGAATCATACATAAAAATCAATACACCCTTCTCCATTCATCATACCTCGTGCCACTTACTCGTGTTCTGATAACTGCTTTTGCACACAAATGATGTCTCCCGTTTCAATACCAGATTCACCAAACGTGGAGTCTATTTGAAGTGCCTTGACAACATACGGAGATTCCTCCTACAGCTTGCATTAATAACCTCAATACTGTAAACGTTCGTTTGTATGCATTATACACGTACCTCATAAAGAGCCAAAGGGGTCGAAGGATAAAAGTACGCCAAACTTCGTATACGTTCCATGACAGACTCGATCTTTTGATGCTTGTAAGCATGCATGGTACCTCGAGCGCTTTGTTTTTCAATTAGTCATCATCCAGCACGTATAGCATGCAAGGTATAGAATACTTACTGTAGTTCTTGGCTTTCAGGAATAAAGCTTTTGATGAATAGAAGCATAGGGTTGTCGTCCTTTGGCTGGGTGGAGATAGTGTCCTTCGAAAACTTGATAAAATCGTAATCATGATCTTCGTCTTCATCATCGGCCATGCTATACAGCCACGGGCGTGCAATTGCACTAGGCATCGGTTCATACTCTTTTGTAAATTCGACATAAAGAGAAAGAGAATCGCCGGTCATGTATTGCATCAATTCCTCCACTCCTATAAACACCAATACTTAGAAGGGGTGCAATGTAGTTGCCAAGGTGTTGTAATTACTTACTGGTATCGCTGTTGGCTACATTGTCAATGCATCTCTCGGGGCGAAGTGTCTTGTTGCATCGAGTAATAAGCGACCACAGCTTGATTTCTGAAGTAGGCATATAGAAGCCCTTTGCAATCTCGTTCTTAAAGTCATGGTACAGCTCATCTTTTCGCACCGGCATCGACATCGAGATAGGACCAGGATGACGCTCATTGATGATTCCATGCTGCTTATTGATGTCAAATGAAACTGACGAATAAACCTACATGGATAAAAATCGCATGATTGAGTACTTGCTAGTAGTAGTAGGAGAATGTTGAAGATTGAAATGACATACGTTGGCGTTCAAGTAGAGTTGTTGAGCTTCTCGTCTTCTTTGTGCTTCTTGCCATAGCATTTCCTCCTCTTTCAATCGTTTCCCTGTTCACATGTTTACATAAGCAGAGAGTATCATAAACGCCATCAAAACACACCCGATACTTACATAGATGCTGTGGTATGTCACAATTGTCAACCGCGTCCAAAATATCATCCACCATGCATTCACGGATATAAACCAGCATATACGCATTGGAAGATCGCCGGAGGGTCTGGAAGTTGAAATAACCACCAAAGGGTGTCTGATTTCCATAATTGTTTTCCAAGACATGATCAAGCGTAGCACGTGTAACGCGTTCGTCGTCAAATTTTAGCCTACACCATGATTCATTGTGAGAGGAGGTTCATGTAACAACAATGAATCAATGCAATATACATACCATGTTTCATCCTTGGTTGGCTTTAGGAAAGCAAAGTAGTGACCACTGCTCACATTCCCAGAATGCACAAGCACGCTATAAACGAATGAAGATATAAGCAAACAACCTTGATTAGAGCCTCTCTACTCAACCTCTTACCCGTGTAGTGCATAAGTATGTGGCGATGATCGATCTGCATTTGGGGACAAATAAGGTTCCAAGTCGATATTGAGAGGAAATTCATGCCGATCGTTGATCTATGCATATATACATCAACCAGCCAATAAGAATCTCATCCAGCTCTTGCCCCCACCTTTCTTTTGTCATTACGTACCTTGACCATGGCATCCCGTCTCATGTCATACTCGAATCGTTTTAGTTGCAGGTGGAGCACAGGTGGGAAAGATTCAAAGGTCACTCCTTTCTTTGCATCTTGTAATCCATGGTCTCCCGCCATGTACTTGTTGTCACCATCCATGGTTTCCTCAGCCACATAGTCCTTGAAAGACTCTTCCAGATCCTTGCAACCTTTGACATTCAATTGTATATCTGCAAAAGAGGGGCTTTTAGTGTATTGACTTTTAGCACTCATGAACACTTTGCTTACCATAATAGTCCTCCGAATGATTTGACTGGTAATCAACATTGATGCACCTGATATAGCTTGTCATGCGTCCAACAAAAAGTCTTCTGATAGCACCATCCGCGGGAGTACCCTATGAAATAGCGATTGTCAGCATGAGCGAATATTGTACCTTGATCCTGATGCTAGTACATACCATCATTTTTTCCTCCAATTTGTCTTGAAGAAGGCGATTGAATTCTTGAACATCGTGTTGCATTAGCGTATCCAGTGAATTCCATTTGAAGGACTTTGTCACTTCCACCGTGTCTATAGGATTATCTTATTAGAACACAAAGCACCCTGAGAAAACAGAATGATTGATGATGTTGACTTACCTACGGCATTGTTTGAGAATTGAAGATTGTGAAAGAGACGTTGCATTGATAGAGCGATGCTATCCGTAGGATTGTCGTTCTCGGTGGGAATCTGATAGACGGCTTTGCGGAATGCATTGGTGCAATAGAGCGATTGGAAGAGCGAATTCATGTAACAAGTGGCACCTTGGTTCCTTAATCCAACAAAGCCTGTATGCTCCCTTGAATCGTAGCTAAAGAAGAAAAAGAGCAAGGCATGTCAAATAAAGCCGCTTTCACCCTCGCTCACATCCGATCCACTTACTTTTCAAAGTCTGTCAGCCATAATACACCCGTGGGATCACGCAACACGTTGACAATGACTGAAAAGCGGATTTGGTCGTTTTCCAAGAAAGGTACTGATACGTGTTCCTTATCGTCTTTGAATGAGAGCAGGCGTTCATGAGGCAAAAAGTCATTGAATCCCCAATCCTTTGAGTAATTTGAGAAACGACCCGAACCAGCTACATTCATGTGTACGATAAGCGAATGTATACATATAAAGTCGATTGATCATCATCATCACTTACGTTTGCAATAGTAGTTGGTGGGATCGGACATGGATGATACAAGAATGACATACTGAGCACATGCATGCTGATTGGGATGATAGGCGTCTTTGGCATTGGTCAATTCGAGATACACGGAGACATGAGAGAAAAAGCCTTGATTGCCTCGAGGAAACAAGAGAAGATTCCTATGCATTAATGTTAGCATGAATGAAAAACATACACGCATCATAATAATATGTACCATTCATGGCCACCCACTTGGAATACAGGTCCACGCGCCTCAGGTGGTAAATTGCTCCAATTGTCGATTTCCCAGTGAAAGCACTTTTGCTCGATCGTATCCTCCTCCACGGTTGACATTTCCTCCATGGCTATCCACATGGCTATATGCAAAAGGATCAGTGATAGACCCATCAATACCACTCTATGAAACGTACCATCCGTCAATACAGACTTTCCTTGCTTGTTTTCAGGCCCGAAAGTTGTCATGTTGGGCGATCCCCAATCGATGGGTTCAACATTACGACGCGATCTTCGTGTCTTGCAAGTGTCAATGTCGCCGTCAATGCCGTTGCTCTGGGGGTTGTTGCAAGTGAGATCCAAGTTAGTCATTGGAAGGTGTAGAAGAAGAAGAAGAGAAGAGCATACCAGTAACTGCATGATGCAACTGCAAGTTTAAAGTCAACACACGGGGAAGCAATGCAAATTTAGGATCACGCGTTGCCGCAGTTGTATTTCAATGACAGGACCACCATCACCAGCAGCTTCAATCATCGGCATAAATCAGACCCCAAAGCTGTGCCACCCCTTGGTGTAACAATGTCAGTGTCGTTTCCTTTTACGTATGGCTCCCATCGCCCAAGCTATGGTTATCATACAGCGTTATTGCTTTTGCGGTATTCGAGCTTTATGTTCAATTGGTACACTGCTAGAAGATTGTGTCTACTACTTTCAAATAAAAAAATCCAATGTCTCATTCTTCTTAAGACTTGTATAAAGAGAAATCGGTAATCTATCACTGCCATGTCGTGGAGAACATACTATTGATAAATCATGGCCATGAATGGGTCAAGTAAATGAGGAACGTCTTATCCGGTTTTGTTATTGTAGCTTTGATCTTGCCGAACCACCAATCGTTGAGCACTAATGATCCTTTGCATACAACACGGGAGAGCCCATATCCATCCACATTTGTTAGTAGAATACATCCCTTCTTTCCATGGTAAGTACAAGTGACGCATCATGAATGAAGCACAAATTGAGTTTATTGGGAAGATATGTAAAAAGGGATGCTTAATGGATGTACTTTGTAAGGAAGCGACGATGGAAATCAGAACGCAACATGTCGTTAACAAAACGCTTTTTGGATCTATCTTCGGTACCACGGGCTTGATTCTTGAAGATCACATCATCATCCCAGCTAAGTAAAAAGAAAAAGGTAAGTAACATGTCACCCATCTCCATTCGAGTGTCCTTCTTACCGTCTCTTTACGCTAAAGTCTCGCTTTTCATCGCCAATGTTCAATAGCGGGTTACCAGTCATGGCTTCTTCTTCACGTTGAGCTTCTTCTTGTTCAAGTCGTTCACGTTCCTGTCGTTCTTTTTCTTCTGCGCGTTCTCGACGAATCTTTTGTAACGTTGCTAATAACTCTGCCGTATTGTCTTCGTCGTCGTCTGATTCATCCGATTCGTCACTATAAAGTGCCATGTGTCAGTGAAAACAAGTCATTCGAATACAACCCAATCGATGATCTATACTTACCTACTACTCCCTCCACTATCGCTTTCGCTATCACTTGCATCTTTATCCAGTTGTGCCATCTTTTCAGCTTCTTCCATTAATTGTTGACGTCGAGCATCCACTTCATCAGCAGAGGGACCACCAATCATCTTTTGATCTTGTCGGTCGTCTCCTTCCTTGTCCTTGTTTTCATAGTATTCTTGTTCGGCTGAACGCAACTCGGCAATCAATCGTTCACGATCACCAATCTCGTCCGTGGTACCCTGACCAGGTTGTCTATATATAAACTCGTTAATACAAACAAGGTTGGGGGTGGTAGGAATCGCCATGGCAACACTTGCCTGAATTTGAGCTTTGTGTGAGCAGCAAGATCGCGAGAGCTGTATTGGAAACTAGGTGCTTTGCTATCGTTGCCACGGGCTGGATCCCAAGTTGGACGAGCGGCGGTAGTCTATGAATCGAGTATGGATGTAAGCATGGGAGCCAATCTAGCGTCATTTGGTTTGCAATGTACCATATTGAACGGAGCTGTGTAAGTGTAAGTGTAAAAGGAAGAGGTGTAAAATACAGCGGATGTCTAATTCACTCAAAAGAAATCCCTTTGTGCGGTGTGTGCGTGTATCCATTTCTTTATTCGTTATGCGAGACCAGCCCGTTTCTTTGCAATGACATCACCCACATACAATAATACTCGTGGTAAATACAACTTGGCAGCTACAGCAAGACCAGCAATGATAGCAGGAGGACCGACATACTCAAGCATCCATGTCAATGTGGAGGGTCGAATACGCTGAATGAGGTTCTTCACTTGTACTTCTAATTGAGATAGGTCGCTGGAATTATCAATCACCACATCAGCCTTGGATACCTTGTCGTTAAGGGCCATTTGTGATCGTATACGTTGTGCTGCAGCATCCTCATTGATCCCATCTCGTTTCATCAATCGTTGTAGTTGTAATACTTCAGAGCTAGTAGGTATATAGATAGATTTAGTCATCTTTTTCTTGCATGATAGTTTGAAATGCTTACCAATAAACAACCACTGTTGTACCCACAAGTTTATCCATCCCACTTTCAAATAACAAAGGAACATCAAGAACCACCACATCGGCGCCTTTGATCCAATAAAGGAACGCTTGCTTAAGCATCTCTTTGCGTACTGCTGGGTGTGTGCATTGATTCAAGACCTTTCGCTTAGCAGGGTCTCCAAATATCACTTGGCCGAGTTTCGGTCGATCAATATTGCCGTCAGGAAGAAAAACATCATCTCCAAAGTGTTTGCGGATAAGCTTGTTGGCAGAACGACCAGGTTCTACTACTTGACGTGCAATCTTGTCAGCATCAATGATGGGGATCTCATGTTCTTGGAGGAGTCGAGACACAGTCGATTTGCCTGAAAAGACATTGGGTGAATAAAAAGGGAGAGGGACTCTTCCTCTTGAATAGTTACCAGAAGCAATACCGCCTGTTAAGCCTATCAACTTCATTATTGGAAAGTAAGAGAGAGAGAGTGGCGGGTGCCTTGATAATGTAAAATTGGGGGGAATAGCGCTATGTCAGCAATGGGGACCAAGTTGCTCCGATGCTCATGGCATTAACAATGCCCATTTCCCCTTTTCCCTCCATTGATTCCAATAAACATCTTTTTTCAACATGATAAAAGTATTATTCACACACACACACACACACATGGACAATTCTAGGTTAAATAGGGTAAAACTTTTTACTGGGCAGTGGCAGTGGATGGAGAAGAAGGTCGACTTGTGTTTACCATAGGGAAATTACGGCGGTTGAGTAACATGCCCTTGAAGCTACGGATCTCGCTCTTGAATCCTTGCACAGCAGGTGAATCTTGAGAGCCTGAGCTGCGACCAAATCCATACGATGCATAAGGTGAATAAGAAGAGTAGGTATCATTTGAATCCTCGAGCGTCGATCGCAAACTTGACAACCCATCACGCAAACCGCTATATGGCTTATTGTCCTTGAGTGCCTGCACACGATCTTGAGCCATATTCACCAAACGTGAAAGCGTATCCGACATGACTTGATGCTTCTCACCCAATTGATCCAAAGGTTTGCTGGGCGTGGTCGAAGCCTCTTTTTCTCCTTCCTTGCTCTCTTGGTTGTCTTCTTTTTCACCTTCTTCTTCTTGATCATCACCCTCCTTATCCTTTCCAGCCTCCTTCAAGAGCTTCTCATGCAATGATTTGAATCCAACGCTTCTTTCCTTGTAACGATTGCTCTGATAGTCGGCAATGGACTTGAAGATGGGTCGAATAAAATACTACAATGATGTGTATATATGTAAGTACACGGACCTCCATTCATTGATTCTAAGCTTTACCTTGATCACACGCAAGATTGCAGCTGAGAGACCCACAGCACCAAATCCAAATAATACAGCAAGGCCGACGAGTTTTTGCAAAGGCATTGGCTCAGGGGGAGGTACAGGATAATACACAACTTGAGTATGTACTCGCGGAGGAACAGGGGGACGGCTTGGTGCTGCAACAGGCTATTCAACCAACCAACCAACTTGAATAAAAAATCACATGATCCATCTACTTTTACCTACCTGTGATCGTACCACTGTTGATGCTGGAGCTGTGGTGGTGGTAGCAGTAGTAGTAGTAGCAGCAGCACCACTCTCGCCAACACGTTTGAAAGCTTCTTCGATTTCAGGTTGAGTGAGACCCTTTTGTCGTAAAAATGCAACCTTCTTGGCGGTATCAGCAGAGCGTACGTTGGGTGAAGAAAGGAAAGACACAGCATTCTTCAACATGTCCTCTCGTAAGGGATCATTAGTTGCTGCTGGTGGTGCTTGTGCTGGGGCGGGAACCGCTGGCTTGGCTGTTGTTGTGGTGGTGGTAGTAGTAGTAGCAGGAGGAGGAGGTGTAGGCTTTGTATCTGTTGGTGCCTGTTGTGGTGTAGAAGGAGTAGGAGGTTGTGCAGGCAATGTGCCATTAGATTGGTTGGAATCGTCGTTAGTCATTGTCAAAGGAAAGAGAGAAAGCCTGAGTTGCACCAATCCCTCCTCTCGCCGATTCAATCAAGTGAATGTGATTACTCAACATAGTAACTCAGCTAGCGGCGTGCGTGTGTGTGGGGTATATCTGTGTTTACCAATCCTACTCTTTTGCACATGACAATAAGACGTGCATAATGGATCAAGTGGTTTATTGAGCTATGACTCCTCATTTAAAATGGGAAGACTCCCAACATTGCAATGCTGATCATACAAATACGATGCTGCACATCCTTACCCTACATTGACGGCATCCTGCTGTCACATAATCCCAACAAAATGACCACTTTAGAAGTTACATTTATAGCATGAGTTTGTTTGCAACGAAATCACGTCCCACGCCATGAACATGAATGGTATTTAAACCAAGTTCTTACCTTTAATCGAAAAAGATCTTCCATATAAGGGGGCTTCTCACTTCATTGCCTACCCAACTAGCCTGGGTGTTTCATTGTTTTCTTTTGATTTCAACAACAACAACGCACACTTTCATTTGGGTCGATCGTTTAATGTAAGAGATCAGGCTTAATGCATACCCAAATCTTCACAGCGCTAATCACCTTGTTTCCATAATCAAATTCTTAGGAGGGGATCAACCAATACAGTAATACGTATAGCGGATGATGTCGCAGGAAAGAAATGGGTAACGATAGTCAAAATAAGATGCCCTTTCCTCTTTACATGTATTAGATAAGCAAGTAGGATAACAGATACCAGTGAATGTGTCTTTTAATAGAACGTAGTGTACACGTGACCTAGCATGATGTTGAACCCACAGCTTGGAGTAAGGTATCAATGGCAGTTATCGGAGTATGCATAGCGGTCGTCAACCCTCCCAGTATGATGATCAATCAACTGATATCCACCACACGCACAGTCTTGCTCTCTCTCTCTTGCACCCTCTGTTCTTTATTGCACTCCCCCCCCCCCTTTCCCTCCTTTCAGGATCGCCATTCTCGCTATCTCATCTACATTGACCTTCAACCCCTTGATTGGTTTATCTTTCACACACCACAACAGCGATCCCAATGGTCAATCTCGATCTCGACGCGTGCCTTGAACGGTTATACAAAAAGCAACTCTTGGCTGAATGCGTGCTCAAGGAGATTTGCGAACGAACCAAAGAACTCTTGATGCGTGAGAGCAACGTTGTTCATATCGGTGCACCTGTCACAGTAGTGGGCGATATCCATGGGTAAGCTTCTATATGATAAGTACAACTTGGTCGATGAAGTGCGCTTATGTATCGTCTTTTTTTGGATTTTAAGGCAATACTATGACTTGATTGAGATATTTCGCATTGGTGGCTATTGTCCAGACACAAATTACCTATTCCTTGGTATGTAACTTGTATGATGGGGATGTAAGGGCATTCATTCATTTGCATGTACGATAGGCGATTATGTGGATCGAGGATTATTCAGCGTCGAAACCATCTCCTTACTTACATGCCTCAAATTACGATACCCCGATCGCGTACAGCTTGTGCGTGGTAACCATGAATCCAGGGCGGTGACCCAGGTACTACTATGCTTTCCCTCCTCTATTTGGGACCTTTTTTTTTCTTACGTATGCATATTAGACATATGGATTCTATACCGAGTGTGTGCGGAAATATGGATCCCATAGCGTATGGCAATACTTTACCGACATGTTTGACTTTTTAACGTTATCGGTGGTCATTGATAACAGCATCTTTTGTGTACATGGTGGTATGTTTGGATCATGCGGATATAGCCATTTCCATTTTCGGAGGAGATTTTAACATTGGTTCCTGCAGGTCTATCACCCACCATCCATGTCTTGGATCAAATCAAGGTCATTGATCGATTTCGAGGTAGAGTAAAAACGTTCATGGAAGGATTGAAGGATCACTTACATCGCTACCTAGAAATACCCCATGAAGGTGCAATGGCTGATTTGGTATGGTCTGATCCGGATCCTGACAAGGAAGAGTTTGCCATTTCTGCTCGGTAGGTACAGGGGATGGTGATGCCATGACAATAGCAGCAACTCATATCATCATTAATAGCGGGGCGGGATATACATTCGGCACGCTTGTGGTTGATCGATTCCTTCATATGAACAACATGAGTCATATTTTACGAGCACATCAGCTGTGTAATGCAGGATATCAGGTACATAGGAGAGGAGATGAAGAAGGATTAGCAGACATGGATTTACTAATTACTTGACCAGGTGTTATTCAATGATAAGCTCTCAACGGTCTGGTCAGCACCCAACTATTGTTACAGATGCGGCAACTTGGCTTCTATATTGGAAGTGGGAGTAGATGGATCAAGATTCTTCAATGTATTCGATGCAGCACCAGAAAACGATCGTAATCCACAACAAGCACAACTCAAGGTCAGCGTCCATATCATATCAACATGTGTAGCAATCCCATTAAAACGAGATGTTGTTTCTTTTTATGTAGCAAGAGAATCAGATCGAATACTTCATTTAGGGTACCATTGCATAAAATCATATCATTATTGTACAGGGAATATTGTTAGTAGATAAAGGCATCTCTCAATCAATGCTAATGCTCATGTTGCACAAGGATGTGGAGAAATCAGCGTGAACGTGGCAACCGTGGTGGTGCGTGAGTTTCAAAATAGCAGCAGCTACTGCCATTATCACTTTTAACAGGACGTCGTCGTAACGCGGCTTCTTTGCTCTCCCCCCTCCATTGCCAGTTTGAACATGTTTTCTTCATCGGTGTTCGACTTGCCGACCCACGCTGACTCGGCCGAGTTGGGATATGGAAAGAGCATGGCGTTTGACACTTCATCCATGTCCGTTGTTGGCTTCATCAAGCACTCCCTCAGCATCATTCTTGACAATCAAGACTCAAAGCAGATTTTCTACTTTTTGCTCCTCAACCTTTCATACATGTTTGTTCAACTTGCTTACGGCGTTTGGACCAATTCACTAGGCCTTATTTCAGATGGTATGGGATAGCGTCGCTTATTTTACCTTATCCATGGTTACTTACTTGCCCCACCCCTGGTTACAGCCATCCACATGTTCTTTGATTGCTTGGCCCTTGCTGTAGGTCTTTTCGCATCTGTCATGAGTAAATGGCCGCCTAACCCACGCTATTCTTATGGGTAAGTATCCATGTGGTACCTGAAAAAGGCTTTGATCTAACATGGGCATGGGGCATTGGGTAGATACAATCGAATCGAAACGGTGGCAGCCTACTTTAACGGCGTATTCCTTGTTCTCATTTCAGTATCCATTGTCGTCGAAGGTATCGAACGTATTATTGATCCCCCAGAAATGAACACGCAACGATTATTACTCGTCAGCTTTGTCGGCTTGGTTGTCAATCTCGTGGGTATCTTTGCATTCAATCACGGACATGCACACGGCCATAGTCATGGTGGACACGATCATCATCATCATCATGGACACGATCATGGTCATGGTCATAGCGCAAATATGCAAGGTAAATTTGGATCAAGCAGATGAGGAATTTCAAGTGGAGATGACTAAATAGATGTGGTAGGTGTGTTTTTGCATATTCTTGCTGATACGCTTGGATCTGTGGGCGTCATTGTGTCGACATTATTGATCCAATGGTTCGGATGGACCGGCTTTGATCCCATTGCATCTTTGTTTATTGCTATCCTTATTGTGCTTTCAGTGATCCCCCTTATCAAGCAATCGGGTGCAGTATTGATGTTGGAATTGGAGGACAACAAAGTGTATCAGGTGGAGGGTACCTTGAACGAGCTTGGACAATTGGATGGCATTGCAAGTGTGCATCAGCCCCGATTTTGGCCTAATGAAGCGGAGACGATGGTGGGATCGATTCATATCCAAGCTAAAGATGGCAGCGACCTTCAAGATGTACGACGACGCGTCTCTGAATTCTTGATGAGCCATATTGATGGTCTCAAGGAAGTATGTGTTCAAGTGGAATCTGAATCTGGAGCACGTACACGCATCAAAATGAATCAAGCTCAACAGCAAACGGGCTATTTTTATACACCAGCTTTTCAACATAGCAACATTGGCATGAATTACCGAACATCAGCAGCTGCAGCAGCAACGCCTTCACCACCTCCACAAACTACCACTACAACGACGACTACACCTTTACCACCCCAACCTAATGTTGCAGCCATGTCAGTAGGCCTTGCTGACGCTGCACCTGCTGCTGCTCCTCTCGCATCACCTCTTCATCAACAATATCCATCCACTGCTCCACCTCCTGTCGGTCCTCCTTTATCCAAAAAGAACACAAAGAAAGAGTAACGTCCGATCACCATACACAAACCATCATACACCACCCTTATTCTCTTCATAACTGTACCACTCATTCACCCATTTTGTAAACATCAAGAGGCATCCCAACCCCCCATACATCTTTAGAGAATGTACTTAAAACACAGGGCTTCATTATAAAAAAAAGTTGACCATGGCGGATCTTGATACAACAATAGATAACATATATGGATTAGCTAATACAGGAACCACCAAGACAAGGTTCTTCTTCAGTGCACGAGCCGCATAAGTCAATTTCATCTGGGTATGAAATACATACAAATATGAGTGTGCACACACACACCTTTTCCTGCAACACCATCGCTTTAAATACTTTCCTTACATACAACCTCTCGGGTTTGCCTATGCTATGGAAGGACTCGCCGTGGGTAGCATCCCCCGTGTACTTCTTGCTCGTATACTTTTACAGCTGTATGTGATTCCACAACATTACCTCGACAACCCTGGCGATTCCCTTATTCGGATCCTTGTCGCTGGTCTACAACAATATGGCGAGACATCGGATTTGGACGGCTTACTTCGGTTCTGCTTACATCAAGCACAATCTCTCAACAACACACCCGCAGCGTCTACAAACGAATCGAGCACATCGTCAGGTCCAACACTCGCTCAATTAGACTCGTGGTGGTGGAAAGATCTCTCAGTGGGTTCTCTTGAAGACTGGGATCGTCTTGATCTCGCGTATCCAGTGGATAAGAGTGAGCCTGTCAACTTGCATATACAAGTGCTAACAGAAGAGGTATGTATATATACAAGTGGGTTGTCTATGCTTTACTTTTGTATTGAGCGTGCTCTTTTTATAGGCAAGACGCGGTGCAGTGCAGATCAAGTACGCCAAAGATGTGGCATCATTACAGGACAAGCGATTATTTTATTATCATGAGGTATGTGGATGGATCTATGTATCGAGTAACAATGAATGGCAATATAATAAAGTATGGCATGATCCAACTAGAAAGCTCCCATCCCTATCGATTCAATTTTATGCGGCACAATGAAATACCTTGAAGGACGACATCCAGGACCAGAATCATCTTCAGCCTCCTCATCCCAAGTAGCAGGCCTTGGTCAACTTGTTGAAAAACGATTGGAGCAATTTGCACGAGATCGATTCAAACAAAAGCAGCATTTGGAACAACATCGACGTGTGGCAGCTGACTACAGTTTGATGGGTGCACTGATGCGACGATACGATGATAGTATGCAAGCTGTGCATGGTGGTGAGCAATGGTGTCTTTATATCCGTGACTACATTTACAATGATGCTGGCACCGTATGGCGTGTCATCTCTGAAGCCAAAGCCAATGACGACTCAAAGCCGGCAGAGACAAGGATACATTCTTCACAGGCATTAGCTGATATTCGTGGAGTGACAACACCAACCGATGATGGATCAGGCGTACTAGAACCAAGCGATCAATCTCGTGTATACCGACCTGTATACCTTTTCTATTCCAACCGAGAACTCGTCGATCAATCATTGCATGGCACAATGGTTGCTGCTGCTGCTGCTACTACTGAGAATCCACCAACCGAACAAGAAGGTGGCGTGATTACCATGGAAGATTACTTGCTGGATGAGGATGTTGAATACGACGATGAAATGGATGTGGATGACACAGTGTGCAAAGTGTGCCAAATACCGGATATCATTGACAACATTAACAACATGTTCTATTGCGACAATTGCAATCTCGGCATTCATCAATTATGTGCGGAGCCACCTATTGCCAATTACGAGGTTGATATCGATCCATGGTATTGTAGAGAATGTTGTAGAGACAAAGGATTACCCATTCCACCACAACCATCATCTGCCACCTTTCAAGATCAATTGGGCATGAAGCGGAAGCGCGAAGAAGATAATGACACAACATGACACCCCCCCACCCTATTTGTACACAAAAAGCGTTCTTGCATGAATACAATACACTTTCATTGTGTGCGTTTTGCGTGATTATTATGCATCGCACAAATATGTAAATAACACACAATCAAAAGCGTCTTTGTTTTCCTTTCTTCTTGATGTCTATGGTGATCATTGAGCGAGCAGTGATTATTGGATGAGATGTACATGCATACATTTAGTTAGCTACGTCCCACTGAGTATGTACATAGTAAACTCTTGGCCACCATGGTCATCGCTCGTAGCCATCGTCATGGCGGTTTTGTATGCTACCTTTTATCATGATGCTATATGAAAGGTGGTCTTTGTTCATTGTCGAGTAGCTGGACACTACTAGAGTCAAAGGTGCGGAAGGGCGTTTTTGTGTAAAGAACCACAATGCCAGACCTTATTGATCAATGCATCATTATACCTAAACTGGCAGCTAATAGCCCTTCCTCCCAATCATCTTTGTTGTCCAACCCAATGCATATGAACGATTCCCCTGCTCCGGCCCATCATCTCCATCCTTCAACTTTCTTGGTTCGAGAGGATTTAATTGACTTATGCTCAAACACAGAAGTATCATCCAAAATCAGAAAAATCTATTTGGTTAGTTATTTGTAAACTGCCACTTGATAGCCCATTCCTCCCATTCAGCTTTGTTTCCCAATCCAATGCATGTGAACGATTCTCCTGCTCCTGCCCAGCATGCCCATCCTTCAACTTTCTTGATCCGAGAGGATTTGGTTGAGTTACACTCAAACACAAAACATCATCCAATATCAGAAGAATCAAATTGCAAAGTTATTTGTAAACTGCCAACTAATAGCCCCTTCCTCCCATTCACCTTTGTTGTCCAATCCAATGCATACGAACGATTGTCTTGCTCCAGCCCATCATGCCCATCATTTAACTTTCTTGATTCAAGCTAACCTGGCAGTAAGGCAATGGCTGTTGTTGGATCATCATCATCACCTAAAGTGTAAAATGGCACACACCCTTCGCTACATGTAAAGTTCATTCCTTTTATTTGAAGGTATCTCTTAACTATCATTGAGGAAGAGGGTGTGATAAGGATGAGTGAGTTGTGTGTTTGGGTGGATGGTGTGTATAGGGTCATTGAGTGGCCTCAGTGTAATAGCAAGTAGGGGATTTAAACTTGGGAACGGTAGCTCCACGACTTGAGACAACGCTTCTCTTCTCTTTCTCCCTCCTCTGCTTTTACCCCATTCACGACATTCCAATCAAGGTAATGTGTTATTAAAGAGTGCTCTTGTTGGTTGTGAGGTATTAATACAGTTCTGAACATGCATTTGTCAGGGAGGGAGTGTGCCCAAGTGCTAGGGAATGAGTGTGGTGGGTGGTTGGTGGTTGCCATGGCGATATTGTTGCTTCCTTTTGCTCGTTGCTATTCCCGCTCTATGCTTGGTGTCAACAGGTACATTCAGAGTCCAATGTTGCAGCCGAATTGGTTCCATTGACGCGTCAGCTTGTATAGAGGGCAAGTTTGGTTTCAAGACGTTGGCTGGTTTGGCGTTTTGTTTCGGCTCAACTATACTACACCACGGTTTTCGGTTTCCAGTAACCAACAACAACGGGTCTTTGTGTATATGGAAAAGGCAAGTACAATGAAATAAACAATGAAAAGGGTGTTTATTGTGTGTGTGTGTGTGTGCTAATAATGAATTGAATAGGTTTCTTTGGTCAGGCAATGCAACTTGGGGCATCATCATCATCTCTTTGGGTTCAAGTCCCAGCCTGTACCAAGTGGTCGCTGCGTCGCTCTGCACTAGCCAAGTGTGCTGGAAAAGCTTCTTGGAACGCGTCCAGGACTCTATAGGCCTGCATTGAGGTGATGGGTCAACGACGATGGGTTTTTGGAAGAGCATGGTCACCGTGTTGAGGTAAAAGGGGATTTGCAACAGCTTGTGAATGTGTTTAACCAACACGCTCTTCTCGTGATAGGCTCGTTCTTTCCCTTGAGGATTTCTTTCCATGAGGTGGGAAATGATTGGAAGGATTGGATTGGGGATCATTCTTTCTTTGGAGAGGATGAATGAGGACAGCTATGAGCCTGGACTCTACGTAAGTGATGTCCTTCCTTGCCATGGATCGAACTGGCCTTGCGTGATTCGTGCAGTGCTTTCTCAAGAACAAGGGATCGCCCGACGTTGCTCGTATGGTGGTGATTTGGTTTGTGAATTCCTTCTGATTTGCTTTCTTCCTTAGAGAGGATAACCTAACGGTATACCAAATCGTCATCATTCCGGTACCAGATGGTCTAACTTGCCTGCTTTCTTACTTGTAGAGACGACGATTACGATGATTTCCACATTCACAACAATGACGATTACGATGATCACCCCATCTACAACAATGACAATGATGACGACAACGAGATTCAAAAGGAAGCCTGCAAGATCCCATTCTTTTCAACTTGTGTATTTTTGGATGTTGGTGTGATGGATGAGATTGACGACTGGTGACGAGTACGAGTAGGAATGATGACGGAGGACGACTACGTACGACGATGGTGGTGGCAATGTACAGTAGCAAGATACAGTAGCTAGATGAAATAAAGCATTGTTTATTTATTACACGCTTGTTGGAGGTTGCTAGCTTGTGGATTACATACTATTGCTTGGAAGATGGAATAATAAAGGTGGTCCGGTTACTGTATCGGTCATGCAAGAAGTACGTGGCTTTTGTGATACAATAAGGAGGAGTGGGAAGTGGGATGAGCTTGAGAAGAGAAAAAGTGAAGAGATCCCTCCATTGAGTTTCAGGATGAGTGACTCATTCAATATGTATATGTATCTTTTTACATATACAAATTGGTTTATGCAGCTCGACTTTCTTCTACATGCAAATGTGATGCATACATTGACACACCTTCATTATTGGATGCTGTTTACTTACGTACCTTCACA